TTTATTTGCAGATGACACAACAGCAACAGTCAAAGGTAAAGACAAAAATGAATTGGCACTTAATATCTCTTCCTCTGTTCAAAACATCAGTTTCTGGTTGAGCAAGAATGGTCTAAGTTTAAATCATGCCAAGACTAAAATATTAGAATTATCCGCCTCCTCAAACAGGTCCAAAGAATTAATTTTTGCAGTTCCCAACACCAACATTGACCTTCCTGTCTGTAAATCAGTAGATTTTCTGGGACTGACAGTTCAAGATAATTTAAAATGGAATAACCACTGTGACCATTTATATCCTAAACTAGATAAAGCTATATTTAATCTCCGAATTATTAGAAGAATTTGCGATGACAAGACAGTGATGTTAGTATACCATATGGTTATTTTTATCAATTATGTCTTACAGTTTGTTGTGCTGGGCAAATTCACCTTCTAGCAAATATATCTTTAAACAACAAAAAAAGGCCATCAGAGTCATTGCTGGCATCAGCTCAAGAAAATCATGTAGATCCAGTTTTAAAAAATTCAAACTTTTGACCCTTCCTGCTCTTTATATTTTACACTTGGCACTTTTCATTAAAAACAACCTTTATTTATTTGAAAACTGTAAAAAAACTCATAGTTATGAAACTAGACACAAACAACTTTTGGAAATTCCAAGCCACAGATTAGCTTTGTTTCACAATGGACCCTATTATCGATGCATACAAGTCTACAACAAATTGTCCTTTTATTTCACAGACCAGTCTTTGAGCCTTAATAATTTTAAAAAGAAACTTTCAGAAAAACTGATTGCACTTTGTCCTTATGACATGAATTCATTTTTATCCTGTCAACTGTAATCTTAATATTTGTATATATTTATTATGTGTAAACTATTTATACCTTAATGCATGATTTGTACTGACATGTCACATATTCATTGCTGATATTCAGCCTCTGTATTATGAATTTTTGTGATGAATAAATTGATTTGATTTGATTTGATTTGATTTGTTGCAGAACAGAGGAATCAAGCACACCCTGACGATGCCCTACACACCGGAGCAGAACGGTTGCAGTGAGAGGGAAAATCGAACAATCGTGGAAACAGCTCGTGCTATGATGCACAGCCATGAGTCCCTTCCACAAGGCTTATGGGCAGAACTGATCAACTGTGCTGCTTACATCCTCAATCGCACCGGCCCTTCTTCAGAAGCTGACAAAACCCCATACGAACTATGGCTTGGAAAAAGACCTAGTATCAAGCATCTAAGGATAATCGGAAGTGTCTGTTATCCACATGTACCAAAACAAAAGAGAAGAAAGATGCAGAAGAAAGCACAGAAAGGAATACTCGTTGGGTACGATGAATATGGCTATCGTATCTGGGTCAAAGAAACTAACACACTGGTGAGATCAAGAGATGTCATTTTCAACGAAGAGCCCTTATTACAGAGAAAAGAATATCGAATCCCTTTGCCAAGTGAAAAAAGTCAAGAAAACGACTGCCGAGGCTTAGAATACGACGTCAAAGATAACGTTTATCAAGAACCGGAAGAAAATGAAGACGAGGAGGAAGCTGACCTACCTGAGAGATCGAACAGTTATGATCTACGAAACAGATCAGAAATCAATGTTCCGATGAGGTTCGACGACTACATCATGACTGCAGTTACTAATGTTCAAGAACTGAATGAGCCTGAGTCATACAAGGAGGCAATACGAAGTGAAAAAGTTTCCTACTGGAAAGAAGCTATGGAAAGTGAAATGAAGTCGCACAAGGAAAACCAAACTTGGACCCTGGAGAAACTGCCTGCAGGAAAGAAATGTATAACATGCAAGTGGTTATACAAAGTAAAAACTAATCCTGACGGCTCAGTTGACAGGTTTAAAGCAAGGTTGGTGGTTAGAGGTTTCTCGCAGAAGAAAGGAGTGGACTTCAACCAGACTTTCAGCCCAGTAGCAAGACTCAGCACAATCAGATCCCTACTAAGTGTAGCAGCAGTGGAACATTTGATTTTGATTTGACACAATTCGATGTATCAACCGCATTCTTATACGGCCAAGTCGATGAAGTTATTTACATGACGCAGCCTGAAGGATACAAGGATGGTACAGATCGTGTGTGCAGGCTGAACAAGAGTCTCTACGGTTTGAAACAGGCGCCTCGCTGTTGGAGTACCAGATTCAACAAATTCATGGAACTTCAAGGATTCAAGAAAAGTGATGCTGATCCGTGTCTGTTCATGAAAGAAGATGGAAAAAGTAAACTGATTGTAGCGCTGTACGTAGATGACGGGCTTATAGCGACAAACAACACGGGAATGCTTCAGAACTTCATGGATCATCTGACGAAGGAGTTCAAAATCACATCCAAACCAGCATCTTTCTATTTAGGCCTAGAAATAGAACAGAAAAGTGACGGAAATGTTAGAATATCGCAGAAAGCGTATACAAAGAAAATTCTTGAACGTTTTCAGATGAGTGACTGTAAACCAGCTCTAACACCCATCGTGAAAGAGAACGAAACACAACCAGCAGGGAAAGCAGAGAGCTCAAGAGACAAGTTTTCATACAGAGAAGCTGTAGGTGCTCTGATGTACCTGATGACTGCAACTAGGCCAGATATAGCCTATGCTGTGAGTAAAGCATCGCGTACTCTTGAAAACCCGTCTCACGAAGACTTCATAAGGGTGAAGAGGATACTGCGATACCTGAAAGGAACGATCGACTACGGAATAGAATACCAGTCCAAAGAAAACAACCATGTTTTAGAGTGCTTCAGCGATGCTGACCATGCTGGAGACTCATCGACCGGACATTCTACAACAGGAGTAGTCTGCAGTTTTGGAGGAGGAGTAATCGCCTGGCTAAGTCAGAAACAATCGAGTGTGGCAATCTCAAGCACTGAAGCCGAAATTGTTGCGGCCAGTGAAGCCTGTCGTGAAATCGTTTGGCTGAAAAGACTTTTGGAAGAGATAACTTCACTGAAGAGTGTGCCAGTTCTCAACATCGACAACGAAGCAACCACACGGTTAGCCGGAAACCCAGAAAACCACAAAAGAACAAAGCATATCAAAATTAGACATTTCTTCATCAGGGAGCTTGTAGCGGAAGGACAAGTCAAGGTTAACCATGTACCAGCTGAGTTCCAACTGGCAGATTGTATGACCAAACCTCTTCACAAGCCAAGACTTAAGACTTTGTGGCAAGCTATGGGACTTAACTAGTGACTTTAAAAATTCTTTAAATGAGGGAAAGTGTTAAGATATGTGATTAACTTATCTATCATTTAAAGAATTTTCCTCTATGTTTTTTCTTTCTCTCAGCTGTGCTATTATTAATTATGCAGTTTTTGTATAATATGAGTTTGTAGATAAAAACATAACAAAAATGTCTAAACCCAATTATTCTTTCCTCATCTTTAATTTCAACAATTATGAATCCTGTTCCAAATTGGGGGCACTGTTTCATGACTTTATTTCCTGGTTTTCCATTGTAAATCCTATATCCTTGAGATTCAAATGGATCTTCTGTTGTATTCCTCATTTCTTGAAGTCCTGCTATAGGCCCTAATGATCTTTTGTTTGTCTAGTTCATTCGTGAAGTTCTTGAGCTTACCAGTCTTCAGTAGAGAGTTAATGTTATGTGTGCAATGTAGTTTACTTGTTTGTGTTTTATTTTGTTTGTATGTTTGTGATTAGAGTCAAGTGGTTTCAAGTAATTTGTTTCATGTGAGCCTTTTAGTTGGCTACCCACCGAATCTGATGTAGCCTTCTACTTCCCCAAGGGGTTGGACAGTGGAAGTTTTTTTCTAAAAGACCTTTCCATGATTGACTGTCAGAAGTTAAACCTTCGGGTGGGCTGAAATTTGGCATGATGATAGCTCACATTCTCAATTAACATTTAGGCATATTCTTATCTCAAAAATCTTTTAGGGCTCCGCCCCAGTGGCTCTGTAGTTCCCCATGTTAACCTTATGAGGTTTCATATTTAAAGGGGATTAAATAATTAGGCAGCTATTTCGACTTTACAAGTTGGATCTATAATATGCAATAGCATTAAAAAGTTATAAGGTTTGCCAACAGGGTGCTGCACTATTATTATTATTTTGTTTTTGCATATATGACAACAGCTAACTTGAACTGCAGTACCTAACAAAAAGCTGTGATACACAATGAGAACTGTCAAAGTAAGGATTGTTTACAGTTAGGTTTGAGTTTTTAATTTAATGAATAATTTGTAATATTGTGCGAATGTTTGATAATTTATTTTTTTCTATTGTGGTTCAGTGGTAGAACATTATGGCAATGGTAGATGTGTTATACTATATCATACCAATTTATGAACCAAATTTTATCAAACTGTGTCCTCCCCCATTGCAAACGCAAAGCTTGAGTATATCTGCAATAAGCATTTTATACTTATAGGCCAACCCCGTACGAAGGACGGGTGCTCTGCTGGTTTTTTTATAATTTCAAATCCATTTTTGTGCTCATATTTGAGCCTATTTGAACATTAAGTATGACGTCATGGATCTATGGACCATCAATATGACATGTTGAATAGCTCCTGTGAGCCTGTTCGGATTGCGACTCATCGTTAGAGGAGGGGAGGGGACTGGACTGGGACTGGAGACTGGACCGAACGAACAACAAACAACAACAAACAAAACAACAAAGAAAGAAAAAAAAAGATTCGAATTTCAAATAATAAATAATGTAATTTAATTAATCATAAACAATTGGTTTGGCCTTGGGTAGTACCATGTAGTATTGGTAGTACTGGCTGGCTTGCTTGACGTTGACGGTACTGACTAGTGACTACTAACTGACTGGATTTATGATTAGGACTGTGCCATGATAGGCTTAGTTTTAACTTACAGTTTGGTTTGGTTTATTTTATTATGGATACAGGATAACTGAGTGACATGACAACTGTTGTGAAGTGATTTGGATTTGGCGCTTTAAATAATATTTTGAAAACCATGAACGATCTTATTGCATATGAGAAATATGAAACATTTATTAAGTGAAATTAACTTGGTACTTAGCCTACTGTTTCGAACGTAGGCCTAAAGCAGAGATCTCTGCCTTTACTACACTTAGCCAACTCAAGGTACGTTGCAGGTTATGTAGCCTAAATCACGTTTTAATAGTTGTTAAGTAGGTACCGTACCTGAGAACTCATTTTTTTAACTCTGGACAGTTTGCCTAACTCAACTTTTAACAGCTAGGCTTAAGTTAGCCTATTCAGGACAAAAGATTGATTGGCCTTTCAATCCTAATTAACTTAAGTAAGTTAGTGATGAGCATCGATAGTTCAGGCATCGATGCCAACCACCGATGTACCAAGACTGGGATAGTGGCGTCTTCCTATAATCCAACTAGGGTAGACTTCTGTATCTGTTGTCTAAAACAACCGAATAAAATAACAATCGATGTATCGAATAATTTTTCATTCGGTTGTTTTTGACAGCCACGGAAGTGTACCCTCCAACTACTTACTAACTTAATTAGGACTAAGTAAGTTAAAGAGGTCATAAATTGTGGGTAGGTATTTAACTTATAGACATACACTGTGGATGCGATACTCCCTGGTGTGGATTATCGTCCACACAAGGGAGAAGTTAGTTTTGCCATAAGTTTAGGCTATAGCAATTTGTAAAAAAGAGGAGATTTTAGCTGGTGGTCCCCACTACAGTATAACTTAGGCCTAAATAAATACAAATTTACGTGCTAGCTAAATTGCATAAGCCTACTTAGCACAAATAAATACTTTACCAGAAATTTTATGGGTCATACTCATAAAAAAATTAAGTTATGTCACTGGCCCGAAAGTATAGGCTTTTATTAATATTTAAATGGAACTGTCAAAAAACGTCCAAACCAGTTGTTACGTCTATTAGTAAGTTAGGCATGTTGACATTCGGGACGGTGTGTTAATGTTTATTAACCTATAGCCTACCGTTTCTGTTTGATATTCGTGCTACAATGTCAATATTCAAATATGGTACGCAAAAGCATTAAAGTTACATCTTGCTTGCCACATCTCACTATAAATAACTACATAATAACTTTAAACGATCTCTGTCTGCTAGACTCGGTTCGGCATTGGTAGTCAACACAGATCCTTCAACCTGACCGGCAGACGTGAATTGAAGGACTGGGAGCAATGAAACAGACAATAAACTAAGACTATAATAATTATGGTAGTACAATAACTCGTCAAGTAATCCGAATGTTGATTGTAAGGTTTAACAACCTAGCCTACATGTTTCGCTGTAAATGCAGCATTGTCAGGATTACAAAACATAAGACATTGATGTCACACGCACACAATAAATACACAAACACCAACATTTAATTAGCATTGATAGGCCTATCACACGCACATGACACGGACGGTCCCGGCACAAGTAGTAGTAGCTCGTATGTAACCCTGACAATGCCGCATTTACGGCAAAACATGTAAGCTTGTTAACCTGACGATCAACATTTGGATTACTTGACGAGGTGTTGTAGGCCTACCTTAATTATTAGTCATATATATAGGCTAGTAAGTTAATCCAGGTATAATATTAGTAATCAACATAGAATTTAATAAACTAAGGACGTTGTTGTCCAAAGTGAAACTAAGGAATAAAAAAAAATGTTAGTAGGCCTAGAGAGTAGGCGTACAAGGGTTGCATTTATCAGTCATTGCATACAATATTTGCAAACACAAACATTTATTTTATTCCAAAAGCGTTGTTATACCCTACAATGTATTATAACCTTTGGTATATAAGGCAGCCTATATGTCGCGCTGCGTAGGACGAGGGTTACTTACTTTTAACAGTTTCTGCAATTTTATAGAAAAATTCTATAACTTTTGAACATCTGCCTTGCTTGTCTTGCCTTTTTTTTTAAATTTCTTGCATGCTATTCTTTTTTTAATTTCATTTTAATTTTTTGAGATAGGTAATCGTTTATTTAAACTGCCAATATATTGTGAAAGTGTTCACGTTGGGAGAGCCTCAGTACCTCTTGGAGAGGCTTAAGTACAGGGAGGAGATCTGTCTGCGTAGTACTCGTTCCGACCGCAGGCTTTACTTTTCTAAGTGAGGTTGCAAGTCATTTTCTTATTTCGGCCCACAGTTGTACAATGGCCTCCCTCAGGACATAACGCCAAATTCTATGGTTCATTCAGAGCCGCAATAAAGAAAAAAACAAATGTAAAATCAATGTAAATTGTACATGTTTTTCCATAGTACCGGTAATTTATGTATATTAATCTTCTTTTTAATAGTATTTCTTTGAAATGGCGACCATACAAAGGTAGGTATTTTAAGCCAAGTATAAATGGAGATGAGTGTAGGATGAGTGGGGCGATCTTGTAGTCTTGTTAGTGACTAAGGCCGACATATTCCTTAGACACAGCTGTTAATTAATAGCCCATACAGCTAATGGCAACTAAGGGGCCTACAGTTTATAGTGGAATCCAAACCACATCTTTGCCTTGGTATTAACGAATTAGTCTAATTATCAGGATAGCACTGCGCATAGTCGTAGTACTCACTAGTGCGGACGTTAATCCACACCAGGGAGTATCGCATCCACAGTGCATGCCTATAAATATCCACAATTCGTGACTTCCTAGTAGCTGGATTACAGGACGACGCCACCGTCCATAAGTGTAAGGTTACACACAGTGTAGATGAAATGCTGGGCCGGTATATTGCCGTTGGTGACCGCTGTGCAGCCGTCCAGTGCCACTGCAGCAGGCGATATTTTTGCCGCTCTTGTCCGTATGAGATAAAATGTGCGTTTACACATTTGGCGGGTTTTCTACCGTTTCCTCAGTAACTCAATAACTTGTTTATTGAACCAATTAGACACAATTATTTTCCCATTTTATACAAGTCTAACCAGTGAGGTTAGTTGCTGTTGCATTTTAAGGGACATACAAATGAAAGGAAATCTATATTGCTCGGGAATGTAATATTTCATCAACTACGTTGCATACAATTTTGATAAACAAAGAAAATTTTGGAGAGAAAAAGAGTTGGTAAACGTACGTTAACGTGTGAAAACTAGATCAATTTCAAGACGTGAAAGAATGTTGGCTGAAACAATGTTAATTGAAAAACTAAACTTTAGGTCTACTAGTGCTTTTGATTATACTTATATTTTATTTAACACATATTTCAATTTTTATACTCGATATTAAGAGTACTACAACCTGCACTAAGCCTATTATAATTTGAAAAAAATACTCCTTGCACAAGTTCTAAAATGAACTCATTAAAAAGATGCTCGGTGCTTAATCATGATTACAAATCCACGACTGCTGGTCGAAATGACCTTGATAACACTACCTACCCTCGACAAGAAGATCACTTTAATACTTAAATACTTTCTTAATACTTTTTTTATGAAATGTCGACCATACAAAGTAGGTATTTTAAGCCAAGTATGAATGGAGATGAGTGTAGGATGAGTGGCGCGATCTTGTAGTCTTGTTAGTGACTAAGGCCGACATTCCTTAGACACAGCTGTTAATTAATAGCCTCAGAATATTTTGCTCAGTCTTTCACAAAATCAAAACTATCAATCAAAATCAATCATCGATCTAAATCAATCTGTAAAACTGCTGGGATTCTAAACAAGGGTCAATTGTTTGTTTTGGAAACTGAGCTCTATAATCTCTACTGACTAACTGAGGACTGCCTATTTCAGACTCTTTCAGTCTCATATTGCTTATGGTCTCATACTTTGGGGACACTCTGCAAATGTCTCAGATGCCCTGATTCTTAAAAAAATATTAATTAGAACCATTTGTCAAGCCAGGCCTGGAGATCATAGTAGATGTCTTTTCAAACAATTGAAGATTCCTACAATTATTAACTTACTGTATATATTTATCATGTATTAATATTCACAAAAACAAATCCAAATTCTTCTTTTATTAGACGTGAGGTACACAATCACAATACCAGGAATAAAAACAAACTTGAAATCCCTCAACATAGGTTAACAAAGTTTGGAAATTCTTACATGGTAAATTGTGTTAAATTTTTTAATAAGCTTCCCGATAATGCTCACACCACTCCTCTTAAAGGCTTCAAAATTAAGTTGTATCAATGGCTTCTAGACAATCCATTCTTTACTATTAATGAGTTTATGGCCACCAACATAGATAATATATTTTAAGTTTTCAAATTAATGATAAGCATTAACTTTTGTTTGTTTGGATGAAGTTTACCAATTTTATTAATTTAATGTTTATGAAGCTGTTGTTTAGGTACTAGGCTGGAGTTGCAACTTTTAGTTTTAATTTAAATATATTTAGATATTATTGATGATTATTATCGATATTATTGATATTATTTGATGTTATTGACTGTATATATTTATGTTGACCATGCCCATCTCATGTAAAAATGATCAACGGCAATAAATATCTTATGTCATACAGCTAATGGCAACTATGGGACCTACAGTTTATAGTGAAATCCAAACCACATTTTTGCCTTGGTATATACGAATTGGTCTAATTATCAGGATAGCACTGCAGATAGTCATAGTACTCTCTTGTACGGACGTTAATGCACACCAGGGAGTATCGCATCCACAGTGCATGCCTATAAATATCCACAATTCGTGACCTCCTAGTAGCTGGATTACAGGATGACGCCCCTGTCCCAGTCTACTGTCACCTCGAAAACAAGACTATTTTCCTGATCCCCTAGAAACACATCTTATCAAGGTTCTTCTACTGTACTACACTACCGCTGCTCACTTGTTTTCCTATCATTGTGATTTATTAATTTAGGCCTATGTTTGACAGTTCTCCGAAGTGAGAGTTGCCCATTGTGTCTCCTGGAGTGAGCTGCCGCCACAGGTCACAATAGAAGCTCTCATCCCCACGCCGTTTACTCTGGACGACGCTGCTTCTTTTGTAGGTTTTTATTACTAGTATTAATTTCTTGTTTTGTTATTAACATGTAACCATTTTTGTTAAAGATCATGTTATACATGGAAAGAAAGGGTGTAAAAAATAAGTTGGCTTTGATACATCAAATATTTCTTTATTTTGAGTAAAGCTACACGGCAAGATGGATCTCCCTACTAACTGTATTAATCCATAGAAAAACTAAGGAGTTAGATCACTGTTTCATATCCTACCGAAACATTAATGATTACATTTGTACCAGCTGAGATTTACATAGGTATCAAAATAAACATGAGATGAAAAAAGTTCATTTGTTAGCTACCATTAGATTCTTACTCTTTTGGTAACAATTTACGACACCATACTCACTGTAAACTCACTTCCTGACGTGTTATGTAAAAATTGTGTATTATAAAGTTTTGGAGGATAATCATTGGTTTGATAAGAGAAAGGGCATGTAGTAGAGGGAGGCTGAGCTTCATGGGGATTCGTGATTGCACAAATTTTTTTAAAAGGTAGACGTTAGATTAGGTAAGTTTAAGTGTGGGTTATAGTGAACCAGGTAATTTACTATGTTACATCCATACAGGCTTTTGTTCAAGAAATTTGACATATCAGAAAACTGTAAAGGGAGCAGCTGTGTACAGGCTTCTTACAAAGCCCAGATATTTTCAAAATGCTAACAATTATTCTGAATACAAAATATACTATGATCTGGCCTTTTCTCAACTAATTGACTCGTAATTTAAAAACTTTAATATACTCAACTATGGGCTGCAACCGAGATTGTGTTTCTGCCGCTCATTTTGTCTCGAATGTATTGGAATTAAAAAAAATAACAAGATTTGCTGTGATCATTGTATCAGGCAAAAATTTAAAAAAAATTGATCAAAGCAATCAACATTCAGAAAATATCTTAAACAAATACAGTACACTCAGAGGTGCCAAATACAAAACAACCCGGTTGAAAATTTTAAAAATTCATCATTTTTAATTCCACCAGCATACAGTAGACCTCAACCCCAGCCGATAACTCCCAACAACCTTACCATCAGCATCAGCAGCCCACTAACATTTCCAGGTTACGGTATCTTTTATTTTTAGTGAAGTGATCAAGATACCGGAAAGTGTTTTTAAAAAAGCAGAGCAGTGAAAGTCCAAATAGTATTGTAATAGAAAGTAGCAATAGTAATATAACATTTATTTAATACATTAGCATCGGCATTTAATTATGTGCTGGGCCACAGAATAGTATTTATACCTCTCAGTGGCTGGACGTCAGAATCTAACAAGTAAAGTATAGGATTGATAGTGCATTGTTGAGTGTTGATAGAGACGAGGATGTTGAATGTTTAATGAGGCTTAGTAGGATATTATTTTCTAAGGTACCTTTTCAATGAACCATTTGATGAGGGAGGCAAAGATTTTAATGATAAAGAAGGAGATCTTAAAACCTAAAGAAATTTTCTCTCTACAAGACAGAGATGACTTATAATTATTTATTGATTTAACCAAACTTTTTTTAGCAAACTATGTTTATTTGTAGTTTCACAGTTTTATCATATGTATTTGTCATTTATAGAGGTACATAGAAAACTAATAAGGTATTATTGACTTATTGAGTTATACATAGGAAACGGTTTACATCAAACAAACAATACAAGGTGTATGATTTTATTACAACTCAACAGTCAATTTTATGTTACATCAACTTAGCATATTCAGAAGGTTGTAAATTAAATGTTTTACACCATTTTTATATTTTGAGGGATTACAATATATCGCAAAACTTAATGAAATATGGCTTTTTAATTGTAGCCTACCCGGTCAAAAAGACTGTGCAATTCTCCTCAAGTTTTCAATTCAGTGCAACACTTAAGGAAATAGATCTGACTTATTTCAGGATTTTTTTCTAGTAAAAATCCTATTACACGATCATAAGTTCACTTAGTTTGCAGGTTTACTGCAGCAGGGGTACTTATTTCTTTATTGTTTTTAAACTATATGTTACCTCCAGAATGCAATGGTCTTCGTAATTATATTTTTCTGTATAAACTATACATTCAATTCTTATCATTATTGGTAATTAATATTTCATACAGACACCATTAGATGCTTTTGACTTGGCTGAGTTGATTGTTTCTAACCTTGGCGAGGTTTGGCTAGATTGTTCGACACTGTTGCGACCAGTTTCTCTGATGTCCAGTGTTGCAGCTTTGCTGACACTGTTGATACTCAGCTCTGTTGGAAGACTTTCCTTTACTAAAGCTGATTTTGAGAAAATCATCGATGAGATCGTTAAAGCTGAGAATATTATTCCCAAAATAGCCGTACAAACGCCTACTGCCACAAACTGGAACAGAAAAAGTAAAACGTTACACTTTTTTGCATCCTTGAGGTTATTATTTTATTTTATATTTTAACAACCAACCTGTTTCGACTCCTAGTCCATGATTACAGTTAAACAAGGTTACTTGAGACAGTGGCCGCTAATCAAATTATTACTTGTTAGCTCCAGAAGTCCATATGATCCTCATTATATGATCTGTACCTCAGGGTCCGCGGAATTGGCTAACTCTGGAACTCGCTAACCCCATGTTAAACGCCCTATCTTCAAATTTGGTCGATGAGAGGAACTCGCTAACTTGTTCGGTTTCGGAATTGGCTAACTCCGGAACCCGCTAACCCGCTCTAGAACCGGGTTAGCGAATTCCGTCCTCGTACGGAAGTCGCTAACTCGGTCCCTCGGCGGAACTCGCTAACTCCCAATCAGAAGCCTCGCGGGCCGTCCAATGGGAGTCAAGCACGAATATTTTTGGCCAGTGTTGCCGAAAGTGTAGTACCTATATCGTATCGGTACCAAAATGTCGTATCTTACGATTAATTAGTAGTAAGAGCAACGTAGTCGATAAAATAAATATATTTGGAAGTATGTTTAACATTATTCTTATGATTATTAGGGTGGAAAATGCATTATAGTCTTACCATAGACTAACCAACACAAGTAAACTTTACATCCCATTGTAAACTTTGAAGCTCGTTTTTCGTGTCTAGTTCATGTCCGGTGACACTGATCGCTAGTGTCGACAAAATTGTGTTTCTATTATTTCATAGTTAACTTCATGATTTGTTCTTTACTGTTTGGTTATATAACTAGAGGACGTGTTATTAGTTGTGATTAGAACGTTTTACTTGGTTAAACAAAGTTTTTAATGACTGAAAACAAGAAACAATTGTAAACAAAACACGACCTCTAAAGACGGTGCACCGGACAGAACTAACAATAAAACTGTCTTCAGCTGTCTTCAGCTGTCTTGAGCTTTATGGCTCGCCATAAAGATGAGAAATCATACTAATATTATAAATGTGAAAGTTTGTGTGTTTGTGTGTTTGTTTGTTTGTTTGTTTGAAGTTCAATCACGCTTTAACTACTGGACGGATTGGGCTGAAATTTGGCATAATGTTAGCTCACATTCCCGATTAACATATAAGCCTATTCTTATCTCAAAAATCCTTCCGGGCTCCGCCCCAGTGGCTCTATGGATTCCTATGTTAACCTTATGAGTATTCACATTTAAAAGGAATTAAAGAATTTAGTCAGCTGTTTCAACTAAACAAGTTGGTTCTATGATATGCAATAGCATTAAAACGTTATAAGGGTTACCAACAGGGTACAACACGATTAGGCCATTTTTTGTTTGCATTTTTGACAAAAGCTAATTGAACTAAGCAGCAACAAAAGCTGTGATACGCAATGAGAACTATCAAAGTAGGATTGTTTACAGTTATTTTTAGGCCTATATGACCATTCAATGAATCATTTGTGATATTGTGCAAAGTCTTGATAATTTGTTTTCTATTGTTTAGGTGCAGTAGTAGAGCATTATGGCTATGGTAAATGTGTTATACTATAGCATACCGTAAACTTCAAGAACCAAATTTTATCAAACTGTGTCGTCCCCCATTGCAAACACAAAGCTTGAGTATGACTGCAATAAACATTTTACACTTATATGCCAACCCCGTACGAAGGACGGGTACTCTGCTAGTGTACTAATATAAGGGAGTATGTGTTATATGTGGGTTTCTTACTTTAATAGTAGCTTTTTGGTATGCAAAAAGATAAAAATGCACATTTAATTCGGATCTATTACATGTTATGAAATATCTATTTTCGTAGTCCGCCATTTGTTTCTTTTATTCGAATAAATACCATTTTGTGAACTTCTGCAAATAAAATTGTTGAGTTCGCATTTTATATACTGGGCGTGTAACCTTGAATCATAAATCATAATAAAATTTACACGTTATTACAGAATTACATTGTAGTGGTAATGTATTTTTAAATAGAGCTATTGAATTTAAATAAATATTTATTAATACACTATAAAGTGGTAGGCTTAAAATGTATTCATGGATTGCATTAAAAATGAGTCTATGCATAAATACAACTTGCAAATTTCTTTTATCATAGGCTATTATCGTGTAGAACCCGGGTCATCCTCTTGTTTGTTGAATTAATATTAATTTTACGTCTTTCAGTAGGCCTATTTGTTAAAAGTCTAGAGTTTTTTTCAGGCTGGTTCTAAATGGACCCAGGCGTTCTTGTTTGTAAAAATTCTTATGAATGGTGGCCATAGCTAAAATTACTTGATCTTATCCAAAAACAAAGCTATTGTCTATTGTGTAGCTCAGTACCGGTGAACGGTGAACCGAGCAATGCCTTGGTATCGTTTATATAGTTTGTGAAAGCAATAATATAAAGGAAACCCAACATTTAAAAAAATCAGGAAAATCCGTCAAATCGTTTATTAAGAATCGTGAATTGAAATAACCCTGTCATGTTTTATTATATGAATATTATATCTTCTCCTATTTTTTACTAGTGGTGCTTAGGTGTACAATCTAAAAACGGTTTTAAAACATGTAACATTATTGCTAAAAAATTCAACACATTTTAGAATTATGCAACTATTTACTAGTAGGCCTACATTACTTTAGTTCAAACTATTGGGCCTAGATAAAAACTTAGTATATGTCATCATATTTGTACACGTAAGTTGGACGGTTCAACAACGAACATTTGATTTTAAATCTATGAATTAGTTATGAAAGTTACGATAGTTGATGACTGTATTAATTAATGGTTTTGGTTTATTACGTCATTACGATTGAATCTGTTTTCCGTGTTTGAGAACTTGCGTGTATTTTAGCTTAATTTCGTAGGAGTCTAATTATTTAGTACCAATTAAACTGAATTTTCAATATTTTTCATATTCTATTATTTTCTTTTGTACTGATGGCATTTATTTTTAAGATCGAAATCATAAACATTTAACTGGCCATTGTACAGTTACATAAATAAACACTTTTCATAATTTTGCAATTGTCTTTGAATTACTTTGGGCTAGTTATCTGTTAAAAGTGGAATTGATAACAAAAAACAATAACATTTACTGTATCTTCATTGACACTGACATTTTAAAATACGGCAGTGTACGATTATTTTGTCGTACAATGTTGGCAACGCTCCGTGCAGTGGGCGCGGCCGGGTTAGCGACTTCCAGAGTTAGCGAATTCCGCCGCGAGACAAAATCGAGTTAGCGGGTTCCGGAGTTAGCCAATTCCTGACTGAGACGGTTAGCCAGTTCCAGAGTTAGCCAGTTCCGACACACGACCGAGTTAGCGAGTTCCTGAGTTAGCCAATTCCTACGTCTCGTACCTCACGGTAAAGAACAACTCTTCGCCAGGATTGGCTTTTATAAAATGTGCCTGGTAATCCAAACAAACTTGCTGTCAACATCTGTGATAGTTAGGGTGCATTTGTCCGTTCCATCTTTTGGTTGTACTTTTGTACTTTACCAATAAAGTCTTTAGTGTATCTGAAAGTCAAATTTGATGTGTTTGGGACGTTGTTTATAAGTGGTTCAAAAACTGGTCAGTGGTTAGGGTTGTAAAACAATATCATAACAATTTGGTTTTCTCAGATTGAAAATGGAGTTGTTTCAAGAAATTCCTTGACTTCTTTGTTGTATATTTTGGTTGAGTCTTGAATTTCAAATACAGAATAATAAAAAAAATAATAAAAAAGTAGTTTGTTATATTCTTATTTTAGCTGTTAAATGTAGTCTTTATCTTCTTGTTCGTCAATGTTAAGGAATAAAACCTCAAATGTCCATATTTTTTTGCAACCATCAACCTTATTTTGGTTAGTTCCATGTACCTAACATGGAACCAAAATGGAGTTGGATTTTGCAAAATTGTACTCCTATTTCACATTTTCGGTAAATGCTGTTGTAACAATAATTTATTGAAATAGGGCATATTTTTAACCATAATGTTATCAGGATTTCAGATGAGTTTTTGTAAACAAAGTTACGATAGCATTTTATTGGTTTTTGGACATTACGGCATTTAGAAATTATGAAAAAGACCTGAAAAATACTATACTTAGTGATATTACTTTATATAAATTTTGCGTACAGCCTTGATTTTAGATTAATTTTATGGTTTCTATCTACTGAATATCTTAATGTGGTAAAACTATTGTTTAACGGATAAAAAAATATGTACCAAGCAAAAAATATACATGTCTAATAATGTATGATCTTTTTTCAGTGACAATAGATTAACCCAGGAAATAAGGAGATCCTCAGTTTAACACAAGGACCTCGAAAGAAAATCTCAAAAATAATGTGAAATATCTAATATTCAATGTAAGAGTTGACCAAGTACGCAATCACGTCCCTCAAGACGTCTCAAAGTAGTGTGAGAGACCAGTGCAACTGCTAGACATTTAAACAATCCTAAAAGCAAGGAAAATATCTATATAGACATACAAGTTCTAAATATATTAGTTAAGCCTGACATTTAGTTGCTGGTCGATTTGTATAGTTTCAAGTCAGTAAACTCAATAGAACAAGGTTAAGTCACTCTAAAATGTTGCCCCTTAAATGTCCGATATGTAGAACAATTTTTTCATCTCAATCAGCAATGAAAGCTCATATATTAGTGCATACGGGTGAGCGTCCATTTAAATGTTTAACATGTGAGAAAACCTTTATTCTAATTCATCATGTCAAGAAACATTTGTTGACACACTCTAGGAATTGTGCTGATAAAAGCAATACTTCTGGAAAATCTATTAAAAAAATACAAAATTCCAAGAAACATACATTAAGAAACACTGAAAAGCAACCACCAGCCTATAAGTGCACTACATGTGACGAATTCTTCACTTCCAAGACAACTTTGCAAAATCATACATTGGCCCATACTGGAGTACGTCTACATAAATGTGCTACACGTGGAAAATCCTTCAAAATAAAAGACCAAGTAAAGACACATCAAGCAGTTCATACCGTAGAGAGACCTTACAAATGTACCACATGTGGAAAATCCTTCGCATACAAATGCCAAATGAAGCAACATATATTATTAGTTCATACTGGAGAACTACCTCATAAATGTAAGACATGTGGAAAGTTCTTCGCATACAAATGCCAAATGAAGCAACATATATTATTAGTTCATACCAAAAGGCATCCTCATAAATGCTCCACCTGTGGAAGATCCTTTGCATTCAAATCCCAAATGAAGCAACATATGTTAGTTCATACCAAAAAGCAACCTTATAAATGTCCCACATGTGGAAAATCCTTTGCATACAAATGCCAAATAAAACAACATATATTATTAGTTCATAGGGGAGAGCAACCTTACAAATGTACCACATGTGAAAAATCCTTCGCATTCAAATCCCAATTGAAGCAACATGTATTAGTTCATACCGGAGAGCGGCCTTATAAATGTACCACATGCGGAAAATCGTTCACAACTAAACTGAATTTGAGAATACATACATATGTCCATACTGTAGAGCAATTTCACACTTATAGATGTGCTATATGCGGAAAAGCCTTCACATCGAAAAGCAACATGAAGAATCATATATTAGTACATACGGGCGAACGTCCATTTAAATGTTTAACATGCAAGAAAACCTTTATTCAAATACATCAGGTAAAAAAACATTTGTTGACACACTTAGGGAATAGTCTCATTAAGAGCAGTACATCAGGAAAATCCATTAAAAAAATAGAAAATTCCAAGAAACATACATTAGATCGCACTGAAAAGCAACCACCATCCTATAAGTGCACTACATGTGACAAATTGTTCACTTCCAAGACAACTTTGAAAAATCATACATTGGTCCATACTGGAGTACGACTACATAAATATACTACACGTGGAAAATCCTTCAAAATAAAAGACCAAGTAAAGACACATCAAGCAGTTCATACCGTAGAGCAACCTTACAAATGTACCACATGTGGAAAATCCTTCGCATACAAATGCCAAATGAAGCAACATATATTATTAGTTCATACTGGAGAACTACCTCATAAATGTACCACATGTGGAAAGTTCTTAAAAAACAAGAGCAATATGAAGAAACATGCATTGGTTCATATTGGAGAGCGGCCTCATAAATGTGCTACATGCGGAAAATCTTTCATATTCAAAAAGTCTTTGGAGCTACATATATTAGTACATACCGGAGTACGAGCTCATAAATGTACTATATGTGGAAAAAACTTCAAAAGAAAAGACACTCTAAATACACATCAACTAGTTCATACAGGAGAGCGACCTTATAAATGTAATACATGTGGAAAATCCTATACAGCTAAACGTCATTTAAGGGAACATACACTTATCCATATCGGAAAGCAACCTCATAAATGTACTACTTGTGGAAAATCCTTTACAAACAAGAGCAATATGAAGAAACATACATTGTTGGTTCATACAGGAGATCAACCTCATCATAAATGTACTATATGTGGAAAATCATTTACAAGTAAAAGATATATGAAGAAACATATTTCACTTCATACCGGAAAGCAACCTTATAAATGTACCATATGTGAAAAACCCTTCTTAAACAAAAACCGAATGGAGGAACATAAGTTGGTCCATAGCCCTACTGGAGGGAGGAGACCTCGCTCTTATGACTGTGCTACATGTGAAAAATCTTTCAAATGCAAAAGATCTATGGAGCTACATATATTAGTTCATACCGGAGAGTGACTTCATAAATGTACTACATGTGGAAAATCCTTCACATGCAAACAAACCATGCAGGAACATATCTTAGTACATACCAAATAGCGACCTCATAAATGTACTACATGTTGAAAATCCTTCAAAAGTAAAACCACGTAAAGGCACATCAATCAGTTCATATGCAATAACACTACATGTGGACTATTCTTCAAAAGTAAAAACCATGTAAGAGCACATCAAGCAGTTCATATCGTAGAGCGAACTTATAAATGTACTACATGTGGAAAATCCTTCACAACCAAAAATGGTACGCAGCAACCAGCAACATATATTATTAGTTCATATAAGAGAATAACTTTATAAATGTAGCCAACCACATGTGCAAAATCTGTTGTATACAAATCCCAAATGAAGCAACACACAAGTTCATACCAGAGATCAACCCCATTATGTGCCACATGTGGAAAATCCTTCGCATACAAATGCCTAATGAAGCAACATATATTACTAGGAAAAATCTGCGTGGCTCAGCGAGCCGCATACTAAGAAGCACAACGTTGAGGAAAACTCGCTGCTTGATGTTAGTTGCAGTAAGATTATTAGAGTTGTTTGACATTTTTGATAGAAATGGAGCTTAAATATCTCTAATTGCGTCTTGAAGGTTCGCTTACATTTCTGTTCTCAGTTATGAATGATAACTTCTAATGAATTATAAAATGAACTGTAGGCCTACCGTTTTAAGAAAAAGTAGCAATAACATAAAAAATGTAATTCAAGTAAATTTGCAAGTCAATTATTTGATTGTAAAATATTTAGATCAGATTCCAAATTTAAATTTGACAAGAAAATATCCGTTTTTATTTCAATTCAGCTTGTACAGGATTTGCAAAAACATGTAGGGTAGGTGAAATCTGATTGGTCAGAATGTTCTCGTTCTGTGGTAGATTCTTAAGGATATTAATTATAAAATGGTAATACAAAATACTCTCATTTTATCATAGCTTGCAGTTGTTAGCGTGCAATAGCGCAGATGACAACTCTTCTATTTATGCATGACTCACCACAAGAATTACATTCCAACATCTTATCCTTAACAGACAAAGCACTGCAGTACTGCCTTCAAAATGACCTGACCATTATTCCATAAAGAAACACATCAGTTAAATTTCAGCCAAAAACATGAAGAAATCCAAGAAATTCCTGAAATAACTGTTTTAAAAATCTCAAAACTGCTGGGCCTGACAATTGATGAAGACCTCTCCTGGAACGACCACATATATACAACCTGACCAAGAAACTTGCATCTGGGGTCTATGTAATAAAGAGGATGAAATGGATAGGATGTCTGGAAACGGCTAAGACAGCATACTATGCTGTAATAGAATCACGTATAAAGTATGGTTTCATATCTTGGGGAGGAACATCAGAAGCAATAAACCTCAGCAAAGTCATGGTACTCCAGAAAAAAGCCGTCAGGGCACTCTCTGGCCTTGAATCCTTAGAGACAGCTGCAGGGAAGCATTTAAATCCCTTAAGTAACAGTGAAATCACTCTAAATCCATGGAGTTGTCCTGTACACAAAAAAACTGAACCTTCCCAGAAATGAGAATTTTCACTCCCACCATACCAGAAGAGCAGCCGACTACAGCCTTCTGATCCACAACACTACACAATACATCAGAAAACCCTCTTATATTGGCCGCAAAATCATCAAAACTCTTCCAAACAACCTCAAGAACGCAACAGGAAATCAACTCTAAACAACAACTCAGGGACTGGCTTGTGGACCGACCGGTGTACTCCCTTAAGGAATTTTTTGACCAATTATGAACTTTCAACACAAAGAAAATGTAAACTGTTAAACAATCTAAATGTTAAACATTCTGAACGTTTGTGACACCATTGTATTTCTTGAGGAAATCACAAATAAAGGAAATTGTCTATTGTCTAGTTCAAAATTATTTTATTGCATTTCGATAATTTCATTATTTGTGTATTGCTACACCGCCATAATATCATAACACTAATTATCATAAAACAGATATCATAACACTAAGCTGGACGCAGTAATCTATTGTTTCTAAAATCAATTAAACATCTGTTACTATGTTTACTTAATAGGAAGTGTGAAATTGTAAAGGCAACGGACTGTGCAACTGATTAAAAGAACTGCTTTGTATATTAGGTTGTTCCTGTTCGTTGATATTTTTGTAGAGTAGAATCAGATGCAATGACACATAATATGTGTCATTGCATCTTTGATCCTAAGTATGCAGTATTCTGATTTAATTGTAAATACTGTATGGTATTACATTTTTAGTCCTTGATGTTTTGATAATTGTATTAGGTTTGCCTGCCGTCTTTAATGCAAGGGGAGTCGCTACTGAAACTAGTGATTTTTAATAAAATCCTTTTAAAAATTATCATATATACTTTTTTAAGTTCATTTAGTCTTAGAAAAAGATTTACTGCCGTTAAAGTAAAAAAAAAAATTGTTTACATACTTTTTGGAGTTTTTTAAGTTTTTTGGCGGGAAAAAATGGGGTTTTTTAAATCTCTTATAACTATTTAACTACTGAACCAATTTTATTGTTCGATATCTTATTTTAAAGAGCAAGGAAAGCACATACTTTCTGTGCATACTCATGTTATTTTCTCAATTAGTTTATAAGTTATGGCTTCAAAAATAAGTTTTTGGAAAATTTATAGGTTATAAATTTTGTTTCATGTACTTTTATTTACCCAATTACAATATCCATGCACATGAAGTTGATTTATAGTATAAACAATGTGTGGTAAAAATTTCATTCATATAGCTGCAATAGTTAAAAAGTTATAAGAACTTATATATAAAAAAACACAAAATTTTAAAGTCACGGAAAACAGCGGTTGAAGTTTATACGTTGGTTTATACTAGGCCTAGTTGATGCCCCAAAAGAGGTGTGCGCGCTTCACTTCAAATATTTTTTTCACAGTGAAAAAAATATATATTATACCAAATGTTATGTTTTTCTGAAACCTTACAATCCATAGAACAAGATAAAAAAATAATAAAAAAATCAAGTTTTTTACAAAATTGGTAGTTTTTCAGTAGCGACTCCCCTTAATAATTTACAATTTGTTATAGTATAGATATCCATTCTTTAATATTTTAAAAGACTATTGATAAGGCACAACAATATTTCTTAAGTTTGTAACAGCTGATGTTTCTATTTCGTGTCCTCTTCCTGTTGCAAAGCACAGGTACAACAGGTAGTTTTTAATAAATATGAATTTTGAAGAAAGAAGTTATTTTACCTGAGTTTAATATAGTAAAATATGGTAAAAAAAAGATCTTTAATATACTGCAACTAGCTGGCCCGACAGACGTCGTCCTGTCCTAATGTGGTTTTATGTCAAATGCTCGTTCATTTTCAAGATGAGCTCTTTCGCATGGCTCAATCACGTCCTGGTTAAAGTTCGTTTGCTACGCTCACTCACCTTTAGGTTGGAGCTCATTCGTTGCGCTCACTTGCCTTCAGGTTAGCTCGTTCGCTACTCTAACTCGCCTCCAGATTGAAGTTCGTTCGCTACGCTCACTCACCTTTTGGTTGCAAATTAGCTGTTCTCATAAATTAAAAAAAATAATAATAGTGCTGCTGCACCCTGTTGGTAAGTAAGCCTATTAACTTTTTAATGCTATTGAACATCACAGAATCAAATTGTTTAGTTGAACCAGCTGTTAAGATTCTTTAATTCCATTTAAATATGAGTACCCATAAGGTTAACATGGGAAACTCCAGAGCCACTGGGGAGGAGCCCGAAAGGATTTTTGAGATAAATATCCTGGATAAATACTGGGAATGTGAGCTATCACCAATCGTGGGAGACGATATAATGATGTCTTGACTGCAGCGAGGGATGATCAGAATTTTACCACGATCTTGCATGACGATGGGGGGTTAAAATACCCACACGACCGCGGGAAAAGATCAGAATTTAGCCTCATTTTATTTATTTGTTTATTTATTTATTTCTTTCATGCAACAAAAACATAATAAACAAAATACATTTTATACAAAGCTACAAAAGTCTCAGTAGTCTTGTTCGCAGCTATAGATAGAGTCCAGTTCAAAAGTCCATTCACAAAAATGGTCAGTTTCTTATCTGGTACAAGCTATTCTCCCAATCTGTTGTATTAAATAGATAAGTTTTCACATTTCATTACCATTTCTTTCATTGTCTTAACAATAATAGGAAAACTAATATAACAACAATCTTTAATACAAGTAAATAAATATTTAGAAAAAAACAATCATTTGCGGTAGACGATGATAATCTCCTCACGACTGTGAGATATTTTCATATTAATAATAACTAGGTAGCGTTCGCAGAGGCATCCACAAAATTGAGCGGAGTCGTCAAGGGTTCATATTATATCGTTTTTGTCATACTGCAGTAAAAACATTCGTTTTTAATGCAAGCGTTGCGGGTGTAAAGTAGCATTTTTACTCTTTAGGGAGTAAAAATAGTTTTTAGCCTCTGTCGAGTAAAAATCAGCTGTTGTCAACTCAGTTGTAAATTTTGATTGTAAACGATTGCATGTATCGAAAATATGTATAGATTAGAGCTTCGTAATCAATAACCTACAGTCTACAGTCTCTTCCCGTAGCATTTTAGCATTGCAGATACATTAATCCATTCCCACACTCAACACTGCTCACCTTTACTACTTCCTTCACCACCCCATACGTCGTGGACCTGTTTCCCTCTCTTCCCATAGCATTTTAGGATTGCAGATACATTAATGTAATTGCCAAAGACAGTTCCCACTTTCTGCACTGCTAGCCTTACTACTTCCTCCACCATTTCCTACGTCATAGACCTGTTTCCTTCCCTTCTCATAGCATTTAAGTATTACAGATACATTTATCTAACTTCCCAAACGGTTCCCCCACTCTGCACTGCCAGCCTTTACTACTTCCTTCACCACTTCCTACGTCGTGGGGCCTGTTTCCTTTCCTTCTCAAAGCATTTTAGGATTGAATATACATTAATCTAACTGCCACAGACGGTTCTCACACTATGCTCATACTTTACCACTTCCTAAGCCACTTCCTACGTCGTGGACCTGTATTCATAACTTTCCATAACAATTTAGTATTTTATATACGTTAATCTAATTGTCCATTGATTGATGGTATGACCAAGTTAAGAGAGATGTGAGTCAGTGTGGAGGGATAGTGGAGATGGCAGCGGACAGAGAAGCGTGGAAGAGGCTGATCTACGAGGCGAAGAATCGACTGCGATTTGTAGCGCCCCAGCAGTAAGTAAGTAAGTAAGTAAGTAATCTAATTGTCACAAACATTCCCCACACTCCGCACTGCTAGCATTTAATACTTCTTTCACCATTTCCTATGTCATGGGCATGCTTCCATCCCTTCTAATAGCATTTCAGCATTGCAGACACATTAATCTAAATGCTACAAACGGTTTCCAGTTCCCATACTCGATCCACACTGCTCACCTTACTACTTCCCTCACCTCTTCCTACGTCGCGGACCTGTTTTCCTCCCTTCCCATAGCATTTTAGGATTGCAGATACCTTAATCTAATCGTCATAAAAAGTTCCCACACTCCGGACTGCTCGCCTTTACTCCTTCACCACTTCCTACGTCACGAAACTGTTTCCCTCCCTTTCCATAGCATTTTAGGATTGCAAATACCTTAATCTATTGGTCATAAACAGATCCCACACTCCGATCAACTCGCCTTTACTACTTTCTTCACCTCTTCCTACGTCGCGGACCTGTTTTCCTCCCTTCCCATAGCATTTTAGGATTGCAGATACCTTAATCTAATCGTCATACACAGTTTCCACACTCCGAACAGCTCGCCTTGACTACCTTCACCACTTCCTACGTCACTGACCTGTTTCCCTCCCCTCCCATAGCATTTTAGGATTGCAGATAGCTTAATCTAATCGTCATAAAAAGTTCCCACACTCCGGACTGCTCGCCTTTACTCCTTCACCACTTCCTACGTCACGAAACGTTTCCCTCCCTTTCCATAGCATTTTAGGATTGCAAATACCTTAATCTATTGGTCATAAACAGATCCCACACTCCGATCAACTCGCCTTTACTACTGAGTAACATCGACAGCACTTGACAGAAATTTGCAGTGATTGCGGGAGACAATGATAATCTCCTCACGACTGTGAGATATTTTCATATTAACAATAATTAAGTCTGTACAACCACGGGCAATAGTCAGAAATTTGCAGTGATTGCGGGAGACGATGATAATCTCCTCATGACTGTGAGATATTTTCATATTAACAATAATTAAGTCTGTACAACCACGGGCAATAGTCAGAAATTTGCAGTGATTGCGGGAGACGATTCAAGGGCTGTCCTGATGGCCTTTTTTTGTTGTTTAAAGATATATTTGCTAGAAGGTGAATTTGCCCAGCACAACAAACCTAAAGTTTGTAATCTTACATCTATTTTTCATGTTAATGAATATACTCTTACTCTACCAACCACACCCTAAAGAAGATCTATTAAAATGATTATTACCTGTTCACGGATAGGAAGAGCCAAAGTGTTCTTGGAAGTCAAAACATATGTTAGAATACCTTGGTAACCGACTGATAGGAAAAAATTGATGCCGAAGATGAGCCCAAACCCGTCATACTTGATTTGCAATGCTATCTGTGAACTAATTATATATTCGATCAGTTTTTTAGTTGTATTTTAAATAGACGCTTGTTTGTATGCCTATAATTGCAGCCTTTTTTGCAAATTTTTTGTACAATAATTGGAGTACAGAAACTTGCCAGTTTTTGGTCTTTCAATTATAGACTATGATGTGTATTTTAGATTCCATGGTGGTAAAATTAAACTAATCAATTGTGATTTCAACAGTCAAATAATTGTGATGTTACTGTAAAGAATGAATTCAAGCCTTAAATGTAGTTTTTTCTATTTCTATAAAAACTACATTGAGTAAATTTAATTAGGTTTGTAAATTTCATTAATACAATCAAATTATATAAATTACATTAAGTTTTAAATTCAACTCAATACTAATCCTTTTCAAAATTATTTTTGCACAGATAACAGAGAACACCAGTAAATCACTATTTGAATTGTATGCATCAAACTCAGCAGTAGTATTTACTCCTCTCGTCTCGATACAAGTTCACTTGGTAAAGAAACTGATGAGACAATAGTCCAGTCAAATGATAGTTGAACGTTACAAAAAATAACTGTTATGAGTTTTTTTCTTAACATTATAATTTTTGGGGCGCTGAATCCGAATCTGAAGAGATCCAACAAAAATTCCTTGTGCGTTTTGAGCTAGACGCAAAAAAAATGAAAATTTTCGCTTTTTTCAGTTTCTTGCTTATAACTCGGAAACTATACATTCTAATAAATTTTACCAAATGTGAAAATGAAAGATCATGAAATTTCCTACAAAATACATATGTATCATTCTTTATCAAACGCACAATTAGCTCGCTAGAGTGCGCTCAAAAAAGAGAAAAATATCACATTTTTGTAAAAAACACGTTTATTGCCAGATTTTCACATTTATTACTGAAAGTACGCGTTTATTGTAGGTGGACTATGTAAGTAAATTAAGTTTTAAATACTTAACATATAAGCCCCAATTAGTGTACAATTAAAACATATCAAAACTTATTTCAGAACAAATAGATGCAAAGACGATAATTGGGACCTGATCCAAAAGACAAAAATTTTACATTGTTGTAAACAACTTTTTTGCCATATTTTCACATGTATTATTAAAAGTACAACGTTTCCACTCATCTTCCCTTCTGTGACTTATTTCACTATCTATTTAAATTAATTCTAGCTTCAAAAAAACCACTTTCAAATAATTACTTTCACCAAAAACACCTAAAATTTATCATGAACAAAAGGACAAATATTCTGTTAAACATAACTTGTCATAGTTAGACATTTATTTTTACAACTATACAGTAGCCTATGGTTGGTTAACCTGTAAGTTGAATAAGAAAGCATTATCATACACAGTTTGAACATAAACAGCTAATTATAACATATTCTATTTTTATTTTTTTACAAATATTGACGTGACATAAAACGCCAATTTTACTTGTAAGACGCCTTCACAATCCGTCGTCCCGATTAACTATGGTATGGCACCTTTATATACAAAACAATAGAGCAATTCCTCATGAGAAGTACTAAAATTGAGGGTAGATTTGGAATGTATAATATTTCTGATAGCATATCCTTTAGATGATTACAAATGCACACATCCATAATTCACATTACCAAAGAGATGGAAAGGTTTTGTGGTGTTCACTTCGAAATCTCTGAGCAGCATGTAGACAGTGTAGACAGCAGAGAATACCGAGTTTAGAGGGTCGACACAGAATCCATCAAAATCTTGAAATGGGAATTCTCATGTTGAATTATATTTATCATACCTAAATGTTCATTAATATGTGTCTCACATCACGTAACATTCCTTTTACATTATGAAACAATTATCCCAAAATGCGTATACCATATATACTAGTTGTTACCCACGAGCTTCACCCCGTTTTACATCATAAGTATTAATAAAACTATTGATTGGTTACTTTAAGCTAAAATAAACAAAAGAGAATACAGTAATACAAACAAATAATCACACCTAATTTTAATAAGGTAAACAATTGAAGAATAACAAACAAATAAGTAATTTAGGGATCGAAGACAAGGAAGCTCTCGTCATATTGTTAAAGTAACTTCCTAATATCCCTTCCCTTGCCCGCCAGGGCTTGGGGATGCTTAAAGTGTAACAATCAGTGTTTAAAACAAAACTCACGCGGCAGGGACACCTCAAGCGTCTTCCGACAGTTTTTTTATATTGAAATCGTTCATTTATACAGTGAGCTATTTTCTTATTTGTTATTTTTTCTCGATTCAATTCAATAATTTTGTATTCCAAACTGTTAACATCATTTCTGTCTTTGTACTGTTTTGTATTAAATATTGAATTCAGCATAACCAGTGAACAACTATATCAGTGTCTTTTGTCCACCGATAACTTTAAACTCATAAAATAATTTCATTAATAGCTACCCAGCTATCAGCGCACCAACCACAAGGAAAAGCAAGATACTACTGAACCGTATTGTACAGAAGAACACCAACCGCATTTGGGGGACTCTAAGCAGCGGTCTTCCACTGCAGTGGAAAAAGTCACTGAAAAAATATTGTCTTTGCTCTTATTTGTTCTGAAATAAATTAGATATTTTTAATTGTACACTAATTGGGGCTTACATGTAAAGTATTTAAACTTAATTTACTTACATAGTCCACCTTCAATAAACGCGTACTTTCAGTAATAAAGGTGAAAATCTGGCAATAACATGTTTTTTTACAAAAATGTAATATTTTTCTCTTTTTGGAGCGCACTCTAGCGAGCTAATTGTGCGTTTGATAAAGAATGATACATATGTATTTTGTAGGAAATTTCATGATCTTTCATTTTCACAGTTCGTAAAATTTAGTAGAATGTATAGTTTCCAAGTTATAAGCAAAAAACTTAAAAAACAGCGAAAATTTTCTTATTTTTCGCGTCTAGCTCAAAACGCAAAAGGAATTTTTGTTGGATCTGTTCAGATTCGGATTCAGCGCCCCAAAAAACATAAAGTTAAGGAAAAAACTCGTAACAGTTATTTTTTGTAACGTAAGGTAGATTTCCACGACGAATTGACTGGACTACAGGTCAACTTATTAAAAACATTGTTTCTGGACTCAGTTACTATTTCACAATGTATACTATCTTTGACTAATGATACTATCTAATTTTTTACCTTAGTACAATGATAACTAGTAAAAAAAAAGTTACTATGATGTTTTAGCCGTTTTACAAACGTTAATTGGAGGCTGAAAGGTACGCATTGCTGTCTATGCTAGTTGTCATCATCATTTGGGAACCGAGCAGATTTTTACATCCCTAGGGCAGAAAATCAGCTGTTCGCTTATTTACTTAAAACATTAATGTACCTCTATATTGAATACACAAGCAGTATCATCAATATTATGCATTGCAATACATTGTTTTATTGTCACCGCTGCCTGACTGATACTGACACTTTGGTGATGACAGATTTGCCTGCCATGCCACCTCGTACAGTAGCTGTAGTTTTAACTTAAAATAGGTAAAATAGTGAAAGTGAAAAATAAATAAATATCGGAGTGAAATATACTAATATTTACGCTATTAACAAAATTATTGAAGTAAAATATCGATATTACCAATATATCGGAGTAAAATATCTCTACCAAAAATTTATCGGAAGAAAACTATCGATGGAAAAAATCGACAATTGGCTTACAAACATCGATATTTTCGATATATCGACTATCGATGCCCAACACTAATGCAGACTTTTAACCAAGCTAAACTGAACAGACAACTTATTAAAATCAATTAGTATCCTGTATGATTTCACTATAAACTGTAGACTCCCTTAGTTGCCATTAGCTGTATGGGCAATTAATTAACAGCTGTGTCTCAGGAATGTCGGCCACGGCCTTAGTCACTAACAAGACTACAAGATCACGCCACTCCTCCATTCATACTTGGCTTAAAATACCTACTTTTTATGGTCGCCATTTCATTGAAAGTATTAAAGTTATCCAAACTATTACAGTGACAAAAACTAAAGCCGGTTTTTACTAGATGCGAAAGAGGAGTGCAGAGAGCGGGAAAGCGGTTAACATGGTGTTCCGCTCCGCTTCTAGGAAAACATTAACATTAAATTATCTAAGACAAAAGGAGTCCGCACTGCTCCTAGGAAAACCCGGCTTTAGGCAGAAAATAACATTTTAGACTGTGGCACAGTGTGTGAATGGTTCATCCACTATGTTTAAAATAATTTGCTACTGCTGGGACATATAGGTGGAATGTCTTCTTCAGAATCAAAAAGTTGTATGAGGAGGCGGATCTAAGCTGTCAACCCAAGCTGTTTGTGCACTCAAAAGTTAATGGTACATACTTGCAGATGACTGTCAATAAGTCACAAAGCACAGATGTAATGATGTAAAGTCCGTAAGAAATTATGATGGACGAGGACTGTGCTGAAGCATAGAGAGCCATTGCTTGTACCAGGGTACAAACTGCAATGACAATATCCCCGTGGTCCTGCCAATCTATCTTCAGCTTGCCCACCATGAAGCATATTACGGTGCCTGTGACACATACAAAATGTTGTATAATAAACATATCAACCATAAACCAAAGTTTGATTTAGCTTTTTGATGGTTCGAAACTGGACCCAGCTGTTCCTGATCATTGGGCTTTAAATAAATGATCCTGACTAATGAAACCGCTGATCTTAGTCAGTAACAAAGCTACACAGGTCATCACACACCATTCTACACTCATCCTTCACTCATATTTGGGTTAAAATACGCACCTAGGTGGCGTCCCCATCTCAATAATTGATTGATTGATAATTATCAATTATAAGTAATTATTGATAATTAAACACCGCGTTTTTAAACTAACTAAAAAGTAGAGAGAGAGAAAATACTGTTAAGATTTAAGACAAAAAACGTGGGGCGCATGCAATGGCTAATTTACAATTATTATCTTCACTTATTGCATGCGCCCCCATTATTTGTTTTAAATCTTTATCATATTTATAATATAGATTTTTGTCTACTTTTTAGTTTGGTAAAAAACGTGGTATTTTAAAAAGCTTTTTTAATTTATAAATTATTTTTTTACTTTTTAGTCTTTAATGTGTAAATACAGTATATGAAATCTATTTTATATAGCCTGTTAATACATAACCAAACCCATTTTAACTGTAATCAGATGTTGCTACTATTCTCATAATCCTAAAACTTTTGAATCTCTCGGGTGCAGAACATGTACCTCTTAACCTCTGCTCTTTGAACAAACTGTCAAATTAAAGTATTTACTGTTGACTTCAATTGATATATTTACATTCTTCTAAAAAGTAAACATTGAAATTTGGAGGCCCATAGCCCATGGGGCTATGAAAATAAGTTTCAAGTCTTTAGCTCATCGGAAAGTTAGTTTAAAATCAGTTGCAAAATTTGTACCGAACAGACAAGAATGCTAGCTAATAAAATTGTTTTAAAACACTAATTACACAGTGGTCTGCTAGCTTAGCTTACTTTAGAGCACTGTATCAGAGCTTGAATTTGCAGATAAATATGAGTCAAAGTTATTTTCGAGTATTAGTTTATATTAATACAAAATTTATTGCCTTATCATTTTCATTGCCTGTGCCCGTACAGATTTCTGACGAAAATCTATTCTTGGTTCCATGTACCTTCTGTAGAGTTCTGTAGAGCATAGCTAATTAATGATCATTGCTTAAAAATAAGTTGCAATCCTTGATTAAGACTGTTTTTCCTATTTGATTATGTTTTACTCGCAACATTAAGAAAACCATCATAAATGTTGCCTGATAGCATCAAACAGTAACGGATGCCGTCACAGTCACAAGAGATGAATACATCAAGTTATCTCTGTTCACTATTGAGGCATCCATTATAAATTACTGAGCCAAACCAAACTTTGAATAGGTTCGAGTGTCGTTACTCACTGCAGCAGGCATAGATGGCTTCTACTCCGGCGTTGTTGGTGTTCTGATTGGATCCAGTGATATCGTTCCACAGAGCTTGCACATAGTAATCACACACCTGTCATAGCAATGATTCTTAGGTATGAATAGTGTCAAAGGTAGATCTAGTACTTCACAGGCGTAACAATGGGAAAAATAAAACATTGCATTCATATGCACAGTCTCTCAAATGTTTATGTACTGATTTTTAACAAAGCATCATTAGAGTTGTTGCAAAATTACAAAATCTGATTTGAGTAAAGATTGGTGCCATCTGTCACAGCTTATGTACTAGCATTGACTATAAATACCTGCAGATTAGGTCAATATAGTCAATGGTACTAGATTTGAAGTCAATTGCCTAGTTATGGACAATGGACATTATTAAAGATCACATAAAGACAGAAAACCAGGCATTTCAGACCCTTGTTTATATGGTGTTTCTTTTTTTTTTGACCTGAAGAACAAAAATACACAAAATCTTTCCAGGAATGAGCATCTTGGTTTATTTAAATATAATAGAATAGAATAGAATAGAAAAGTGCTTTATTGAATACATACTATGTACAGTAGGCTACATGAAATGGGTGCGATAATTTATACATGCACATACAACAATGGTCATACGACCGTCTGCTGGGTTGGCATTAATGTCCATTCAATATTAATAAAATAAAATTGTCCCACATAAATCAACATACTGAGCACTAAAACAAAATAAAATAACACTTCTTTATGCACACATATACATAGATATATACACATACACATGTATGCATATATACACATATATTTATACTCTAAACATATTGTAATATAAAATTTTAAAAATTAAATTCCCTAACTAGCTCCCATCTACGTTTCCATGCAATTTTTAAAAAATTTCCAAGGCCCCGCCAATCCTTCCCATTCAAATAATCCACAAACTCCTCATATTGTATTTTTTGTTTACCAAAATACAAGAGTCGCAAGTCATTGAACACAGGGCAACTAGCCACAAAGTGTAAAGCAGATTCATTCTCCTTTAAATTACACAAGGAACATGTGTGGTTTTTATCGACAATCCACGGTTTATAGTTGAGATCTATAAGTTCTCCTCTACATTTTATTATCCAAGAAATGGTTCGGTTGTCTAAACCAGTTTCCAAGAAGCTATTGTTGCCAAGGTCAAAGTCAACGACGAGGTATTGGGAATGATAAGCTGAAGTACGCGCTCTGCCTAGACACTCAGCTCTCCAGCTATCTCTTGCTGCATTTACAACACTAACTAATTGAGACTTCAACCTACCACTCCCCGCCTCCTCCATCGTATGTATATTCAGGTCCATTTGCACGCCATATTTGATTCCTAATGCTCTCCACGCTCGACACCAATCTACATTTTTTCTTAAAACTTCAGCTGCTAATAATCTTGGTAAACGCTCAGGTGGTAGCCCCAATATATTTATTATATAATTAAGATTCATTGAGAGAGAATAAATGTGTAATTTATCTAGACCAGTTTCCAAGTACAGTGAGTAATTTGGCGTGTTATTAGGCAACTGAAACAGTTTCCTAATAAATAACTTTTGTTATTTAAATAACTTAATTAACTTATTTAAATATAAGTTGCAGATAAACAAATTGTAAACTAGCTGCAAGCTCCGGCTAAAACTGGTATATGCAAAACTCACTTAAGGAGCCACTGGAGTTATCGTTCATTTTACTACACTCAACCTGATTTAATATCCTATCAAATTAACAACAAATCCAAATTCTTATAAAAGCCCCTCCCTAGCAGCCCCTCCTTCAGGGACAAAGTGTCTGTTTAAATATGCAACTCTGATTCCCCAGAATCCATTTATCTATTCAACATCCACCAAGCTCTGGCACGCATAAGTGATTGAGAAGGAACTATACTATAAACCCTCGATTCACGGGGCTGTCTACAGGCCAGAGAGACATTCCATAAACTTCTTGGACATCGATTAAATCTAATGGCTTAGCAAACTGTTCTACATTTAGCAAAACAATTTCCTCAAGGTTGCACATCTTAAAAAGAATGATATTTTTGTCGTGTTATCAAGAAACACCTAAAGGTATTTATTTTTCTCACATACACTCTCATCTGTCATATGGTCTAGCAATCTATGGGGGCATTAGTGAACAAAACCTAGATAAAATACTTAAACTTAGAAAATAGCCTTGCAAATAATGTTAAACCTGGAACTTAAAGCAACTTTAAGAATTCACTTTTCACAACTAGATTATATGTTTAACCATCTATGACCATTATATTTTATAGTGTATTCTGCCAAAAGTCAACTTCCCAAGTGTTCAAATGTTCAAGTGTTCAAATAAATTTGTGTTTCCCAATTATTTAATACACACATAATGTAAGAATACAGGGGAGATGAAGTTTATAAGAGGGATAAAAGGTAAAACAAGATTAGACAGAATGAGAAATGAAAAGCTGAGAAGAGGAACAGTTGAAGAAAGTTTGAGAGAACGAGTAGAGAAGACAAGATTGAGATAGTTCAGCAACGTAAGAAGAATGGAGAATGAAAGAATCCCGAAAAGAATGAGTGAACGTCAAATGGATGGAAGAAGGCCAAGAGGAAGGCCCAGAAGAAGGTAGTTCGAGGAGGTGAAACGTGATGTCGAAGCAAGAGGAGTGCAATGGCAGTATGTGGAGGAAGTGGAATTGTGGAAGGACAAAAGAAGATGGAGAGGCCTAGTGAACACCCAGACCCAAGGATAATCAGACCGGGAGAGGATATGAATGTATGTATGTAATGCAAGAATAAATTACAATGGTGGTTGGGGCTCATCAAGAAGTTAGTGTAAAATCAATTGCAAAATTTGTACCGGACAAGAAAGTGAGCTAATAAAAACGAGCCCATAGGGTGTAGCCCAAGGGAAATGTGAAAGTAAAATGATTTAATATTGCATGGTCATCCATTTGTGAGCTATGTTTCATGTTTCAAGCCTCTAGCTTATCAGGAAGTTGGTTTAATATTGATTGCAAAATTTTTACCGAACAAGAAAGCGAGCTAATAAAAACATTGTAAAAAGAGATCAAATAGAAATACCCCAGCATAATGTCGCTCTTTTCCTCAAAGCAACACAAATCATCAAATGGAAATCCTATACCCTAACACAAGCTCGTGTATGGGCAAACTGTTTCTTTAGTCAGTCCGAGGACTTTCAAAATTTTTGTTTAATGTGTCACAAGAAATCGATTGTAGTTGGTTACAAGGCTGGGAAAAATCCAGTTTCTGTCCTACAGCCCTTGAAAGTGCCCTTGTTATTGTCAATACGTTTTTGAAGTTAACAAAAACAGCTGATACAGGTTATTTGCATTGTCATAATTTGATTTGATAACCGTATTGGTTAGATTGGACTAAACGTTCTAAAAAATAGTTTGTTATATTTGATTTGGTTTATTTGGTTTGGTACGTACGTGTTAAATGTTTTCATAGTTAATTTTCAAGATTAAGAATGAAACGCGAAAGACATCCCAAGTGAAAAGGTACAAGGGAGAGAATCTACTTTCGATCGTAGGAGAACAAATTTCGCCACTACAACCGAGCCAGTTCCAATTAGCTCATACATCTCGCCAAATGTCGACGCTGAATCGCTGCTTGACGTTTGGAAGAACCAGCGCACTGGAATTTCGAAGTTGAAACGTAAAACACTATGTCAATTGCAATGTATTTATAAAGGTGTATTAAATTTGTTTTCAGTCCCAGTCAAATTACATCTAGCAATAATGATTAAAACAGTACCAACTGGTTGGCTCCGTAAGACATGATCCTGCACACACACCACTTCAGGGTGTTTACATTGGAGGCTGCAAACTTGAGCTCCTCCCAGAGAAGGCGGGCGGCATGACGATATCTCTGACAGCCTGCCACTACAACAAATTATGTTTGTAATGTAACAGGTCGGTACTCAGAATATCTCTAAAAGTATTAGCATTGTATTAGGTTCAGGATGTAACTTAGAGCACAAGAAGGATTTTAGTTTGGACACACAGTAGGATTTTCTTTTTTTTATCTGAGAGAGGGAATCTCTACCTGACACATAGTTGCTTGACATCGTGGTTCCCCTATTTGTGTGGGGTTCGCACCCACTAAACGTAACCCCTCACAACTACAGTCTACTGGGACTAGGATCACCAGTGGGATTACTTCAGCACAGCAGGGTCATAATATTTGTGAGAGGAGTTCTACACTTGTTGTCTCAATCATCCCCCTGGACTATTTCTCAATTTGGTTATCTTGCCTTGATTTAATGTTCTTGTGCCTGATAATCACCCCAACCAGCTCAGGCACCATATTCCATACAGACAAACCTCTTCCAACATCCGTCTTACAATATTTATTTTGCTAGGGTTCCAAGTTCCAGAAGCATTGTCTTCTCTGTTGGGCTCAATGCTTACACTTAAGAAGAACTAGCTGTACCCGCGGGCTTCGCCCCGTTTAGCTTCATAAGTATTCGCATGGCTCATTCACGTCCTGGTTGAAGTTCGTTCGCTACGCTCACTCACCTTTAGGTTGGAGCTCGTTCGCTGCGCTCACTTGCCTTCAGGTTAGCTCGTTCGCTACGCTAACTCGCCTCCAGGTTGAAGTTCGTTCGCTACGCTCACTCACCTTTTGGTTGGAAATTAGCTGTTGTCATAAATTTAAAAAAAATTAATAGTGCTGCACCCTGTTGGTAATACTTGTAACTTTTATGCTATTGGACATCATAGAACAGAACGAACTTGTTTAATTGAAACAGCTGTTAAGATTCATTAATTCCTTTTAAATTTGAAAAATCATAAGATTAACATGGGGAACTACAGAGCCACTGGGGCGGAGCCCGAAAGGGTTTTTGAGATAAGAATATGCTTTAATGTTAATCGGGAATGTGAGCTATCATCATGCCAAATTTCAGCCCAATCCGTCCAGTAGTTTATGCGTGATTGAGCAACACACACACAAACACACACACAAACACACACACAAACATACACACAAACTCACAAACTTTCAAATTTATAATATTAGTAAGATGTTGACATTTTTTTAACATGGCCCGAGACATAATTACCCCACCTCCACCCTTACAGCGCCCCTGGACACGGGCTCATTTACTAAAATGACCCTGCTTACAGTGCCTGGTAAAAGAAGGGTTTCACTATTAAAGAGAACTATAATAGACGCAGATTTGGTTAAACATATTTGTAATACTGTACAATTTTCTTTTTACCTTTAACACTTTGCGCTTCACCAGGTTTTCTGTCGGTTGGGCAAGCAGTGCCTTCCACTGTAGGCAATGCAAGCGTAGTCAGAAATGAAGTACTGTGGACTAAAAAAATTAAAACAATTAAGAAGTATTAAGGCTGAATAAGTTTTTACATTACAGTGGTGTTGTTATTGTGAATGCATTAAAAAGTCTAGCATAGTATTTTATGTTTATACTTCCAATCAAATATAACACAATTAGAAATTATGATAGGTATAGTTCGGCCGCTTAGAAAGCGACCTCCTCCAGCATTGGTTTAGCATTAGCGCGCAGGTCGTTTTCTAAGCGGCCGAGCTATAGTATTATAGTCCCTGGACCATCAATAAAATTGTTAAATATTTGCTCATTTGGTAATCAATATTGTTGCCACATTCGTGAGGGATGAAAACAGATGTTGATGTTGCCACAACAGCAGAAATATATCCATCCTATGAGCATGAGAAACAGTTCATAGGCCTATGGTGATTTGGGGGGCGAACTTTAAGTAGTAAGGGGCCCTGCTCTGAATGTTTGCACAGGGTTTAGGCAGGGGCACTACACTCTGTAGGTAAATTACATTTTTTAAAGCCGAATGGGATTTTAAGGATCTGTTTTAAAAGATACAGAGTCCTAGCTTACCTGAGAGACGAGAGGCAAACTATATTGATACACATTTTATCAATGGAATACTTATTTTCGATATCCCTGAAGAAGTCCTAAAATTCTAAATAATATCAGTTTTAAAGCCACTATATTATTCTCAGGTAATCTATTATATTATTAAAGTGATACAATCAAACTTTATGTAAACGGTTAAGGCCATTTATCAAATAGAAATATAGGCATATGGCATATCAAAATGAAGCTTGGTGTGTGTAGGTTTGCCGAAAAGTATTGATATGGACGAACTCCCTAAGAACTCTGCCCCACAGGCTGATTTCCAAAGGGCTACGCCTTTCATGTTTTGAAAGTTATTATTCGATTAATTTTGTGAACAACAGCTGGCCAATGCAATTGACAATATAGTTTGTTTGTTTACATTTTTGTTTACTTATTTTATTATTTACTTTTATGTTCTTAAAAGAAGTGCGGCGAATGAACAGGGAAGCTATTTCTAGATGTTTGATACAAGTGAGTGATTAAAGGTGTTCGAAACACGATGAATATGAGATTAACAAACCATGTATGTTGTTTGTTCCAAGAGGTTGTCACCGATCTTTAACAGGTCGCAATTTCATTGAAAAGTATTAAAGTAAAGTATTAAAGACGTCATGAAAGAGAGCTGCGTGTTCAGGTACAACCTCGGCCAACCTTAGGACGTAAGGTGTGAAGGTTCCAATGCTTTTATCATCCTTTCAGATGACAATTTCTTGAACTTAAGCCCTTTAAATGAAATATAAAGTCAAAGTTGATTAAAATAATTTATTGATGGCTTCTGTACGGCCGTGAATTTGCGGGTAGAACCTCTTGTATTTAACTGAACTATGAAAAAAATATTGTTTCAAGCTGTTACCTGTTAGATTCTTAGCATACCTGTTATTTGATGAATTACAGTCCAGTTCATTTAGACATGGATACAAAATAAGTTGTATATGGTAAACATTTTTGCTTGTGTGCATTATTATCATTACCTATATTGAGACAGCGACATGATGCTGTGTATTTTAATATGAGTGTAAAATGGAGCAAGATGGCTTTATTTGGCTTTGCTACTAAGACCAGGCTATTTCTTTAACCTACACCATTCATCATAAGTCCAATGGTCAGGAACATTCCAGTTTCAAACCATCAGAACTACTTACCAACCCAAGATATGAGAATGAGGCTCTGGACAGTGATGAAGTGGGTTGACATGAGAAACTGAGCTAAGAGTGCCGAGATCAAAGTTCCCAGTTTTGGAGTTATCTGCACTACAGCTGTCACTTCCTGATAGTTATGTTTCTTAACTTGAGTGTAGATGTAGGTACTATAAGCTACTTGGGAAGCTTTGTAGAACCCGAGCAGCGCCTGAGAAATCTGAAAACAATTCTTAATTTATTACAAAGTGCTTTTGTAGTTTAACGTGGACAAAAGTTAATTTTAGACTGTGCACTATTCAAACTAGCTGTTACCCATGGGCTTCACCCCGTTTGACTTCATAAGTATTAACTTTGACTCACAACAACACCAACACCATTGATTTTACCACAATTTTACCATTGATTTTCCACAACATTTGACGGGCTACCATTTTGGATAGAGAAGAGATAGCGACCTCTAGTTTTCACCATTCTTTGAGTTTTTGTCAACACTTCAAAATGAGGTGTCACTTGAAGGGGGTTTACATTTAAAATATTTGAGTTGCCCCCCTTTTGGGGGGACACTCAAATTTCAAAATCGTTAAATGAAACTTCCTGCTAAGATTGCACGACCACCAAAAGGATATCTCTGTGTATTTACTTGAAAAAATATTCGAGGGGGGGTCTTGACTTTTTATTCACCCTGTATGGAAAGTTCCCTTTAGAAAGTAATTACAACCTTAAAGGGCGATTTATGAGGGAATTACGGATAGTTTTGCACAAGGTTTCTCGTCATGACGAACATTTTAAGTAGGTATATGGTTTATGTGGGTGTGACTTGTAGTTTTCTCAAAAGTTCATGGGTACTTTGGGATTTATATATGGATTGATTTTTTTACCAGGAACCTACTTGTGAAATTATACAAACTTCAAATTCTGACCTTCATGTGTTCAATGTGTCTGTTTAATTACAAACAATTTTGTGATCATTCATTTACACTGTTAGTGTACATTTGAGTGTTAGGGACACAAGCGAATACTAATACTCTGAATCTATTCAAACTATGTGTTATACACTCACTTCGCTTTAATTTTACTTTCCGTATTCAAACTCAAAATCATTCTTATGGTCGTACACTATGGAACCTTGTTGATTGAACACATTAGGTACCTGAATTTGTGTAACGGTAGTTCCAAAATAGAGGACTGGACTATATACAGCAGCTGCCAAAGCTCCTACAACGATTATGGTCTTGTACTGTAGTATGTCTGTGACCAGAAGTGCAACAAAGGCAAAGATAAGATTGGAGTAAGCCGAAACTCCGTATATGTCTTGAGTTACCTAGAATAATACAAAGCAAAATGGTTATACCGGTACATGTGTTAAGTATTATAGCAGATATTCTCCATCTTTAATTGGTAAAGCAATGTTCATGATTTTTTCGGGTTCGCAACATAATAAAGACCTTTTTTTATATGCATATCAACCGATGCTTACATTTAAGATTTTCTTCTGACTCCTATAGTGGGCCGTCCCCCTGAGGAAGTAGCGGATCACTGAATATGTGATAAAAATAGATTTTATGTCCAGAGTTTTGTAGCTCAATATTAAATATTTCAAAAAAATATTTAACCGCCCCAGGGTTTTTTTGGGCATCCTGTATACATCTATACTTATAAAAGTCAAATACCACTCACTGATCACTGTATCTCAAAAAGTACTAACCATAAGAACTCAGGAATTGGCTTGGTTATTCTTCGGCTCTAGGTGTGCAATAAGAAGTGTTTTCGAGAATTTCAATCAGGGCTCTGCCCCTGTGGCCTCTAAAGATCCCATGTTATCTTTATGGAGAAAAGATTTGTTTACATTTTAACAGATGAATATTTAATAGTTTAACCGCTTAGAAAGAGAGAGATGCGCGCTAATGCTAAACCAATGCTAGAGGAGGTCGCTTTCTAAGTGGCTGAACTATAGAATTTTATTCTATTTTAAGGAACAGCTGGTTGTATTTATTTGATTGAAAAGAAGATATTTGCATTATTTTGTGAATTTTTGTTATACTTTGGTAATCGCCAAATAAATTTAAAAATCAAGATATGTTAACTATGTCGTTGAAGTTTTTAAGATCTGCTCATATGGTCAATGTTCTGTGTGTCGTACAATAAGTTTATTAATCGTGGCTAGCTATGTTGTTTTTATATGTTTTTAAATGAATAATTTTTATTTACATACAATCATCGGCACCCAGGGGGTGGGACATGGCCAACCACTTAAAATAACTAAACTTTAACTTCACTGTCCTCTGTACGGCTGTAAACATATTTTAGTGACAATCTTGATTATCTTTTGAAATATTTAACTGTCCTTGGGCCTTAAACAATATAAAACAACATCTTTAATATCCCAATCCGATTCATATCGCAATCATCGCCCAATCCAATGTGCATGTCTAAACCAAGGATTATGAACACACCTCACTATGTCCCAGTGGTTGTGGTATATCGCTACAAACACACAGGTCACCAATTATTTGCCACACAGGACGGGAATCGAACCCAAGCAAATGAATGCCACTGCGCCAAGTGACACACGCCCTAGCCTTCTCGGCTATCTGTGCTTGGAGACTGAGGAGTCAAAAACCAGTATTTAAGCTGACACCAACATTGCGAACAGATAGCGCTACAGCAGGTTGTTCAATATGTAACAAGGTAGCAGCACTAGTTAGTCACGGACTATTTAAGATGATATTTTTCAGTTGAACCAAAACAGTGATCATAAATTGTGTTACTCGGAGGCTTTGCTGCAAAAAAGTATTCTTCCTAAAATGGCTATATTATTATAACCTTATCAAACTAAATCAAGGTTAAATTCAATGTTAAATTGTAAACTAGATGTCTTTTTCGATTTTATGAGATTTTTCTTTCAAACAATGCTATCAGAACATTACAATTTAAAAGAAAACTTGGAAATTTACAACGAAAACAAAGTTTTAATTAATGTTAACTACAAATACCCGTACTTTTCTTTGTTATATATATTTGTTATTATCTTATATTATTCAAAATAAGCCTAATTAATAAAATAGTGACAACAATACAGTTAAAATTCAACAAAAGGTAATGGAATTAAAAGGCAAACAAAAAAGTCTTAAGAAAAAATAATTATTGGCCTAGCACTGAAAGGGTTAATGGTTTTACCTTGGGAACGAGTTTTGATACCTTCTAAAATGTGCAGTTTGAACCAAGGCCCCTTGTAAAATACACTTCCTTCAATTTTGTTTTATTTAATCTTTTTTTACAGAGTTATTATTACTGCAGTAATCTATAAATGTCTATTGACAGTGTTTAAACAATTGGTTATAAACTATACGTGTCTGTTTTATATTGTTTAACTGCCAAAAAAACAAAAGCCACCAGCGAGCATGAATGGTCCCCTGTTTATACAAACCCTCTTGGCCTCTTGGTCTCCTAATACAGTGTACCAAAATTCTGTCTGGCTCCTTGTACAATAACTCTCCTGGTACTGACCCCCTGGTAATATAACCCCTGATCCTCTGGTACCCCTCCTATATGTGTCACTGGATAACCCCTCCTGGTCCAGTGGTACAATAACTCCCCCCCCCCCCTGGACTGTGTAAAATTACACTAAGTACACTCAGATGGCAATAAATAATACCTTGATTTACTCAACGTTAGTGTGTGTAGATTTTGAATGAATTTGAAAAAATATAGTGTTATTTCTACAAATCTAGTTGTTTGCTTACCTCAGCTACTGTTAAATTCTTCGGAGGACTGAAAACTATTTCGGAAAAGTAATTTTTGTCAGGATTAAAGTTTTTCAGAAATCCATAAATTGCAATTAGTACAAACCCAAATTGGCAAAGCATGTTTGTTTCTAATTATAATCCTTTCCATGTAAAATATACTGTAGAAATGAGCCTGAAATCCCAACAAATCATAACTTATAAAAATAAATTAGTCGGTCCAGTAATGCTAAAGCACAGGGGCAATAATTGAGACAGTGCTGAGCAGTAGTTACAATAATTGTTGCTACAAATGTATCAATTACAATGTTAAATCACTCACATCAGTGAGTAAAAACAATTAACTATCCAAATAAACCCACTCATAATCATAAACACTTTTTTTATATACCGACTGGATTTTCATCACAATTATTTAAGTTTACACAAATATATATATGGTATCGTCCAACAAGTCAATATAATCGGTTTGTAGGACAAACAAAACAAAGAATAATTTGGTTAAAGTATTTATGCTCGTATAAACAGCATTGTAGACTGCATTTGTGACAGACCAAAATAGTTGTAGCCTGTTTCTTGATAAGTTTAGTTCCTCCCCGCATATTCCAACCCACAAGTGCCCAAATACAGTATCGGTACCAAAGCTTAACTATAAATTATAAATTTACTGCATAATTTGATCACAAACTAATTAAATCAAAAAAGTCACTAAAACCACTGACAGCTTTGGGTTAGTTAAACAAGTGTTTGAAACAATTTATGAGCTATCAATTGAAACCCAAATATAACTTTCAATGCCAATAAATATTTTTTTAATTGTCTATTTCCATCCTAATTTCAAATTAAAGTTAAAGCTATTGAAGCAAATACTGTCTAAATAAGGTTTTGCTAGAAAATAAACTGAAAGTATATTGACACATATATATTGACTGATAAATCATAATATACCCACCACTAAATCTTCTATACTAACACACCAGAGCTCACATTTTAAATAAAGAGCAATTAAAAAACCATCTGTTTCTCTCATACAAGAGAGAAGCCTATTATAGTGCCTATTATTACTAAAAGCTGCAGATCTACTACATTCCCTCTCATTCAAGCCCTGTCTCAATGTAGTAATTTGAAGTAATTTAGAATCAAACCGAAATGTTAAAGTTCTTATACATTTTATTGAAAAACTATAAAAAAATCAATGACTATTTTAAAACATCATTAAAGCCGTTATATGAGATATGTTTCCTTAATTCTCCGCCAATTAACTAAAAAAATAAAAAGTTTTAGGATTTACTATGATGCAGGATTATTAGTTTTAATTGAATCTCATTCATAATACTTGAGTTTTATGTAACTAAAATAAACACTACAGAAATTTAATTGTACTTCTGTAACAATTCAAAATTATTAAGCAAACAATAATGTAAAAATATTTTATAAATAATGTGAAAAACAGGTCTATTGCGCAAACAATTCAGAGCAGGGCCCCTTACTACCAAAAACGTATTATCCCACTTTATAACTCGAAGAATGGCTGGACCTGTTTTAATGATTTTTGATTCGTTGGATTTGTCTTTGTCTCAATTAACACATATAGGCATATAAAGTTTTTTATTTAACCTTAGGGCTTAGCCCCACCGGCCTGTAAAATTTGTATGCTTATGGGAGCTATTGGCAGAATTTAAATAATCAATATATTCATTGAAGTCTGCTCTAAATACTTTAATTTGACAGTTCAAAGAGAATTTGGTAGGTTACGAGGTACAGGTTCTGCTCCCAGGATTCTAATGTTTTATGATTATGAGATTAGTTTTAATGGTGTATATTTTCATGGAAACAGAAGGATCATTACAACGTATAAAATGTTTTATAATTATTTTGATATGGTACCGGTAGCTATTTGTTAAAAAATTTGAACTGATTATGTCATGTTTGGATTAAGATATTAAATAGATGGATGTTTTTTTTTAAAAAGAAAAAAATATTTTTAAACAGTTAAGTGACTGTTTACACTATTTGCTTTTCCATTCAATTTAAAAACTAAATTTCAATTATACTACCATTTTTTTTTGTCCAGGTAGCTACTACTTAGGTCAAAATCCGTTTCTTGCCCACAACTCTATTTTTTTCAATTACACTTCTAACTTATTGAAACCTTTTATTGGTAATAAATAATGAAAAATACAATATTTAGAAAAGGTTTTTGATCACACATTTGGAAAACATATTGTTCTTATGTCTAGTATTATGAGAATAAATATTACTGTGAAGATCTTCTATAAGTATATTTATATCTAACACACATCATAAATTCAAGGATTTATTATCGGTACCATTACATAACTATAATAGAGTATAGAAAAATTGGTTGCAATTTAAAACTTTATTGATCTCTGTCTGCCTGAAATATTTTTAGAGTGCTTAGAAATTTGTAGATCTCTGTCCATGTGAAATGTAGAAATCCCAATTTAGGCGAACATTGGAAAAAAATAATCTTTAATGCAATGATTACAAATTAATAGAAAACTAATTATTATGTAAACTTGGACAAACAAACAGAGCGCATTACCCCAGATGTAGCTAAATATGAAAATGTTGATGACATTTTGTGATTAGAATAATTAAATATGGCTTCCCTTCAACCGTTGATAGTTCATGTGAAAGCTCTATTTCTCATAAAAACTTTCGAAATCAGCATTAAATTGGGCTAAATAAAATCACAAACAAATCAAAACTTTAAAAGTTATATCTCCCAATCGATCTCCCAGTCGTATGGATATGACTATAAGGCAAAAAATTGGTTTTACTGTGGTTTTGGACAAGATTGAATTTTTTCTGTCTATAACTATGATTCTTGATTCTTCAAAATCATTAAATGGAGTGGAAGCTGTTGTATTGAACAATGGCCACGGGTGCTGACCCCCATCTGCATTACTCCAGAGATGGTGGGTGGCATCGATACGATACACTTACTGTCACTGCACTGGGCCCCGCGTATGAATCAAACATTCGGAAAAACTATCGGTAAAAAACATATTCGCAATCCTCTTTAAATTACTGTTAAAACGAGTCCAAACAACAAGTAATTTTTTACTTCAAATACCTAGAATACCCTATGTAGTATATCCACTTATTGTTATTTCATGACCTAAATGCTATGATTCAGGGCCGTATTTAGAATCTATGAGGCCTCCGGCGGCTCTCACCAGAGAGGCCCTTCTGTATTCTGATTCTTCGAAGGTTGGAACTTAAGAGTTTGAAATACACGTGCTATTGCTTCAAAAACTTGATGAATTATTGACCTTTTGTTTCCAACAATCCGATCTGTAAAAGGATCTAGGAGGCTAGCTAATAAATAAGTCTATAATAAAAAAAATATAGGAGTCTTAGGTCAGTGCCAGAAATTTTTCATTTCATTAGGGTTGAGTCAAAAATTTTGACCTTCGGGCATCGGATCAAAATCCGGAATTGGATAGTAACATTTATAAAAATAATTTATGCCACATTCCAAGTGAGGCCCCCTCCAAGGCTGAGACAACCGCCGTGTCCACCGTTAGGGAAATATGGCCCTGATGATTACTATTTTACAAACTAATAAATCAAGCTCCCTCTCCCTGGATGTGGCTAGCAAACTAACATGGCGTCGAAGCAGTTTTCGAGATCTTTGTGCAAGCAGACATACAAGCAAACATTGCTTATATAAAAGTACTAGCTGTAACCCGCGGGCTTTGCCCCGTTTAACTTCTTAATTTTCAAGATTATCTTGTTCGCATGGCTCAATCACGTCCTGGTTGAAGTTTGTTCGCTACGCTCACTCACCCTTAGGTTGGAGCTCGTTCGCTACGCTCACTCACCTTTAGGTTGGAGCTCGTTCGATGCGCTCACTTGCCTTCAGGTTAAGTCAAAGTCAAAATAAACTTTATTCGTATGAATACATTGCAGCATCAGAATAGAGTCACATATAACTAAAAATCCCATACTTTCATGCTATATAGCTAAAATACAATATATTTAAAACTATATATAAAACCCAGGCAACCAGTAGTGGAGCCCTCACTTAAGGAAACTCCGAAAAAGAATAGAGAGCTTTATTAACAAGATATTCTTTCAGCAATTTTTTAAATTTATTGTAATTTTGCTAATTTCTAATTAAATTTGGCAACTGAGTAAAAAATTTGGTGCCCATATATTTAGTTTTGTTTTTATAAAAATGCAGATTATGTTTATCAAAAATAATTTTATTTCGGGTATCATAATGATGCTTGGATTCAAAAAATATATCACTTTCATGTTCTTTGACATACTTTATTGTTTCTAAGACATAAAGACTGTAAACTGTCAAAATTTTAAGATCTTTAAATAAGTTTTCGACACTCTCTGTGCTTTTTAAACCTAACATGATTCGTATTGCTTTTTTTTGTTTTATCAGAATTTTGTCCAAATTATATATTGAGGTAGCTCCATATATACAAATTCCTCGTTAGCTCGTTCGCTACGCTAACTCGCCTCCAGGTTGAATTTCGTTCGCTACGCTCACTCACCTTTTGATTGCAAATTAGCTGTTTTCATAATGTAAAAGAAATAATAGTGCTGCACCCTGTTGGTAATCCTTGTAACTTTAATGCTATTGAACATCATAGAACAGAACCAACTTGTTTAATTGAAACAGCTGTTAAGATTCAATAAATTCCATTTCTCATAAGGTTAATATGGGAAACTCCAGAGCCACTGGGGCGGAGCCTGAAAGGATTTTTGAAATAAGAATATGCCTATATGTTAATCGGGAATGTAAGCTATCATCATGCCAAATTTCAGCCCAATCCGACCAGTATTTTTCGCGTTCACTTGTCACAAACATACATCCATACATCCATACATCCATACATCCAAACTTTCTCATTTATAATATTAGTAGGATAGTATAAGCTAAGGGACTATGTTTTATCTATGTTATGATAGTCAAAGAATTTTTAATTTAATCCGGCCAAATTTACATTAATAAATCTACACATTAATATCGACAGTTACAAAAATATCTTCCAGTACATATTCCTGTTTATAATCAACAAATCAACCATTAGATCTTAAAAGAATGGTATTTTCATCACTGAGATAAATAGATTATATAGCTCAATGATTTTCATACTCCATAGAAGTATTTATTAAGATTTTCATTTTTAGTTGTTGGTAGACTTGGTAGCAACGGCTATGTTGTCACCTGTCAATTGTCATGTAAACAAACAAACCGATCAAACTTCAAACTGGCAAGTGGCAACTAATGGCAACAAACTAGAACTAGACCATAACACCAAGAAGAGATTTTGTAATTTTAACTTAAAGTTTTTATATTTTATAGCGTGCTACCTGCTAATAAATTGTTAAATGTATGACATTAACACAACAACTTATTTCATTCTAGGCTAATTGGTGCAAGAGTAAACAAATTTGAGAGGGTGTTAAGTGGTTAATAATCTTACTATGTTCCAATTCTTTATCTTATAGTTTTGTTATACATTTTTTGTGTAAAATGACCAATTTTGATTGGAATAGAATTCTGAATGTGCATCCTTCAGACCTCTCAGAACAAGAGAAAGATGAATTATTTCATGAAGTTGTGTGCTATGATATTGATGAATCAAAAGATCTAGGCAAAGATAGCCTGAAGATATTTTTTAAACTAGCTCAAGAAATTTTGAAGTTTAAAGGAGAACAGGTAGACCCATACCAACATTTTTTTGCATTTGGTATTAACTAGTTTAAGGTGTCAGACAGAGGCTAGATATTCTAACCGTCTTAGCCATTGTTTGTAAGGCATTTCCTAGTAAATTAGTCCTATATCTTAGATTCCGCAAAGATATGTCTAATTATGTATAATACGTGTTTTAGTTACACAGTTCTGACTGGATGTGTTCATTATTCAACTCAAAATGATATAGCCTACAGTAGGTAGTCAAAACTGTTCCCAGTCTTTATAGGCCTAATCAATCTGGGCCTACTGCCTTAGAATAATTTTTATTGTGTATGTTAGCCTCCGTATTGCCAAATAATATTAAAAAGGTTTTAGTACCTGCTATCAAGCAATCCATTTAATTGCATAACTGTATGTGTAAGTCTGGACTTACACTCCCCCGGGTTAGCGTCATCTGTTGTCATAACTGATCAGTTACCGTAAATATTTCGTGTCCGTGTATGTATAGGCTATGTGTCGTATGTAATTTAAATATGTTTTTTGTGTGTTAAACACGACGCTCTTCATGTAAAGAAAGAAGAAGTAATTGTAAGTTAACTGCACATAAGTTAGGTGTCAAAACTAGTTGCGACTGTGCAATTAAATGGATTTGCTTGAGGCTGCACTTTAATATCTGTCCTACACTCATTCGAATGAAAATGTCGATATATAGGTTATTCGATATATCGATTATTTCATTTGGTTAGTTAGGTCAGGTTAACCTAACTAACCAAACTTAATATATCGTATGAAATAATCAATATACCGATCGATTCTGAGATGGTAGGATTCATGACCCTGGTGATTTGACGTGGAATGACTTGTGTTTTTGGCCTCTGGGGACCTGAAAACAAAAAAAGTAAATCGGTTCAGGGCCTAGGTCTTACCGAGAGACCTAGATGGTAATAGCTTATACAGTTACCTGAAACTGTTGCTAGATTCAGTATATTAGGCCTATTAGACATATCACGAAAATAATAACTAGCCTATGGTACTTGATTTTAGACACACCTACATAAAGACTCAAAGATTAGGAATACCGGTAATTAATTTCAGCTTTGTAAAAATTGATGTTAAGGCTTAAAGTTACCTTTTAACGCAACTCATGACGATTGCCTGTAACGGCGAGATTAAAATGAAATAGGCCTAGGTAGATATTTGTATGTGAGTATTTTATCGATCATTTAAAGTCCTCCTAAGTTGTTTTGTTTTAGCGTATTATATTTTTAATAAAACATTGTACCTATTTAGGATGAAGATTCTTTGTTTACATCGCTGTTTGCTCCAATGATCTAGCAGACCATATGTAGTGATTTCAATTTGTAATTTCAGTGGGTGCTCTTGTGGCATACCCATATAAATGACATAGTTCTCACAGTAGGCCTTACTATTTACTATTTTTAAAGGTCGAATCCTTGATCAGTGAAATAGACAAGTTAGCAGCTCGCCAAGGAGAAGATGAGGTCCGTCATCAATCTTTGCTCAGTGAAATCGAGACGCTCCAAATTCGACTCTTGGCGACTCAGAAATATGACTCGCTGTCTGGTAATATTATTGAAGAATTTTGTTACCTTAATGAATTTAAGAAAACCGCTTATGTTTCACACTCATAGTAACATCATCTAAAACCTACATGAACGGTTTATTAATTAGTAAGAATTAATAAATAAATTAGGAAGACTGTTGACTACATTATCTCTAGTTGTATTCATAGTATGCTAGAATTGTTAACACACTCATTAAAAATCTTCTTACAATGGTTCACTACTACGTTGTCATAGGCAATATTTTGGTCATGTAGGCTAAGGCTATTACTTTAAAAATATTTAGCAAAGCAAATGTTGATTGATTAGAATTAATTTTTCAAGGTGAAGAATAGTTAATACACTTAAAACTGTTATATTTGACTGTTTTAGGTGGAAGTGTAGATGAGTTAAAACAGGAACTGTTGAAAGCTGAACTGAAAAATGAACAGTTAATATCTGAACTCCAAACACGAGAAAGGGATTTATTACATGAAAAGCAAGAGGTTGAAAAGGTATTTGTCGTTTGTTGTGCAATTATTTAACAGCGTTGGTGTGTATCTATACCAGGATTAACATAAGGCCTACCATACACGTTCCGGTTTGGACTGTACGGAAAAACTGAACGTGTTAATAATTGTTAATAACATAATTGCATGCGTATCTGACTTCTTTGCTTCGCTTCATTGCTTCATTAAGAGTTATTAAATTTTCTAAACAAATCCAACCCAAAAGCAACAAAGGACACTGTGGTGAAAAAAATAAACAACTACGGTGCATTTAGAAAAGAGTTAAAAAAAGTTAAATCTTCACAAAAATCTGGGATGGGAACTAATTATGTCTATGCTCTGAAATTGTGTACTTCAATGAGCTTAACTTCCTATTAGACCAAGAGGAGGCAAGACTCCTCCTCCATTAGAGTTATTAAAAAATTTAAGGATAAGAAGTCGGTGAAAAAGTACTTTAAAGAAATGAAAATTTTTATAGTGTACCGGTATGATTTGTATATTTTTAAAACTATTCAGCATGTTTATAAAGATAATACCCCCGTCGCAGCAAACCTGCCGACTAAGCGAATTTCCATTTGTCTGAATAGATTTTTAACCAAATCTATTTAAGAGTGAAAATTTAAAAACGTACGTTTTCAGGAAAAGCACTTTGCAAATTTTTGTCCCCTTTTTTCAAAACTTTTATTATTTTTTTTATTTCATTAACATTTGAAGTTTCATAAAATGTCCATGGTAACGCAATATCTTTGGTAGTTTTCTTTTTAAAGAGCATCTTTAGTAGAAAAACACAAAATCCTGTCACGACCATAGCGGACCTTTAAATGAATATTAAAAATAGTTAATATTATTTTTATAACTATGTTTTGCTATAAACTAATTTACTTTAATGACCATTATACAATAAAAAGGTCACTGAGCTTTTGGTATATTTGGTCTTTCAAGAAAAAAATAAAAAAAACTCAAAAAATATAAAAAAGCCAATATAATCTTTTTAAGTTTGTATAACTCCGAAAAAACTTACCTGAGACCCGAAAAATCGTTATGTTTGTATAGAGGTGTGCTTCTTTTGTGTATAAAACATTGAAATATGACGATATTTTAATTTTTGAAATTTTTATGATAGAAATCATAAACGTGATGGTCAGGGACAAGCAGTACGGTCGTGAATTGTCTGGAATAATCTAAATCTTTCTAAACAATCCATCAATTATACTGTTAGTTATAATAAAACTGTGTTTCAATTGAACTAAACTGTTCAATTTACAATTATATTAAAGTTATTGTCACGACCAAACACACTATAATCCATAAAGGTGGATTGGTCGTGAAAAAAACCGCGATGGTCGTGAAACTTTGGTCGTGAAATTACGTGTTATTTGGCTCTGTTCTGGCGGTAGCCCTGCACCTCATGTTCGAGGATACAAAGTGGACTTCTAGGTTAATCTAGCAATTGAAATATCTTATAAACAAAAATTAACACCATGTCTACTTCATTGAATGACTACGTACGGTCATGGACACACCAAAATTACAAAAAACACAATCTTTCCTTTATTAATCTTGTAATTCCTCCTTTCAACTCAAAACGACCGGCACTACAATCCTGACGTACACCCCGAACTAGTCTCTAAAACCAACTGACTCCATCGACGCCAGGCTTGCCACTGTCGTGCTCCAAAGTTCAAAATTTTTCCCAAATGGTCGTGACGCCAAATCGAGGGACAGACTTATTTTGTCATGGTAGTCAGTCTGCAATGACAATAAAATTATAATATGCTCCTTTTTTGTAAGTTTAATAACCATTGATGACATAAAAATATGGCTTTATATATTTCGGCATGAATAATTAGTCTAAAAACAGCGTGAAAGTTGGAAAATGTACCCTAGGGACACGTCATGGTCGTGAATTTCGAGACTTTAAAAATACGAAAAAAATACCAAGAACCTATTTAAAACCAAATAAATGTGTGTAACATGTTGCCCCCGTCCCAAAAAATATTAAACACATAATAATAAACTACAAATCCAGTATCTACGAAGTAAAAGGCCAGGGACATAAAAACGTACGTTTTTAAATTTTCACTCTTAAATAACATTAGGTTTAATGAGTACCTAGGTTTGCTGCCAAAAGGAAACTAATAAAGTGTATTTTTTTGGAAAGTATTAATAACTTAGTATAAAATAAATAAATTTGCCAAGTTCGATCAAAATATATCCATAAACAAGCAAACTACAACATTTTACAATATTCTCCATAAAAATAGCATGGGAATTTTAAATTTACAATTTTTTTAATTTTCCAATTACAGTAAAAAAACACTTTGATATACCGGTACTAAATTGTTTGTTTCTTAAAGCTCTTTAAACAGGTTTAGAGAGAAATTAGAAAATTTTGTGTTTTGATGGTCAAAAATTAGAAAAACAATTTTTACCCCATAAAACCCCCCGTAAAACCCTGTTCCCATGGTTCGATCATGCTGGTTCGCAAACTCATTCAAGTTTATCCCGCCTTATACCTTTAAACCAAATTTCATCAAAATCGGACGAAAATTACTCAAGTTATCGCATTCACAAACGTATATATATATATACACAAGCTGACAAAGGAAATTCAATAGTTGTCATAAAGAAAACTGATTACCAACATAAGGTTAGTACTTTTCTTGAAAAAGGTAAATTTAAATTATTAACAATAGACCCAACAGAATCATTCACAAGAACTACAAATTCAACAATATCAAAATGTAAAAGCATCACACAAAAAGACAAAATATCTTTGAAAATGCCAAATCCAAAATCCCCTACATTACGAGCACAACCAAAAACGCACAAACAAGACATCCCAATTAGACCAATAGTAAATTTTTGACAAGCCCCTACTTACAATGTATGCAAATATTTACACAGTAAAATAAAAACCAATATAAATTTGAACAACACTGTCAATGTATCTAATACATACGAATTGATAGACAAAATTAAAGATATTAATATACCAAAGAACACATTGTTTCTTTCATTTGATGTAAATGACATGTATACAAACATACCTATAGATGAAATCATTGAGATACTCGAACAACAATTAATCGACCATGGAACACTAACAAGACCTCAAATTAATGACGTAATCAAACTAACAAAAGTTACACTAAACTAAAATTATTTTCAATACAACAATTCATTTTACATACAACAAGACAGTTTACCCATGGGCTCTCCCCTCTCTGGACTTTTAGCAGATATTTACATGAACAATCTAGAAACAACCAAGATTTTAAACGAATCAAATCCTTACAAATCAAAACTATTATATTGGTACCGATATGTTGATGATATTCTTTGCCTATTTGAAGGCACTCAAATTGAAGCAGAAGAACTATATAAACACATAAATTCTCTTTCATCGCAAATTAAATTCTCTAAAGAAATACAAAATTCACAAATCAACTTTCTAGACATAACAATTTCGAAAGAAAGACACATGCATAAGTTAAAAATATACCGAAAACCATTTACAACAGACATAATCATACCATCAAATTCAAATCACCCGTGGCAGCACAAATTGTCAACTTTTCATTCAATGACACATCAATTAGTAAATATACCAATGTCAAGCAAAGATTTTGAAAAAGAGAAAAACATCATCCTATATTTAGCCTTGAAAAATGGGTACAAATGTTCTATAATTGAAAAAACGATTCAAAAGAAAATTAAGAAGAAATTTGAAACACAAAGATCGATTGAAGAAAACAATAGAAAAGAATATATTTGCATACCCCATAGTACAACCTTAAACAAAGCAAGAAGAAAAACCTTCCAAAATTCTAATTTGAAAATAAGTTACAGAACTAAAAATAATACCTTTCAGATGATAAAAAACAAAATTTCTAATGAAGCATATAACAACCAAGTTAAAGATATAAACAAATCAGGCATTTATCAAATTAAATGTTCAGACTGTGATAAATCCTACATTGGCCAAACAAGTCGTCGCTTTAAAAAAAGGTTCCAAGAACATATACAAGCGTTAAAATCAGGTAACAAAACGACAATGTAATCAAATTTTGCAGAGCACCTAATCGAAACTCGACATGAATACAAAAATATAAATGAAAATTTAGAAATTCTAGAATATGAAAGAAATAAAACAAAATTAAATGTCAAAGAAGATTTTCATATATACACAAATTACAAAAGATTTCCTCAAAATTCTTCTTCTTCTTATTCTTATTCTTCAAAAAGCTTATTCTTATCACTTTTAAAAATCCATCCTTGATTTAGCAGGGAGCGAGCTGGTCTACTAGTAGAGCTCAGGGCTTCGTATCCTGAGGTCCTGGGTTCAAATCCTGCCAATCACCAATGGATTTTATCTATGTGATAATGCGGCAAACCTCTAGGCCTGAAATAATGTGTAAAACAGTTCCAGACTAGAACCTAGCATCCTAGGACGTAAAGAGGTGAAATAAAAAAATTGGTGACAGTGATCTGGCATGATTCGTACCCAAGACCTCAGGGACTAGAGTCCTGGGCTCTACCACTGAGCCATCTTAGCAGCTTGGTTGCCCTTGAAATTCCAATTCCTTCTCATTTTCCTCCACTTCTTTCCCCTACATCAGTATTTTCTCCCCATAAGTAAAAATTGGCCTATAATATGTCTTACAAAAGATACAATAATTGGCTTTCATGGGTACCTCTCTATCCTATAACCTTACTATAAAGTTTAACTATGTTACAGTTTGCTAACCAAGTGATGGTGCTGGAGAAGGAGAGAGGAGAACTCCGTAGTGAGCTTGCGGCTCTACAGAGAGAAACTGTTGAGCTTCAGGAGGCTCGGCTACAAGCTGACAGTCCGAAAATGTCTTCTGGCAAATATCAGAACCTCGTGGAGACCATCCGACACAAGAACAAACACATTACTCAGTTGTTGAGCGACATTGAAGTGAGTTTTGGTAAAATTACAGTATTACATTAGTGTGATTAGCTTGGAAATTAGTATGATACAACCAAAACTGAAATCAATAATCTCCCTGTAGTTTAGATCAGAGGGGTGGTTTGGACGGCCAGCTGCAATTATTACATACTTTTATTCTTAGCTCCGTAAACAAACAAATTGCCTGTGTTATGTCTAGTAGGCCTATAGACTCTAGCCCAATTCATCTCACATAATGTGTTGTGTTAAAATATGTCCTTTCAATGTTTTATTATTGTAGCTCATTATCATCTAGTGGACGTTTTGTTAGTCCTAGCTAGAAAATCTCTTTATTTATCCCCTCAGGAGTCAGAGTCAATGCACTGAATTTCTGCCAGAGCAAGATTTGGTCAAAATCTCATCAATCATCAACATCAATGGGACGTAGGTAATTCATAAGGCATCAACCCAGTGGCTTAGAGCCCACCGTAGATCTAGAGAAGGCTCTAAGGTGAGGAGATCTGTAAGTTTTGTACAGATCATCACAAAGTGTCATAATAATTTTACCTCACTCAATATTTTTTCTTTTCAAATACAGACTTCAATAAAAAGGGTAATTATTTGATAAAGAATCTAGTTTTTACAAGCCCCTTTTGATAATGAGGTTCTCATCGTCTTTGTAAGTAATTAAGGGTGAATGAATATTAAATAATTAATTATCTGTCCACTTAACGTACAGACATTGGAGAAAGAAAATAACCTACTCAAACTGAAGCTTGCTGGTTTACAAAGAGAAGTTGCAGAAAACAGTGAACAGACAACCCTGCTGTCAGAAGGAAACACAAATTTAAAACTAGTGTTGAAAGAATTGCAAGGTAGGGTAGTTAATGGTTTGCTTTTTATTAAATTCTCAAATATGATAGTCACTAGTCAGATGTGCTGCCTTTGTATTATAATAAAACAAACACAATGTTATTCTAAGCCATGCACAATTCTAAAAATTTAGCATTGCCATTAAGTTAAAGAAAATGCAATGGGTTCTGAAAGAAATTAGATTAAGTGAATGAGCGAAGGGAATTATTCAGAGTTTTTTTATACTGTAATATAGAACAATATCCTGATTTTCTAAATGGATTCATCATACATATAATAGTGTGAATTCTTAAACTGGTCGTTAATGAGGTTAAACGTTTACATATGTTTTTCTCCGCTTCGTACCTTTATGTTCAAAGTGGAACTATTTTTTGAAACATAATGCAGCCTTTTCTTCAAGTTAAAAACTTATATGAGATATTTTTTTTTTAATTAAAAATTCCATCAGGCTTCCTTGGGGCCAAGAAAGGTAGTTAAGTTTCACATTTGCTCTGTAATATTTACTTCATAATGTTCCATATATGTGACAATTAGTCTTGTCATGGTATCTTTAAACATTGTGAATAAAAATCTACGTTCCTGCCAAGTAGGAATCACATTTTGTGGTCTATGTCTGCTACAGAAGTCCATTGCTGCTGACGAATCTGTATGGAGTAAAGTGTATTTTGGTAAAAAATGTGTATTAAGGGTGAAGGAGGTTTGTGATGGTTGTAAACATTACCATGATATTTTAAATATTTTTCTCACTGCAGGCTGGCTGCGGTTGCTTATACTGTATATATATGGTCTTGTTTGAGTCAATTTCCAAATATAGGGAAGCTTTGAATGCAGATTCTGATGAATGAATGAGGCATTGCTGAATAAATGTCATAAGCTCTGTCAATTTCGCCACAGCTGTATACTCTATCTTATTTTAATATTTATTTTCAACATCTTTTGGTGAATAGTTAAAATGTTTTGATTTCTGTTCTTTTACATCTCAATTTGACTATTCTTTTCTTAGTGTTTTAGTGGCAATATATTTCTCATTCATAGTAGTGATGGTGTATTTTTTCATCTAGTTATATAATTACTGGGTTATTCCGACTATTAGTTAATGATGCACTCTAACAATAGTTTGACGTTAAATAGTTATAGATCAACGTTTGGACCCTTTCTCTACAAAAACCATAAAAAGGTGAATAATGTTGAAAACATAAATAAAATTAAACTGATATGAAACATTTCTATGACAAATGTAAACCCTGGTGGTCTTTAACACCCCGATTTGAAAGCAAAGTTTCCGTAACTCTAATCAATGTCTCAATGGAAAATGATGAACACACTCTACCAGCCTAGTTGTGCAAATGTGCAAGACCTCTTGCGACTTCTCTTAAGCGACAAACACAAATATTTAACGTCCAAACAAGTTTCTGCAGACACAGTTGCACATAGGTGTTGGAAACTGTCCAGAATGGTAGTTGATAAAATACCCCCGCCGCAGCAAACCTGCCGACTAAGCGAATTTCCATTTGTCTGAATGGATTTTCAATGAAATATATTTTAATAACATTAGGTTTAACGAGTACCTAGGTTTGCTGCTACAAGGAAACTAATAAAGTGTGTTTTTTAGTAAAATATTGATAGCTTAGTACAAAATAAAAAAATTTGCCAAGTTTGATCAAAATATATCCATAAACAAGCAAACTACAACATTTGACAATATTCTCCATAAGAATAACATGGGAATTTTAAATTTACAATTTTTTTAATTTTCTCCGTTACTAATAACCGAACAAAAATACTTTTATATACTAAATGATTTTTTTTTAATCTCTTTAAAAAGGTCTAAAGAGAAATTGGGAAATTTTGTGTTTTGAGGGTCATAAGTGAGAAAAACCAATTTTTACCCCATAAAACCCCCGTTCCCATGGTCCAATCATGCTGGTTCGCGAACTCATTCAAGTTTATCCCGCTTTACACCTTTCAACCAAATTTCATCAAAATCTGACAAAAATTACTCAAGTTATCGCATTCACGGACGTATATATATATACATATATAAAAATTTGAACGAATGTTTTTGGCCTCTGGGGACATCAAAATGAAAAAGTAAATCGGTCCCGGGTCTAGGTCTTACCGTGCCACCCACGGTAATAGCTACTTCCCTATAGGGAAATTCGCTAAAAAGAACGCATTGGACGCATATTTGATCTAGCTCACTTAGGCACGACAGAGCTCAATGGACACCTAACCGATGGACAGCTCTAACTGTTTTATTTGCTGCCAGAACGATGTGTTACGTTGGAAGATCAGAATGAAGCTCTGAAGACACAGCTGATGGAGATGGCAGACGACAAGCAGAAGAGAGATGATCAGCTGGACCAGCTCGGGATCGCTTTGGATACACGTCTCACTCAGTGGCAGGTAATGTCTCGCACATCAAACAGACAAAAAACTTGAAACTCCAAATCTGCAACAATAAAATATATGATTCTTGATTACTTCTTGATTCCCACCAATAAGAACAAAATAATGGTGGAGTTTACTACCTACTAAAATGTTTGAAGTGTCCTCCTCTGATTCTTCACACTCTTTTGTTAATCAGTCTTTCACCGGCTATCTCATCCCCTCCCCTGCCTTTTATCGGGAGCTATGAAGTAAAGCGTTACAGCAGAATGGAATGAAATGTCCATAGTTCGGCTCTAATACTGACTAAGATCAGCTGTTTCCTTAGCTTGAAACAAAAAGCCAATGGATAGATAATGATCCAATTTAAATAACCTTGTAAAAAGCTCAGGGGCAAAAAGTTTGTAGTGAAAGTAACGCTTAAAATAACGTTTGATATCCCCAGGAAAATCACTACCAAGCATTAATTGATTTCATATAGAATAACTCTACAATGTTTTTTTCAGATTTTACAATTTTTGACTATGCACGAGAAAAATTTATACCGTGAATTTAAATCATATTTTATGAATCAGAATAAAATAATAATAGTATTATATTATACTTGTTTGTTTATAACGTTTTGAATTTACCTCTGTGTTAGTATCATTCCAGGAATTAGTAATGTTAACTAACGAACACTTCTTTGTTCTCTCCTAAGCGAGATCCACAACCAAGCCAAATGTTAACGGTAGGGGTTTTAACAGATTTTTACCTTTTTACAGGAACTTCTTGTGCAAAAAGATACAGAACTGATTGAATTAAGACAAAAATTAGCGCAGATCACTGCACAATTTCCTAATTCGTACATGGAAACCACAAGAAACCAACTAGCTAATGTTACTGAGGTAAGTCTTTTCTGAACTATTTTTAGCATATGAAACTTGAAAAATATCAATAACTTTTCTAATACCAAAAGTGGCATATAGGTTTTAATTTTATTACAAAATATTAACTGAAACTAATAAGGTATATGATTTTAGAGTTTGGAGAATAGAGAAGAACAAATTGAAGAGTTGCGGCAACAAATTTCTATAGCAAATGGAAAAATCTCTGAGAGCCAAGAGGTCATACGAGTGTTAAAAGCTCAACTTAAAGAAAGGTAAAATACCCTCGCCGCAGCAAACCTGCAGACTAAGCGAATTTTCTTTAGCCTGCTGTTTGGATTTCTTCATAAATATTTCCTAAACCTGAAGCTTTATCTCCTTCTATAAATAAAATTAGGTTTAACGAGTACTTAGGTTAGGGTGTTATGGGTAAGATTATACAAATTGTGTATTTTGTGTGAAATACTAATAGCATAGCATGAAATAAATAAATTAAGCAAATTTGATCAAAATACACCCAGAAATAAGCACACTACAACTTAAAAAAAAATAAAAATAACATGAAAATTAAAATTAAATTTTTTTTTCTCTCCATTTAACCATTTCATTAAACAATACTTCAATATACAAATAAATCTATCTATACTAAAATATTTGTATTTCAAGCTTGTAAGAAATTGCTGTTTTATTTTTTGGAGGTAAAATTTACCCCATAAAACCTTCCATACAACCCTGTTCCTAAAGTCTGAACATGGTTTGCGAACTAATTAGAATAAATGTTGGTACCATAATTTAATGTTTTTACTGGAGTTGTAGTGCTAACGGACAAACACATAGTATATACAGTTTAAATTGACTGATGGTGTTTTTGCATCTAAAGACAAAAACAGTATAAGAAAATACTCTTCTATACTAAAGAAAAGAGAACAGTCCAATCCCTACGCCATCTAACACCTCTTGGACTCTTGACCTTACGTAAGATAGGCTAGATGCTGGCTAGGGATTGATCCAGCTACCATACAATTTGGCACTGTAATGATTTGCTATTCAGACAACAATGTTTGACAAACTATAATGTTAGTATTTCTGATACTTGAATACAAAGTATTTACATCTGTTGGACATTGAAGGACGGACAAACAGGACGAGTCTCCACGCAGAAAGAAGCTCAAGAGTGACCTGGAGGAGGCTAGAGCCAGACTAGAACTGTTGGAGGCTAGAGTGAAGGATGCTGAGACTGATGCTGATGCTAAGGCAGAGGAGGTGGGAAGGAAATATTTATCTTTAACAGTTTTACAAAGATACAAGAAAAGTAAAGTTTTGATCGTTGAAGTAAAGTTTGACTAAAAGTTGTGACAGTAGCTGTTCTTAGTATTAGTATTTATTTGGCCTTAAAGATGTGGAAATGGAAATTGAATTATGTTAGTCATGTTATCAAGGGTACATGCGCCTGGCTTTTGATTTAAGCATTTTTGGGACGGCAAGTTTATGTGAATGGGAAGGGGTCCATTCTGGGTCAAGTAACGCAAAAAATTAGCTCCAATAGACAATAGACAGTTAACAATGTTCTTTATTTACATATTCGTGGGAGAATAGTACATGCGTCAAAACAAAAGATTTTAGATTGTCAAAGTTATACAATGCTCCAAACAAACACAATTGGAATATTTCAATTCAAAGCCAAGTCGTGTTTTCTACTGAAGGATATGTATATAGTCTATTAGTTAAATATTAATAAAATACTATGAACTTATGTGTTACTTGCCCCAAAATGGACTCTTGACCATTCGGTTAAACCTGTTATCTTAAAAATTATCCTAAAAATTTACTTACCCTCTGATTGACAAAGTTAATGTAAATTTCACTCTAAATCTGTGTTGAATAGCTTAGTTTTATTTTGAAATAACACACCATCATTCAAAAAGCAAACCCAAAAAAAGGTTAAAACCCTTTTAATATATTATTCAATGTTGATTTTTATAGTGTAAATTTTTTTTCAAGATTTAGAAATATTTATTGCCTTAATTTCTGTTAGATATTTCAATGGTGGCATTAATTTTCAATGAAATAATAAGTCTGTCAAAAACTTATTTTAATTTGAGGTGTGATTTATAACTTCAGACACTGGCTTCTATAATAACTGAATCTTCAATAAAAGATATTGTATAAAATACAATCCAGAAAATATAAAATTAAAAAATTTCTAATTAATTTACCTACTACAGTAGCAATCTTGGACTTATACAGTCCAACCTCAGTATAACGAATCTGAAGGGACCGAACTGAATATTCGTTATATCAAGGATTTCGTTAAAACGAGGTTCGTTATATAGAGGTTAGGTTTGCAGGAATTTCGCTAAGTTGAGGTTCAGAACCAGCGTCGGTCAATATAAGTTGGGATCCGACCTCATTAAAATACAATTAAAGTAGCATAGGCTACAATACTTTACAGTACAGTGTTAACATTGTACAGTAGAACCTAAATTATCCGGCGTAATAAAGGGGAGGGATCTTGAATATTGCGCAATCATGACAATGGCATTGACCTTGGTACAGGTTAAAAACTGTAAGTTTAAAATCACAGTTTGTTATAACCCTCCTAAAACCTAGCCAAACACTGCATTGCGTAGTCATAAACCATGTAAAGAACAAAACAAAACAGTAAAAAGTTTTGTAAGCTAACTGCTCGTGATAGGCCGGTAGGCTACTTACAGTACAGTACTGATTTATCACAACAGAGGAATGTCAATAATAATCATCAACTATAGGTGTTGCTAGTTGAAACAAATCGTATTGAAAACAATAAATTATTAGATAAGTCATTATAAAAGTATATAATCATAGCCAACTTAAGGATAACAAAAACACTCGTAAAAGGAATGTTAAAATAACAATGTTGCTATTCTTTCGGTTTGGTTTTGTTTTTATATTCTTTCTTAGGTTTCTCTTTATCCAAAAATTGTACAATTCACCATAGCTATCCCATATCGCCCAATCACAGCTTACTAAACATTACGTCGTCATCAGTCCTCAGTGAATGAAATCAGTTCTCAGTTGCAACATAGCGCGCGCAGCGACAGCAGACAAGGATGTAAAACGGAGCAGACGAATGTTAGCGCAAGCGATGACGTGACCTTTCCATTTCATTTGATAAAGAAACAGATTTTCCCAAAATAATAATTGGGTGGGGGATTTGTTATATCGAGGGAAAGACGTAGACAATTCGTTATGCAGAGGTTATATTCGCAATGTAGAGGTTCTGACAATGATAAATTCGTTATATTGAGGTGTCTTATTTTAGCCGAAAACACGAAAAATTCGTTAAATCAAGGTCGTTGTTGTGGTTTGTTTGTTATGTAGAGGTAAAATATACATTGTGTCTTATGGAGAGTTCTAGGGGATTAAAAAAGATTCGTTATATCAAGGAATTCGTTATATCGAGGTTCGTTATATCAAGGTTAGACTGTATAAACATCATCTATACCAATATACCAATGGCCTGCATTATGGTCACCATTATGATACCTTAGTGCAACCAACTTTACATCATTGCACAGACCACTGTCTATGGTGACAACGGCGTTCATTTGAGAAAGAAATAAAAATGTAATCAACCACTCTGATTTCAGATGACAGAAATGGTGATACAGCTGAGAGAATACGAAACAGGAGTGTTTGGTTTACCTGAAGCTATGGAGCAAATAAAAGAGTTACAGAAACAGAAGAAAGTGAGAGACAAACACATAGAACAGCTGATTCAAGCTGGCAATCAACTGCAAGCAGATGCCAACCTGCTAGAGGAGGAAAACTTGGCACTGAGGTACTGTAACTTTTATATCAAGGATTATATTTCTAAAAATGATGATATTTTAATGGGTGAATTAGGACTTTTATAAATGGAGGATTCAGCCACTGAGCTCATAGATTCACAATAAAAAATACCACAAAACAGGTCATTTATAGGCCTTAGAATCCTTAGATGAAACTCTACATGTTGTCCATCTTTATGTGCATGAGTCGAAGACATAAATTTTCTCATGGAAACTAACTGAACTCCATCCATTTTCAAAATAATTGTTAGCCTAATAATTAATAAATTAATGTGAAAGTAACAAACCTAAGGTGTATTTTAACTCGAATGTAAATAAAAAACTAGTGAAATGATTTGTGTAGCTTTGTTACTTGTATCTCTTTGAAATATTGACTCAGCCGCAAAGCTAAAAAGGTGGTAGTTTTAGTTTTTCAAACAGTTTTTGTACCTAATTATATGTTGACAAACAAATAAATACTTAATTAAATAACAAATGTTTGCAAAATAGAGGTTTACCTCTAGATTTGCTATAAAAACTTGATGAGATAAAGCAAAAAAGTATGCTTAGCAAGGACTTGTGTTTTAGAGATCAGCTTGGTTTGGACGCAGACACTGTTATCCGAGTGGACGGTGTATTGGCGAGATACAAAGCTGATCAACTCAGACTCATCCAAGCCACTCAACAACTTGAGGTCTCCAACAACAACCTCCTAACTCTTAAAGTCCAGGTACTTGTGTTGTTTGGTAGTTAAGGTCCGTAGGTAGGTAGTAGGGGGGGACCGATTCTACTAGGTGCCGAAAGAGATTCACTTCTCTACCAAACTGCACTCAGTGCACTCGTTTACAACCAGCTAAATTGGGCTAAGTTGGAAAAGTGGAAAGGTAGGATAACACAGAAAATATAAATATTGTCCTCGTATGGGATGGCAGAGTAGTTGAAAAACTCAAACTGCATAGTATTACTGACTTTTGGATAGACTAGCCATAGTCAATTTTTAATTTTCGTTTTCCTATTGAACCACCGATTTTTCTGTTTTGAGGCCATCATAGCAAATATCATAAAAAAAAGGACACGGTTTGATTTCTAAAAGTTTGAAACAAGTTGTATATTAAAAATACTGGTTGGCTTGTTTCTAAGAAATTTTCATTCCTATCCTTATTGCAGTAATAAAGTGGTGATTCTTAATTATTGCTACACTTTTGAAACTCTAAAAATGAAAAACAATACAACGATACAACCTATCTTCAAGGGGTGAGAATCAATCAAGAGAATGGATGCTAAGGTTTTGTTTGACACCACTTTGGTAAACATAGTTGCAAAATTAGCCTTCACAGGCATTTTTAGATTTTAACTACGAGTTTGAATTAATTTACACAATTTCACTTCTCTGAACATTAAAACTTCAAACTCTATGTTGAATTGTGTTATTAATTCAAAATCTTAGTTGATTTAAAAAAATGTTCATAGAGGCTAATTTTGCAACTATGTTTACCAAATTGGTGTCAAACAAAACTTAAGAATCCCCTCTTACAATTAATTGATCTTTGCATCGTAACGATATGTTGTATATTTTTTTCATTTATTTATAGACTTTCAAAAGTGTAACAATAATTTAGAATCCCACTGTATAATTGTGTCAAAGCCAGTCTAGTTTTGTTACAAACCACACAGAAAAAAGAAGAAAAAAATCACCTACTTTTTCATGTACATTTTCGAGTGTGAGTGTGGCTATGCTGCTTTTATTCTTCTTGTTCCCTTCTATTATTAATATTTTGCTCCGTTCACAAAATTTATGCCGTTTGAGGGGGAGTGAGTCCATCCCCTCCACCTCACCCTAACAAGCTAATATATAGATTAAGCTAAAAAAATTGTGACGGAACTCAGGACACCTTCCCCTTAAGCTGCCTAAATTTTGTGATCGGACAATATTTATGTATAAATACAGTTATGATATTCAGTGTGGTTAAAAATGCTACATGGTTTGTGTTTTTTCTTATTACTGCACATATTTTTATTTTCAAGAGTAAAATTATAGTAAGTACTGTAGTATATAAGAGATAGGTAATGTTTTTATTCACTGACAATATTTTGTTTTCAGAATCGGAAGTATAAAAAGATCATTTCAAAATTAAAAGCGCAAGTGAAAAAAGTTGGATTTGAACCTGAAGTGATTACTGGGAGCTCGGAAGAGGATTCTGTTCAGCATCCAACTCCTCAAGTTGTTGTTCAAGGTAAGATTTGGAGGCTAAAGTTATTAATTTATTTATTTATTTCATCAGGTACATCATTTACAAAATAATATATGTTTTAAACCCATGAGCAGATATGTGTTATTATGATAAGATAACAATTGCATTGAAAATAACAAAAGATGTTACAAATAATCATGGACCAAAACAGCATTGCATGAAATAATAACAACAAGACCTCAACATATCAACAATAACTGATAATATCATTGACAAAGTATTGTACAGATAATAACATGAAAGTATTTAATATTAATTCGGATTTCAGAAAAAGTATGCATGATGAGTTTTGCGGTACTTTCGAATAATTATGCTCTGCAAACTTACACGTTGGACTTTTAACAGGTATCAGCGAGGAGACTAAAGCCATGCTGATAAAAGAGGCTGAAATCCTAGAAAACAAACTACAGGACGTTATCGATGAAAACGAAGCTCTCCGGAAAGGAATGCATGAAATTTTGGACAGCGTTCGTAGTCATGATGGTATGTACAGTTCAACTTAGATTCATTATTTTATGATATGTGTAGACTGGTTCACATTGAAACAGTTACTTTGGTAAGGTTCACACTAATGTAGGCTGTAATAGAGAGACGGTTCTCTATGCTTAATAGATAGATAAGTTAACTTACAAAAACGTGGTGTTTATCTTACAGATCATGCAGAATCTAGACCTACAGAGATAATATTGATTGATTATACAAACATATTTTACCTGAAACATTACTTAAGTTCATAAAGAACATATTGACATTAACATTAGGCAATTTTCAATTTTCTTGTCTTTGTGCTACAAACACATTTGTTGAAACTGCCAATACCGGATCCACCTCAAGGATTTTTTCTGGCCAAAACTCATGGAGTGATTAGAAAAAATTAAAGAAAGAAAATGGGAAACTTTAATTTGTAAAATGAGTATCCTGTAGGTACGGAATTAGGTAGCTATACCACCAAAATATGCTGATGGTATAGTGTTTAAAGCCTAATGTAGAGGCTTAGGTTCAAATCCTGCCAATCACCAATGGGTTTTACTTCTTTTGGCTATTGTTATCCAGAGGTTTGGAGCCTAACTTACGCTGTTGCCCACACATAAGTAACGAGAGAGGTCCTTTAAGCAAGTAGAGAGCTTTTGTTGTAACGGATATCCCTATACAAAAGACTTGATTTATTTATTTGTTGGCTATGTTTGCCAGGCACCAGCGCTGTACACATAGAGTCTGCATGTCTAGAGCGTCTGCTAGAAGCACTGGACAGTCGTCACCTCAGTGGCTGGTATCACCCTGCCATGAGACTGCAGGCGCAACTCAATGTGACGGAAGGCAACAACGCAGCTCTCAGAGAACAACTTAGAGCAGCACGGTTCGTAAACTGTGGTTGATACGTAAGCTTTCATTTGTACGAGAGGCTTATAAAGTGATCTCAATTTACATTGTAATTATTATATTAGCATCGGCATCACACTTGATAATTAAGTTGAAATATTTCTAATTACTCGTAAAATAATTTTGTAAGTTCCACTCCTGATAAAAAAATTGTGATGAAACTTGGAAAAATGGTCAGTGAGTTGATAAACTAGTTATATGTTTTATAAAAATCTTGAACAAATGTGTTGACTGAGGCAACATTTAATCAAACGTCATAGGGAAACATTGTTGAATACTGCAGAATTTGGCTTTACATTAACTGGTGGAACGTTTGGGAAGAAACAGAAAGTTACTAATACATGTGAAGGTAACTGTCATGCGACTCAGGCCTGCATTAGTCTGCTAAATTGAAGTAACAATGTAACGCTCCTTTCACACTATACGTTTTTTGCCATCCGGTTGAAAACAATATGATTTTTTGTTGTGTCTATGTTTCATATTACATGGTTTCTGATTCTATAGTGAGATAAGTGCTTTTACAACATCACAATAAATATGAACAGTGTCCAATTGACAGATCAGATTGTAAACGATAAACAAAGATTGCAATAGCTGATCTATTTTCACTGAATAGTGGGCTCACGTTCGATTAAAATCTGTGCTGTATGAAATCTTACATTTTACTACACAACTGTCGCACGGCCACATCACGACAACCGTCCGGTTTTTGTCGCCGTAACCGTGTAGTGTGAAAGATCGCATGCTCTTCTTTACACTACAAAAAAATAATTACCTGTACAGTTTTCAACCGTTTGGCAAAAACCATATTGTGTGAAATGAGCGTAAGAGAAAAAAATACATATGTAAATATATGTCAACATGTCTATTGTGAACTAATGTTATGCATAACTAAACAATGCCTAATGTAGGCCAGAAAATTCCACATTTGTTAATTTGTACTTTCATTTATTTTTATCAGTAAGGTAAGGTTTGTTCCACCTATCTACTGCAAAATTCTTAACTTTGGCCTAAAGCCATCTAAGTAGTTTAAAAGTCATATGCATTATTACAAAAAATTTAGTCCTAGTCAATGAAAACATTAATTTATTTAAAGCCTCAAACTTCATCAATTTTCATAAAGGTGATTTTTCATCATCCACAGAAAAGGCTAATTTTTATTTTCAGGTAGGTGTTATCTTCCTAACATTATAATGCAATTTTGTATGTAGAGCTTTTTCGTCTCATAACTATATGTAGTAATTCAACTTTTACAGACACAACGAGCATGAGGCGTCTGCCCAGCTTCACAAGGCGTTGGTGCAGGTTGACCTACTGCAGGGCGAGCTACAGAAGATGATCACAGCGGCCCAGTCAGTGGAGAAGGAGAGTGGGCGACGAGACGATCCTGGTACAGCAGTGTCTCTGAAGGCTATGGAGTTCATAGACGCTATCAAGGCTAAGAAACAAAAACCACAATTGGTAAGTAGCGCTGAAAGTAACAAAGTTGAGGATAATGATTCACATAGTTATATTTAGACACCAAGCTTGGTCGCTAGTAACAAAATTTGGTTTCAAGTAATTGGTAACACGCCTTAAAACCAAATAATAAGAACAATCCAATTCCCAATGTGTGTCTAATAGTAATTTGAATATATGGATACTGTATAGCGTTGTCCTGTAATCCAGCTACTAGGAGGTCACAAATTGTGGATATTTATAGGCATGCACTATGGACGCGATACTCTCTGGTGTGGATTAACGTCCGCACGAGTGAGTACTACGACTATCCGCAGTACTATCCTGATAATTAGACCAATTCGTATATACCAAGGCAAAAATGTGGTTCGGATTCCACTATAAACTGTAGGTCCCTTAGTTGCCATTAGCTGTATGGGCTATTAATTAACAGCTGTATCTAAGGAATATGTCGGCCTTAGTTACTAACAAGACTACAAGATCGCGCCACTCATCCTACACTCATCTCCATTCATACTTGGCTTAAAATAAATACTTTGTATGGTCGCCATTTCATCGAAAAGTATTAAAAGTATTAAAGTATTAAGTAAAGGACGTTGAAAAGGTTATTTTTATTGTAAGAAAATAACAGTATCTGACCATGAATTATTTCTTGCGAAAAAAAAAAAAAATTATGCAAATAAACAACTTTCTGACATCTACCAATTAAATTAAAATTCTCTAAATAAAATGAAAACTCTCCTTGAAAGTGATACTGATTAACAAAAAATTTCCACAACCATGCTGGTTGTTCATAAAATAACTATAAATTCAGGAGGTTTTTGTCTCTTTTTTTAAAGAAACAGTTTTGTAAAATTTGTAAGACGTAGCAGTCTGTATTTTAACTAGCTATTTATTTGGATCATCTGACAGGGATGGCTGGAATCTAGGGAATCTGAATACTTTTAGCTATCGATTTCTGGTTGTGGTTCATAGACAAATAATTGGAGGAATCGAGAATCAAAATTTGGCATTGACCCATCGCCATGTAATAACAACTATGGTATACTTCAGAGTGAAATAAGGCCTGTTTGGCAGCAACTTAACTTACTAATCCGATGCAGTTTCCCTATAACGACCCATTAGTGTTATTTATTTTAAATTTCATTTTCAGAAACCAGAGAAGGAAGGCTCGGATTCTAAACTCAAAGAAGAGGTGGAAAGATTGAATGCAAAACTAAAAGAAACCAAAGACATTATGGCTGAAGAGAAAGAGCTGTATGAGAGTGACAAAGATAGCTGGCTGAACGTCAGGAAAGGTTTACAAGATGAAGTCAACTCTCTGACTGACAAGGTTGCGTCACTCTCAGCCCAAGTCAAGGAATACTCTACAAGCTGGCAAGCACTCCAGGACGGCCCTGATGCTATAAAAACCTCTTTGGCAAACGCCACTATCAGGTAGTGGTATTGGTTCTACAATATCTTAATTATTTTGTGCTATTTATTAGTATTCATGCCTTGACCTTTTTAAATCACTACTTAACTTGTTCACTCACAGATAAATTTATCCTACCTTAAATCTTTATCTTATTCCGTATAAAACAGTTGTACTTCAACGTTGCTTCTCTTTAGATCACCGCAAATATTAGTGTAGAAAAAAAAGAGCTGTTGATTTTAAACACTTTTTAAAAACAAACTTATCCTTTTCTCCTACAGGTTAGGTGATCTCTCATCCGAAAATGAAAAACTTAAAAGGAAGAGCTCGGTATTACAAGAGTTACAGACACAAATGAAAAATGAAAAAGATTGTCTGCAGGAAGAACTGGTCTTGCTCAAGAATTCCTCAAAGCATAGTATTGAAGAACTAAAGAGAGAAAGGGTAAATACACAATTGGTTGGAGTCAATTGTTCAACAGTATTAAACTTGCTCTGGCAAATTTCATTTGAAAGGAAGAAGTAGAGTAAACAATTGTGAGCGAAAGTGGAAGATGCTTGTGCTAGGCGTCAATAGTGGTTTTCAAACTACTATACTGTTCTTGCTTCCCCTTAAACGATAGTTAACAGTGACGTTTTTACTTTTTACATCAATTTTGTAAATGAAAATTATCACTTACGCAAACAAAAAAGAAAAACTTGCCATATTACAAAAACAAAAGTAAAGGACAACGAGTATCCAGGAGGCTTACTATGTTTTTATTTTATTATGTTTATGTTAATGTTATTATTTTAGGGAGTGTTCTAAAAGCATCAAAATGTAACTTTTTTGTTGATTTTTAGTACTGTGAAACAACCAAATTTATTTTTTGCAAATAACTATTTTTTAAGTATTTTCAGTTCACAAAAATAAAAAAAATAAAAAAAAATTCAAAAACTGAAAATGATCAAAGTCATAAAAGATGTATAGCCATTAGCCAGTCATCTTAATTTATTTTATAATATAAAATATTAAAATATACATTTTCAAGAAAATTTTAATCCTTTCAGTGCTTTTTGGTGTGTTTTTTATTCATTTACAATTTTACCTTTTTAACTTTTTTAGGATAAACTGGATGCAGAGTTGAAAGTTCTACAGAGTTCTCATTCACTCTGTTACCCTTTCGCTGAACTGGAGGAAGCCAAGAAACAAATAAATGAGCTGACAGTTAAATACAGAGATCTCATCACTAGCAAAACCTCACTGGTATGTGTAAATGTTGTATCATTAATTAAATATCCGCTTTTCATTCTTGATTAATTCATTTGTTATTTTGTTTTCTCATTTGCTACGGGGTTGGTGAGAAAAACACTGTAATAAAGTGCAACTGAATTCACAATTCTAGCAATCACAAACGCATATTATGGCTTTTTTTGGACCTACACAATTATTATGGTAGTATAAAGTTAAAAGAAACGATTCTTTAGTCGTCTTTTTAGTTGTGTGCCTACAACCTAGGAGTAAAATTTGGAACTACGCTTGGGCGTTGGGTTCACCAGTTTTGTTAGTCTGTTAGAGAGTTAGGTTTCATCAATGGTCAAGCGACCTCGCTGTATAAAAGACAGAACTGTAAATCCCAGCCTGGTCAGGTTTCAAGTGCAATTCTTGCGGAGTTGGCCTGTCAATGCAGATTTTGGTAAGAGAGGCTCTCATAAAATAATTGGCTCAAAGGGTTAATGAAATTGAAGTCTCCTCAACATAACTGATACACAATTTGATTTTTTAGGTTATGACTTCCACAATGTAGATTACTGTTGTCATTTCAAGTGCAAGTATGAATCAAAGACTAAAACCTGTAGACACTTCTATTGTTGAATTTAAAGTTGTATGTTTTCCAGGATGATGCAAACAACAAATTGATCAATCTGTTGAAGGCACAAGTTGAACTGCTACAGCAAGATGGAGAGCAAAAGGATAAGGTAAAGCTGTTTTTATTAGTTGGTCAGATATTGCTGCTCCCATTGTATTGTATTGTTGAGGGGTGGACTCAGGATCCCAGCACATCAACCAAAAGTTACTGTGCCTGCCCGACTTGCCTTTAGCTAGGCAAGTCGTTTCCTGTGTCTTTGACAAGGTCTGGAATCTCTGCCTAATGTTAGCGTCTGGTTCATCACCTGGCTTCTTTTGACCAAACAGGACCGTTCTCCTAGCACCAAGTTTGTAGCAATCCAGAATGATTTACTTTGCAGTCGTATTGGACTGGTTGCAAAATAAATAAAATAAATAAATAAATAAGGTATTCTTGAGCGAATTTCAGTAACAAAACTGTTTTACAAATTTAATCGAGTCTGGACCTAAACTAAACCAAAATTCTTAACACTACGAAACAATCCGGACGGACATTGTATTTGACATCCTACGGTGACTTGTGATATGATCATATTTTTAAAGGATGTATACAAACCTTAGGGAGCAATTCTGTAGCCTGTGAAGTATTGTGATCTGTTCCTGTGTTAAACTGTATCCAAAAAAAGGTGGGCAGTAGTTTAAGGTAGGGAAAATAAGGAATTAGGCCAACCTCAACTTGATTTATTCTGGGAGCAATGTTCTAAACCTATTAAGCACTTTTAATTTTCCAACTACACGTTTGCTTATTCAATTCAATTCAATATTTCTTTATTCATTAAAGCACAAAGAACATGAATAGTGTCATTCTCTTACATGTTTTTTACATTACAATGTTCTTACATTCTATAAATACAAAGTTCTTAAAACTAACACAAGTTTATACAAATTCAAAATTAACACTCCTAAAATTCTACAGTTTATCAAGGGAATACAATACCTTGTTGATGAGAAATTTTTTAAGACCCCTCTTAAATCCCACCATGCTTTTTGCCGATTTAATTTTGTTTGTATTTAATTTTAATTATTTATTTATTTCGTTTAATATTGTAGTTTCGTCTCAGTAGATTACGCTCTTAGTCTGAAATGGAACTACACAAATTCCAAATACAATATTGTATCAAATATGTTACCAGCTAACAACTATACAGTGCAACCTTTTATGTCTTTCCCTAGAGGTTCTAAAAGTTCTTCCAAACTTCAAATGGTAATTGTTTGTTTGTTGCAGATTCCTGAAAAAGAATTCAAATTGATAAAGCAAAATGATGGTAAACAAGAAAACAAAAGCCATGCTGAGAAAATGTACAGTCTTGTTAAAGGTAAGGAGTGTATCACATAAACCGATGTTGTCTTTTAAAACTTTAAACTTTTGTTAAAACATTTTACTATTAGTGTTTAGAACCTTAACATTTTAAGAAGAAAAAGTTGACATAAGATAATAACTATGATAATCTTAAGTTATAATTCTCAGTTGTCAACCTTCATCTGTGTATTGAGCTCTTGACAATATGTTTGATTATTTACCAAAGATAAACAAAATATGAATCTAAACCTGTATAAATATACTTATATTCATAAGATATGTTTTCCAAACACAAAACTCTTCAAATGATGAACCAAAAATAAGTCATAATGTCAAATAGGACGGATTAATATGATGGTTTTACCATTCAGATCAGCTGAAGGAGTCTGAAGAACACTGTAAAGAGTTGGAGGGTCAGTTGGCTGGACTGGTGCAGCAAAACTTGGCTCTACAGCTGGTAGAGGCAGAGTTGAGAGATCAGCTGGTCAACAGTGTGCCACACAGCAGACTTGTAGAGCTGAGAGAACAGCTGACTCAGTCAGAAAAACTGGTGGTAAGGGTAGAGTATTAAGTAGTTTAAATGTAAACATTCTTGCCACCAATACTGATATACAGTATGATACAGTACACATTATATACAGTATGATAGATAACGTACATTTGTTCGTCTTCAGTCTTGTATGTAGTATTCTGAGGATTGCTAATTTTCGATCGTATGAGTATAAGACCCATTGTCAAACCCGTCATCAAATTGACAGTCTACAAACTCTGACTGACTTCATCATCAGTGAACACGCACATAACGTTAATATAAAAAAAAAAAAATATTTTAGTAGTTAGGTTGGGTACACTTAAATTGAAACAAACCGACACAGGCTGCACGGCAAACCTCACACAACTAGTGTTGGTGGAAATTCGCCTATAATTTCTGTTTTCCTGGTGTACTGGTCAGCTGGACACTCGAATCGGTTGGTATTTCAGAACACATGCCTTTGTGACAGAAATCAATCGTGGTGACTTCTCTTTTTCCTCATTGCTAAGCAAGACTGATTACAGTACATGTTCTCGCTATAAAAAACTATGGGTGGTGTCTTTAATTAGGTAGGTAACTTTTTATTTCTATTTATAGTTGGAGTTAAAGGCAGAACAAAGCAAACTAGAAGAGAGAGTTTCATCAGCTGAAGACAAGGCTAAAGCTTTAGAAGAGCTGAGACATTGTCACGATTACCAACACGACTCATTGCAAAGACAAGTTCTTGAGCTGACGGCTTCTAGTGAAGACAAAGCTACTATTGGTATGTTGACCATACACTCCTTTTTAACTCAAACTTAAATTTATTGGGATGAAAGTAACCACCATTAGTATGTGAGTGAGCAAATCAATTGGCATAATTCAATAGAGCATTTAACCGATTCAGTTTGGTTCTTTTCCATTGTCATTGCTCACAAGTCACTGAGCCATTTGGATTACTAGTTAAACCTTCTTATCTGGAAAAAATATTGGTTTTAAAGTGAATGCTTAGTCAAATTTGTGTGGTATTCTCAGAAAAAATGATTATTTACGTAGGTTTACCAGGTTCTTAAAGATTGTAATTTGTATATAAATAGCATAGTGTAAAAGTGATGTTAAAACAAACGCTGTTCTTGAGGATGCCACACTTATGGCAAAATTTTCATCGGGCTTAAGAATCTACAATATTCAAGAACCTGGCAATCATAAGGTAAACTAACATGCTTAATCAAACTTTTTGGGTATGTAGTATTTATTGATGAAACAGCTTTGGTGTAGCTAAAAATATTTGTAGTTTTTAAGTTGTCCATTTTTGATGATAAAGAATTTAGGTTCTCTAAAAGATTATTGAGGTCATTTTCCATTGATTTGTCAAACGGAAGTTGATGATTCATAATCCTCCTGAATTTGGACCCTGTCTTTAAGTAGGGTATGTAAATTCCTAAAAAAAATGTATTGTAAAAAAATAAAAACCTACATGTGAAATTGTATAAAATGTTAATCAACTTGGTCTCTAGGTCGCTTAACAAGAGAATTACTGAGAGCACAGGAAAGTGAACTGGCTGCCTCAAAGCAAATTGTGGAAATGAAAACCAGCTTAGAAAAACTACAGAACATGTGCTCGGAACAAGAACGCAACATGAAAAATATCTGCAACCAGCATCTTAGAGAAAAAACCGAAATGCAATCAAAATACAGGTGTGTAAACTGTTACCTTGAACTGTACATAGGCTATGTACCTTTTATTGTCCACCACTATCTTTATGAATAGTTTCTGAGGTTATCTTATGTTATAATTGTGACAGTTTTAGATTACATGCGTCTTAACATAACTGAATTTAGTCTCCAAACGTGGCATTGGTATAAATTAGTGATTTCTTCCATTATTTTGTTGCCTTATGTCAACTTTTGTTTTTGACAACGCCAAAACTGAAAGGTCAACTTATTGTAATACTCTGTTCACAAAATTTTGGCGGTTTGAAAGGAAGCTCTCACACTACTTTTTTGCTTAATGCATGTTGAAGCTGATTGACGTTTTGGCAAACATCAGCTGTTGAGCAATTGTTTAAAAGGTAGGATCAAGTGGAGATGATAGATTTCTTCCCTTATAACAGCCTAAATTTTTTGAACGGAGTATAACAGGTAGTTGTTCTTAGGGTGGCTTTGGTGAACAGTTGGGATATTCGGCCAAAATAAGTACCTACCAAAACTGGTTTAAAAACCGACTTCTGTGTAGTACAATTCTTATTTGTGCTGCAACTAGTTTTGACTTGTCAAATAATCTTCTTCAAACATTGAATCACTTCATCAAAAGGTTTTTTATCCATAACAGTACATTTGCATGTAAACAGACACACAGGAACATGAAAAATTCCGTTAGTAACAACGGAATCGAGAAATGATGTAAAACGAGCTTGAGACTGAAAAAATTGTTATGTACATAAACGCTGGCATATTCATCCTTCACCTATATTCAGTTAGACGCAGCATCGTGTCCTTGTCTCTAATGATACTGTTGTTAGGTGGCTGGCCAGGACTGTGAGTGACCTACACCAGCGCTATTTAGGACATCTGTCACTACTGTCAACGGAGAGTATGCAGAGTATGTTGGCACAAGCTAGGTATGAGAAGACCAATGCGCTGGCTGCGGCTACAGCTGTCATGAGTGCTGACAAGGTGGTAGAGATGGTGAACAACCAGTATAACGAAGCTGACGGAGTCACTGCCTCTAAACTGCAGGTCATTGTAGTTTAAAAGCTTGCAGAACGCCCTAGATGTGTTTACTTTCAACTTAAACATTTTCAGAAAGTTTTTAATTTTTGAAATTAGAATTCGATTTGATAAAAATATCATTATTTGGTATAGATGGAGAGTAATTTGAAAAGTTGCTAAGAATGTAACCTAATAAGTAATTATTTACTCTTTATTGAGAATCAAGGCTCGATTTAAGGTAAATGTACTGGATAATACTGTTAGCTTAAATTTAGACACCTGAAATAACAAAGACAAAAAAATTAACCTGCTGTATTTTTGTCTTAGTGGGAGTAATTGTAGTAGTAGGTTAGTAAATTCTCTACTAGTCAATATCTCCCATGCATATTACCTATGAATGAATGAAATAATATTTTATTTCCCATTAATTTTATACATATAAGTACATTGTATTTTTTTCTTTACTTAAATATAATACTGCAAACATTACTAACTAGATAACAAAACAAAAATTATATACTGTAGAAATAAAGTGAACAAAAGTGTAAAAAAAATACCTTCTATAACAAAGGAAAAAGTCTACATAGGCCTGTGCGTAGACTCGAGTTGCGAAAAGGTTAATTTAAATGTGAGGTAAAAAATGTATAGGAAAATAAAAAATAGTTTGTATAATTTAAAATTATTTATATTTGTCTTGCTTAAAACTGAATTTTTAGTGTTCTGGAATTAAATTGACGATAAAAAAAACTCTTTGTGCAAACTGAGGTAATTTATCAAAATCTGGTGATTGATCAAAACCTAACATGCATTTTTGAAAGCTCATAAATAAAATACAATTGTAGGAACTGAAACTCAAAGTCCAAGTTCAGTCTCTGGAATCTCAGCTTGCACAAACCGAGGGACAACTTCATAGGATTGAAAAGTTGAGTGCTGTCCTTCAGGAGGAATTGGTGTACCAGGAAAACTGTTGGGAGAACAAACAGGTCATTTGGGAACAGAAATTGGTAAGTTATTAAATATGTCAAAAGGTATAAACTAGCATAATCTGCATACATTTTCCCTACAATATAATTTTCCAGGATATAAAGATCAAGTGTTTTACAGTCTATATTTTTAATGTGGCTTTGAGATTTATCAGTCTGTTGAAGCATTCCCTGTATAACTCATTGTCTGAATTCAAGGATTTAAGCCCCACTGTAACATGATTGATCTGAAATGTGTTTATTTTATTCTTGAAGCAGATAATGCAAAAACCAAATTAAAACCCTTTAAAAAACTCTTTCAGCAAATGTGTGCATTGGTAATTTTACTGTAAGCCTAAATCTATTTACAAAATCGTTGACTTTATGTGTATTCAAATTCTAGCTGGAAAATCTCTCTGTGACATCTCCTACAGAGGAGAAAACCAAAAGTGCTGAGTCTTCAGATGACGTTGTGGTTGGGAACATAACAGCTGATGTTACTGAGGTTTCAACTGGTCACCCTGAGGTGGGAGAAGTTGTGAAAGAAGCTGCTGGGAAACAAGAAAAAGAAACCGTGCCTTCACCAAAGGTTGCTGCCTTTCCTGAACCAAAATTGGCCTCGGAGTGTGAGAGCATCAGGATTCTGAACAACCAATTGAATCAGGTCTGTTTCACAGTATTATTTCCAGCAGTGGTTTCCAAAATAAAAAAAAATCCTTACTTTTAATAGTATTCATAAAATTTATAGAAATTTACTAATGCAAAAGAATTATTTTTAGCTGATTTCAATTTCCCGATCATTCAGTTGTAAAAAAGGTGCAGTAAAATAAATATAAATACACGTATAAATTTAGTTGTAATATTGAGGTTCAACATGACTAGTTTAGTTATTCTATCTCATTTTACATCTCAAAATTTCGATAATTCAGTTTTTTGTAACTCAACCTTTTTCAACTTGGTGTAATTTGATAGGAAATTTTAAATTTGTAATACAAGTGGTCTTGAATTTTTTTTCATAAAATCAGCCATTTTTTATTAACTTAAATTAAAAATAAAATGACAATTTTAAAATTTTGAATTGGACTAAAATAATTTTTATTACATGATTTTCTTAAGACTTAACATAAATACCAAGATCGGTTTGAAATGTTTATGTAAAAAATACAAAATGGCGGAAATCTTGTTAACAAAGCGATTATGGAATACATTTCTTTATTTTTTTTCTCTCTATGTTGACTCGTAGAACTTTTTCCCGGAGTTTGGCCGTTTACACCCTGTATATTATTAGTCAGATTTAAACATTTACTGAATGATTAATCAAACAGGTTACAACGCTGATGAATGAACAAGCAAAAAAACTAAACCAGTGTGAAACAGAGATATCAGAATTGAAAAGCAAAATGGAGTCTTTGAAAAGACAGTTGGATGATAAAGAAAGTAAGTTGAAAAATAAAGAAAAAGAACTTCTAGATTTGCAGACTTCTTTGACTGATAAAGAGAAGGAGAAGATAGAGGAGGAGTCCACTGAGATTCTTGCTCTGAAGGTATTTATTAAGTTGAAACTGTAACTATTTACTATTGTATCCATTGTTTCTTGTCTATACTGGTCTGAATTTGGTCTTTTTTAACAATGCATAGTTCATCATTGGGCGGTGACAATCAAAATCAGCAAAGATAATATGATGCAAAGATACAATTTTCTTAAAAGAAATAATCCATTAGAGGCTTGTATATTTGCATTTTTAATGTAGTGTAAGGCTTTTTCTTTACTTTACTTTACTTTTCAATGAAATGGCGATCATACAAAATAGGTATTTTAAGCCAACTATGAATGGAGATGAGTGTAGAATGAGTCAGCCGTTAAAACAACTTTTGACTTTTACCGCTGCGGATTGTTTCACTGTTTTTGTTGTACTATACACTACATTATCTTTGCTGGATCTTGTAGTCTTGTTAGTGACTAAGGCCGACATATTCCTTAGACATAGCTGTTAATTAATAGCCCATACAACTAATGGCAACTAAGGGACCTACAGTTTATAGTGGAATCCGAACCACATTTTTTCCCTGGTATATACGAATTGGACTAATTTTCAGGATGGTACTGCAGATATTCGTAGTACTCACTCTTGCAGACGTTAATCCACACCAGGGAGTATCGCATCTACAGTACATGCCTATAAATATCCACAATTCGTAACCTCCTAGTGTTGATAGAAGCTCACTAATCTGGTCTTCGGGGGTGCCGGATAATTTAAAATGCTGCATTACTGAACGTCTTCTAAAAACAGCTGTTATTGCGAGACAAGTGAAAAGACCACTAAACTAAGCTTTTGCAAATCGCTCCCCATGTCTGCCAATCGCTCCTTGCCTCTGTCTGTTGCACTCTGCTCTGCCAATCGCTACAGACTCTTTCTTGTCCTGACATCTGCTGATCTATACTAACATCCGCCGTTAAAACAACTTTTGACTTTTACCGCTTCGGATTGTTTCACTGTTTTTGTTGTACTATACATACACTACATTATCTTTGATGAAAGGAATTAGAGGAAATGTGAAGGATGGGGAGAATTTGTCATACCTCCAAGTATGTTTCAGTTTAAGAGCCTGAAATTAGATAGAAAATTACGAGTAGAAGAAGGGGGCGGGGGGGTTTATTGCACTAGCCAAGGGCTGAGTTGTTTTATAAGTTATTTATCTGTCTGTTTGTTAGTATTGTCTTTAATTTTTCTACTCTTTTCTTGCCCCCTGCTATGTTTTTTCTAATTTATTTTTAAACACACTGCATGTATTGTATACACAGTGCACCTGTTTTCAGTCTTTGCTTACCTATGTTTTTTATAAACTTTAGTATTTTATTTTTAAGATGACTGTGATACTTTTTGCATGTACTCTGCACTTGTTTATATTTTATTGTCTATATTTATTTAGCCTTATTGCCTGTAAACTTTAGGCTACTATTATGACGTTCATCCATTGCATGTGTTGTACATAGCGTTAACGATGAATAAAAATTCTTGATTCTTGATTCTTGATTGACTGTTGTGATAACTTTTTTACTGACCAAGATTTAGTCAGGATCATTTATCAAAAGCCCAATGATCAAGGAGAATTGAGTTTAGTCATAAACAATCAAACAACTTCAGACTTTTCTCTTATTGAATTGGCGATTTTATGCTTAATAGGAGAGCGTTGGAGCGGCGTTCCCACTCAGCCTTTTTCAAAGCATCTATATATTAATAAGCAACCCGTATTTTCCGCGAGAATGGTGAGCGTTTCTGGAAAATTTACGACTACCCTATGATAATTTACAATTATTTTCAATGGTAGAGTATAATGTGGAACATTTCCAGGCCACAGTTGCTAGTCTTCAGAATATCGTGAACCAGAAGGAGGAGACGATCGGACGTTACCAGACGCTGCTTCAGGAGAGTAGAGATGAACACAGCATCACAGTAGCAAACCTTCAGCAAGAACTGACAAGTCTTCAACAGACATTGGACAAGAAGGACAAACCTGCTGACAAGTGAGTGTTTGTGTTTTGGATGATTCCATTTCATCAATCGATCAATCATTTACTGTTAGATTTTCAATATCCCAGATTAGCTAGGGATAAAGGGGTGACAGTGACGATAAAGTAAAACCATTGAGTTTTTATTACCAGAGTGGCCAGCTGTGGCCAATTTTTCATTTAAAAAGATCACAGTTGAATGAACCAATCAGAGGACGCAACAATAGGGCTAGTCTCAACTTATATCTTCTCCATAAGATTTGTTACTAAGGTGGTTGATGTGACAACTAAGTTGCAGTAGTTTACAGTGATCTGTTCAGTTTGGCTTGGTTGGAAAGTTGGCACACTTGACTTGACAGTAACCATTTATTTATGTATTTAAGTAACTCAATTGAACTATATTCATTATCATTATAAACTGACTAAAACTTAAACATGGGAGTAGAGGGAGACCATGTCATACACACTCTATATGAACGAATCAGAAAAAAATATAAAAAAAAACAAGTATTTAATTACATGCAGTGCAATATTGTGAGCACACGGAGTGTTGTACAGGTCAAGCATTGGTGCAGGAAAATATATTGATCAGCCTGTATGCACACAATGCCTGCTACCTTCTTTCCTCTGCCTCGCCATAATACTGTATTCCCTACTACGCAGATTTGTTTAATGCTGCCGAACCCATCTATTGTGGGATTCCCTGTATTTAGTCATCATTATTACTTCAACTGACTGTAAGGGCCATGCATAATATTAATAATCCAAATTTAATAATGTACAGATGCTCATGAGGTGGAAAAAAATCAATGGTTTGTACTTGGAAGCATAGTTGGAACTTTTCGAAATAACATAATCAACATTCACATTTGACTGAAAGAATCTAGTAAAAAATTTAAACCTAAATTTTCTCTACTTCAAATTACTATGAATGTCTAGGGAGGGCAAAACCAAAGGCGAGAGTATGGCAATGAAGGTTATCTTGGAGCGATACCTAGCAAAAGTGCGAAGTCTGGAGGACGACTTGTCACAGACCAGAGACCAGGCTGCTCGGCTGGTGGCTGATCTGGCCGGCGCTCAGCAACAGACAGACAGATGGACTCACACTGCTGAGGAGAGACTCAAGACTATACAGGAGATGAAACAAAGGTTAACTTACTTATAAGTGACGTTTTACTAATTTGATCTGATTCTTTGTCTACATGAGTCTTTTTCACTAGCTAAGCTAGTCTAGTGGGGTTAGAGTGAGCCTCCTGTCTTGGAGTCCTGAGTTCAAAGTCATTTTTTTTAGGCAAGGAGAACATTGTTGGGTTAAAGTTCCAAGTCCTAAGTCCTTCAGAGCAGCATTAAGTAATTGCAAGCAAAGCATGATTTTATTTGTTGTTGTTATTGTATTAGTTTTGTATACGTGTAAATATACAGTTCTATGCCAGTTTGGATATTAGTTTAGTTTTTTTCATTTTATTTTTGGTCAGTAACCTCCAAAATACAGTACGCAGATAGATTTTTATTTATGGCAAACATCTAATTTAATAATTTCTTTCTAGGCTTGATAGTGCAAGAAGCAAAGAAGATCTAACTGATACCAATTCTGAACTAATGGAAAAATCTGCTGAAATAGACAGTTTGAACAGAATCATCAGCAATCTTAAGGTAATTCCATAAGTTGAACATCTGTTCAATTCCAATATTATTTCTATAAGATTAACATATATTATTATAGAAACATCTCTGATTTGTGTAATTGGTTTATTTAGGCCAAACTCGAGTCCAGAGAAACAGTTTCAGCTTCTAGAGACAGACTGAGAGGAGAACTAGATCGAGCTAATAAACGAATTGATGTTATACAAAACCAGAATACCGAACTGAAATCTGAAGTTCAGAGATTGCGCAAACAGCTGACATTGAGGTAACAAATAACAATAACTTGTTTGTTTAAGAATATCCTTTGGTGGAAAAGGGCTGTTATAGCAAAACCTCTCTACCTTGTGACTTGACGGGCAACAGCTGACAAAGCGCACGTCTCTTTGGATTTGTCTTACTATTATCTTCATCAACTTTTCAAGTTTTAATAGTTAGATATTTGTCATTTCTTTGAAGATTGTATTATAAAAATTTGTCTTCTCAATATGTAAAAAAATACTCATGTAAGTAAAAAAAAAAAAAAAAACACAAATGTAACAGTTTACAAATAATCAATCTTGTGATTTTATACAACCTTTTCATTAAGTGGGTTTAAAAACTAATTTTTTCCCAGAAAATATCTCATCAAAACCTTTAATTGAAATTAGTTAAATAGGTGTGATGTTTACGGTTTTCTGAAAAGTTTTTTGTTCGTTATTAACTAGACATTTTTAAATGTAGAATAAGGAGGATAGCTCACCATGAAGAAGTGCATGTAGGCCATAGGACATACAGAATTGAAAGTGAACACATTAAATTTGGTAACTCTTTCTCTACACTTGACAAAGTCCCCCAGAGGATGAAATTCCGTTCAGTTTTCTCTTCTGTATTCCTTACGTACCTGCACTTCTTCAAGGTAAGCTAGGTGCTATCCTCCTTATTCTATTCAAAATCCTGGCCTTGAACCTTTCAGTGAACAAAACTTTACATATATAGATAGTTAGTATAAGAGGAGTGTAGGATTTATCTGATACTTTTAACAGTACAGCTGACCAAGATTTGCTCATTATTTAATTTGTTTCATTAATTTGTGTGTTTGTCATACTTGTACTTAGGTTTCAAGCAAATGGTCTCTTCTTATAATCTATTGCTTTATTAACATTTTTTGGACTTCTAGACAAAGCAGCACTCCAAAGTCAGAGGTTGTGAGCACTGCTCGCGAGGAGGTTTTACAAAAGAAAATAAAACAGCTGGAAGAGCAACTCGCTGACTACCAAGTGATTGTGCAGAAAGGGAAAGAGATTCATAAGTCTAAGGTCAAAACAACATTCACAATTAAAATAATATTGAATGAATGAATGAATGAATTCCTTAGATAGTGTTCTTTAACACATTCGCTGTAGCCCGTCAATGTTGAACCAACCCGATTGCCGGGCGGTTGGCTTACAAATATTTAGGTCTGACGAATAGCGAATAACACGGGGTGATGTGCTGTATTACGACGAGAGTTGACGTAGTTTGCTAAAACACCCACAGATAGCAGCACTCCTTGGAACATAGCCGGTCCCATTGGGATTGTATTGCAAGAGAAAGACGGGACAACAAGTTGATTTTTAAGCTTGCCAGATGGGGATTTTACGGGGAAATTTACTACCAACCTAGACCACAATTATAGACTGGTATTAGAGACACAATACTAACGTATACCAACCGTCCTCGGCTAGATCCTGAGTTATTCTAACTGGGCAAACAATGCATTACACACTGTGCCCCCTGGTGTCGCAGCCGCCTCGCACCACGGCACACCATGCAGCGAGTGTGTTAACTTCTTTAGTTTAGTAGTGAGGTGGTAGCCCTACATACTTCGCTTTGTGGGTTTGCTTTCTGCTTGCCTCTAATTTGTTTCAGTACGGTCCACTCAAAAAGTTAGAAAACATAGGCCACATTATATTTCTTTAAATTTATACACTTAATAAACATTATACTAACATTTGATTTGACTTTCCTTTGGAAGTTGATGCTTGTAAAATTGACGGTGTCCTTGTGATAATTATTAATGTTTTTCTTTGTTTTGTAAAGACGTATACTTAATTATGATGTTACAGTATTATTCAGTGGTCAAATAAATCCTCAGCAAGAACATCTGTTTTTTTTTTTTATGAGTTCTTTATTAACAAAGTAATCTGTTCAATTCCCTTAAATTTTCTATTGAAGTGAGATCTGCATGTGTCAAACATTAATGAGGAGTGTAAACAATTTATTTTAATAATTTTGAAATCTTCTTAGCTAAAACAACCATTTACTTAGCAATTCTTAGCTATATTTGAAGCAGTTTGTTACTTACTTCTGTTTGTTTATATTATTTATCTTACTCACCGAGTGAAGTATATTATCATATGAACAAACACTAATCCTATCTTACTTAAATGGCAACTCAACCTAAGAAGGTTTTTTGTCCTAACTGTTTACCGCCATTTGTCTTGATCTTGTATCACTCCCAGATCGTCATCCCAAACCTCCATGTCGTACACTTTATTTAAAACCAACAGAGTTTTTAACAACAACCTCCCTACAAATTTCAGTGCGACCAAGAGTTTGTAAAATGGGAAGAAAAGAAGAAGTGGCAGACGAGCAACGACAAACTCAAAGCTCAGTTAAAGGAAAAATCTTGCCAAGTTGAGGCTCTAAGAGCCAACATTGACAGGCTGAAGGACACCATCATTCGCTTGGAGAAAGAAAAAGTTATCTTGGAAGGAAAACTGAAAAATACCAAAGGTGGGGGCTAGTTGATTTTTAAATTTGTAGCAAAAGTAACAAATTAATTTTTTGACCGAGTTGATTGTGCTTTCCATGTCTATTTTAAGAATATAAGTTTTTCAATCACTTTTTTTCTTTGATAGCCGAGAGGGTGCACCTATTCCTTATTTCCTATCCTTCAGCTTTACGTTAAGAAAAGATGAGGAAAAATAACAAGTGAGTCTATCTTAGATACAACCATAGAAAAAAAAGAATTAAATATAGACTGTTAGCCATGCTGCGGTAACCAGCTACGTAACTACACGGCGCTCCCAGTGCTGTGTGTCAGAACTTACGGTAACCGCAGCACGGCTGACGGTCTATATTTAATTCTTTTTGTCTATGACACAACTGAACAAATCTTATAGGTTTGACATTAAAAATTCTAAACTGAACCCTACAACTACAAGCAATAGTTTGTTCAGGTTTCAGTAGATTTACATTGGCCAGAAATAATTTATTAAATTGTTTAATTAATGTTAACTGATTTTGTAGTTCCCAACGTGTCCCGAGATCTGGTAGAAGAGCTAGAGAGAGACAGAGCCAAGTTGCTGGAAGAGCTGAAGGCTGTGAGGATGACCAATCAGATCAAGACTCAGAGTCCAACACTTAGTGATGTCATCGAAGCTCAGGAGAGGAAAATAGCCACTCTCAAAGTAGCTCAGAAGGTGGGTCAAAGTTTTAATATTATAAATTGCGTCATTGCATTTACAAGGTTCTCTTACTTTCAATCTAACCTAAGAGGTCTGACTCTTGATCAGAAACCTCAGTACCAGACTGTTGTTCGAACTGAACTATCAGAATTGTCAGAAGTTAGTATGAAACAGCATTATAAAGGAATACACCAATATCATTTACCTAATAGTGCAGGTAAACAGCTTGTAAATGGGTTGTTTATGTGGCTGTAAACAACATGTCACATTTGTATGAGTCTTACGTAGGTGGCTCTAAAGGGTTTGAACCAAGTGTTTTGGGTCGTTTCTCTCTAATATTTTTAGAATATCTAATTGCATGAAAACACATAATGTATCCATACAGTGTACTGTAATACCTTTATACTATTCATCTACATCATTACAGATGCCAAATAATATTAAAATATACTTACCTAGTGGTTAGTTAAATAGTTCCTCTTGATATTAATCTCAATGAAACATCCTGTATTTTTAGTATTGGAAAGATGAAAAATGAAAGTTCTGTAAATTGAATGTTTTTCTCTCAGGGTGAAGCAGTGTTAGCCGAAGAGATGGAACGTTTGATTGAGAGCAAGAGTCGTCTGCAACAGACAAACCTGAGACTGGAAGCTCAGAACTTGGAACTCAAGATGCAACTGGAGAAATCCCGCTTATCTGATCTGACTCCTCGAGAGTGAGTTCTTGCATTGAGATCTCTATACTGAAGTAGACTACTATGTATATGTACCAGCTGTTGCTAATTTTTTATTATAAAAGCCTATAATCCTGTAATCGAGCTACTAGGAGGTCACGGATTGTGGATATTTATAGGTATGCACTGTGGATGGTATACTCCCTGGTGTGGATTAACGTCCGCACTAGTGAGTATTACGACTATCCGCAGTACTATCCTGATAATTAGACCAATTCGTATATACCAAGGAAAAGATGTGGTTCGGATTCCACTATAAACTGTAGGTCCCTTAGTTGCCATTAGCTGTTTGGGCTATTAATTAACAGCTGTATCTAAGGAATGTCGGCCTTAGTCACTAACAAGACTACAAGATCGCGCCACTCATCCTACACTCATCTCCATTCATACTTGGCTTAAAATAACTGCATTGTATGGTCGCCATTTCATAAGAAAGTATTAAAAGTATTAAAATCATTAAAAGTATAGTTCAATGAATCAGTCCCAGAATGTGCTAGTGTCTTAAAAGTCTAGTTGTTATTTTGTTGACTCGCTATGGATTGTTTATGCAATTTAAATTTATTTTTAGGAACAGGTCAGTGGTTAAAAGTTATCCTGGTTAAGAAACTTTACCCTCCTACATTTTCAAATAATATTAATAAACTTAATACATTGGAGTCCTGATAATCCGAACTTCGGTACTGGAAAGTCTGCTTAATCCAAAACCGAAAATGATATTGTTTTGATTTTTTTTCGTCAGCTGTTGTTGTCAGTTTTTGTTGTGTGGCAACAGTTAGTTGCATCTCGTCAAAGTATTCTGTAGCGTCCGAGCGGCCTGACTAAATAGACTTGTTGTAGTAGGCTAACTTAAGTGTTGTCTATTTTATTATTACAGTAGAACCTCTTTAATCCGAACCCCCGTAATCCGACCGTCCACTAATCCGAACCCCTCATTGCTGTACTCTATACACAGTACTGCAGTTCTTTATTGTATACTGTATTTAATTTACTGTACTGTTTATTCACCATGTTTACTAATGTAGAATGTATTAAATAAACACTGTATTTTACTTTATAAAACATTTTTCCACTTTCCCCAAAATAATGTTGATCAATTTTAGGCATGTTTTAGCTATTGTTATGTAAAAACAACAATATGTTCTGTAATCCGAACTGTTCAATAGTCCGAACTACCCCTGGTCCCAATTAGTTCGGATTAAAGAGGTTCTACTGTATGTGTATTTTAGTAAACATTTCGCTTAATACTAAATAATCGGTAATCCAAAAGGGGTCCTGTCCCAACCATTTCTATCTATTGGGACTCTACTGAATTATTATGTCAAAATCTAAATAGATTGTAAAGTTAGCACACCTGGTTATTATGCAACTTTAATTTCAAATCACAGAAATATTTTTATGCTATTTTTTCTACAGGGACATGAATTCAGAAACTGAGAGCGTCAGGAGCTCGCCTAAGGTAAATATGATTACCTCCCCTCTATTTTTGTTTTCTTAAACTATAATTACATTTTACCATTGGCCTATCAGTCTGGGTGGTGATCTAAAGAAAATACTTTAAATTAACAATACAGTATAAGTCACACTCATGGCTAGGCAGTCTTGAACATTCATGTATGGCTTATCAGCTGTATATGCTATATTTGGTAAGTTTATGTTGTTATGTTGTGTATTTTTTTACTGTCAAACAATAACGAAGTAGCCTATTTTCATAAGAGAATTTTTGTATACAGTATTTTGGAAATTTACAATAGAAACTTAATTATTCTCGGTAATTCTCAACTCAAGTTTTCCCCTGTGTTGACTACATTAATCATCTCATCATGAATTAGGAGTAAATTATTACTGAAAAAAAAACTAGTTTATAATTTCTTCTAGGGCAAAGCAAAGGTTGGTAAGAACCGAGCAGATCTGGAGAGGACTGTCATAGTGTTGAAGAGAGTAGTTGAAAAGTTACAAGCAGAAAACAAGAAGCTTCACACAGCTCGACTTAGTGATGTTCATGACAAGGTTCGTGTATAACTTGACTTGGAAGTTTGAGAAATTGTAGAATTTTATGACACCAACCAAGGCTACACTAAAAAAACAGGCCGTAATGCTCGTCCAGCATGACGTCACGATAGAAGACGGCAATGACGTAATTTTGCCGTTTGTGATCAGCTGCTTGTTTTAATCTTTCATTGGAAAATAAATAAATAAGTACTTATACGTCATAGCCGTCTTCTATCGTGACGTCATGCTTGGCGAGCATTACGGCCTGTTTTTTTAGTGTGGCCTTGCACCAACTGTGTCCACAGATGAAACAGATGTAATTTACATAAAATGTTAAAGTTGAAATAAAAAGATTCTATGGATTCTGGCACTGGATGTATTCAGAAATTTTCTATGGATATCTGTACTGGGTTCTCATCCAGTGATGTAATTTTTAATTTGAATAAGAAGACATGGGATAACACATGGAAGACATGGGGCATGGGATGAAATGACCTGTCTAGCCATTGATTTATTTTTCTTTTCATTAATTAGGATATTTTTCCCCAGCTTAAATTGTCTTCCCTGTCCGATATAAATTTAATATTTTTTTTAGGGGTACGTGGAAAAACTTCAGATTGAACTACAAAGATGTCAGGAGAACTATCTGGATGCTATTGACAAATGTTCTGCCTTGGAGGAGGAACTGAAACAAGCCAAAGAGAAACTGAAACTTTTTGACTGCAATGATTTAGGTATTTAAATTTGCTTGATTTTCTTTACATTTGGCTCAATAAGATAATATTACTGCTATCCATAGGATTTTAAATTTAAAACAGCACATTTATTAAAGTGAACTAGTTGTTGCTCTAGTGGTAAGTGTCTTAAGACTTTCGAGACGGAATAGGAGGTTTGATCCTTGCTATTTCCACAAATAGATGAATCATTTAGACCTCTTTCACTTGAAAGTTAAAAGCCTTAGAATTTTGTTCCCTACTATTACAATAAATTGTTGCATTCATGAAATTTTCTATGGCTTATTTAAAATTTCTATAAACTACAACAAAAATTGCCAAGCACATTTGCCCTCTAACTACACTTACACTGGTGGTAAAATTTCAAAATAATCAGGAATCTTAGGATCAAATAATATCAATATACATAATTTAAACAATAATTTTACGCTGTCATGGTGAAATAGCAGAACCGAGAACAAAGTTGTTATGGTGTGACAAATTTTTGGTGCAAAAACGTGTCAAATACTTACAGGCAAAGATGATGACAATAAAAAAAATAGTTGTACGGTAACAGTTCTGTACAACGTAATTTAAATTTCAGCCGAGGAGCTTGCAGCCACTAAAGCACAGTTGGCACAGAAATGTCAACTATTGAGCAAAGTCAAGGTGCTTCTAGAGAATGCTGTCATTAGAGAGAAAGCATTGAAAGAACAGGTATGAAATATGAATGCTTTAATTCACATTTGCTGCCTGGAAATGCTTGTATTAACGGTTTAAAAAAGATCTGAGTGTCAGGAAATTGGTCAAAAGTATCAATTACCTGTGGAATTAATTATTGTATCATTAATTTGTAATTGGCTACCAATACTTTTGGCTGCTGCAGTATCCAAAAGTAAATGCCAATATCTCATGATAATATACTCAAAAAGTTGAAGATTACCTTTGTACTTAAATTGAGTTTCTGTTAGTGTGTACTTGTGACAGATTCTAAAAATGTAGACTATCTAGTGGCACATTAATAATTTTATTTTACATTTTCGGTATAAACAACAGGAGACCATTAAAAGAACTTGACATGGTGTAATTAATCGTGTCATTTTCGTGCAGCCCAGACTTCTGAAATATTTAAACTAAACTGATTAAACTATTGATTGTCTTTATTATAACGCATTTTTACACCACAGACATACGCATACTGGAAGAAATATGGAATATATAATTTTTTACTGTGTGCTGCACTTAAGGCCATCGCTGAAAACAGACTGAGATAAACTGTGATAAGGCAGTTTTCTGATGACCAAAAAATGATTTACCATCTCTATTTACCAACTTTGTCTTTTAGGTGTACGACTTAGAAAAGTTGGTTCCCCCTGAACGTCTCAGGGGCACTTACCATGAGAAAAAGTCATAACAGGGGGTTCTTTCAAGAGAATTGATCTGTCTCATGGTAAGTAATAGTAAATAAAACCAATCTTAAAATTTGGTTAAGAGCAAAGAAAATTTAATGAAATCATTACATTAAAAAAAGTATTGTGACTCTTGATCTTCCATGTTATGTTAAACTCATCTGCAATCCAGACTAAGGGGAAAAATATTTGGAGACACAGAGTATTGATGAACTACTGTATATGATGAAACGCCATAATATAAGCAGCGTCTGCCACCACCTTGACAAGGTCGTAGAGCCGCCAATGTGTCTAACTACCCTCATTTAGCTTTCTGATACTTAACTGGTGAAGCCAGAAGTCATTGGTATTTTCCCCCAAAATACAAATACAAATTGGAGATCCCAAAGAGTTATGATACCTTGTTTTGTATTTTTTGTGATGGGAAGGTTAATTTATTTATTTTTCTCAAACAGTTTTAAAAGAATTGTTCTGTATTCACTTATTAAAGGTTGGCCAGCTGATGTGAGGGTTAATTGCTCAAACCATATGGATAACAAAAGGCAACAATACAACAAATAATATGTAAACATTACCTCATAAAAGATAGTGTTTTTTTTAGTGTTGTGTCGTTAAACACTATTGTGCTACAAAAATTGTAAAAAATAAAAATACAATTGACATTTTTTAACAACAACATTTTTTACTGCAGAACAATAATTTGACTATCCTTATAATATGTACTATGATATTAATACTTGCTTGGCTATCACTTTTTTTACCAATTCTTTACTTGGTAAGACTTTTACTTTTTTGCCAAAATATACAATGTTTAACACTAATTAGTAATTAAGGTACAAATTTAATAAGAAGTTATAACTTTTCCAGGAGGAATCTCATGGAATTGGCCTCAAATACTTCCCAAGATAAGAAATCTTACTTATATTCCGTCCTTTGTTGTTGTGTTTCTAGTCTTTTCTAGTTAGATCTTTTATACTTCCTAGTTCCTAGTTATATAATTTTTAATTCCACTATCTTTTTGTACAATTTTATTTACTTATTAAATGTATTTTAAATAACCGATTTGATCAATTTTGCATTGCCTTCTGCAAAATTATTTTGAACCCTTCCTATGCTATGGACGATCCGAACTCAAAAGGACAATCAAGTCAAAAATGGCAGCCGTTCAAATATTACTTTAATCTGCCATTTTGAATCTTTGAACAGCTGCCATTTTTTACCCAGCTGATATTTTGAGCTTACATTTGCGGCATTGTATTCTACTAATAAAAACCTTTAATGTGATATGCATATCGACCTATGCTTACGTTTGTGATTTTCATCCGACTTCTAGCGTTCTCGTCACAGAATAAGCATTGCAAATTCAAGGAATATTTGAACAGCTGTCTTTTGTTACTCAATTGTCCATTTGAGTTCGGGTTTGTGGCATTTTATTTTAATAACAGAGAATTTTTTTTAATGTTACACCTAATTCGACCTATGCAGCTATTTAAAAATTTTGTCAGACTTCTTGTGGACCGTCCACCAGAGGGGTTATCCGGTCGGTAATTGAGCAGATGTGTGCGTTACTATCACCAGTAAGCACATGTACATTGGTATTCTTTTCTATTGTCGTTTAAAATTTGAAAAAGAGGTTCCAGACTTAATTTTTACCCTGTATGTAAACTCATAAAACTTTTCAAACCTATTTGTTTGGATAGAGAAACAAAAACAATTACATTCTATTCAATTTGTTAGAACACAAAAAAATCTAAAATCCTGATTGTGAACAGACAATATGACTTTAACACTACATTAGTTACATCATTGGTTATCTATACTCAGTCAATGACAGTCAAAGGCTATGGTCAACGTGCAGTTTAAAATTAATTTACTATATAAGTGGTTCTCTTAATACGAGTGTTACAGTATGACTGATAAAGAACCTGCCTCCCCTGAATTTTTAAAAGTTACCATTCAATTTGAAAGAATATCAGTTTGTAATAGATCAAGATTAAAACTGTATTTACGCTCATGTAATATAAGGAAAGATGAATAGATCATACCTTTCGAACCCATAATTTATAAAATATTAAATTTAAGAATTGATATTTTAAACTTTTCCAAAGAATAAAAACACAGAAGATAATTACGTTCAAAATAAAACTAAAGCAATATCTTGTTCACAAGACATTTTACTCCTTAGGAGTATTCTTAAACCCACGACTCGTAGATAATATGCTAGTTATTAGTATTTGACACAATTTAAATATATTTAGGTAAATTGTTTACAAAATAATAATATCAATATACAGACTGTCCCAAAAGTCCCGGACCGGTTTAATATTTTCTAAACGACAACAGATAAATCAATAAGATTTGATACATCAACACCACACCTAAAAATCTACTTTTTTTAAGGAAATATCAATTTTCTGTCATATCATGGGGGCAAGGAGTCAGAAGGAAATCTTAAATAGAAGCATAGGTTGACATGCACATCAAATTAAAGACCTTTACTAGCAGAATATAATGCCGCAAATTTGAACTCAAACTTACAACCGAGCCAAGAATGACAGTTGTTCGAAGATTCATTTAATTTGCATTTTTATTATACGCTTACTCCTCAGGGGCACAGCCCTAGGAATCGGAAGGAAATTGTTAACGTAAGCATAGGTCGATATGCACATCAAATTAAAGGTCTTCACTAGTAGATTACAATTCCGTAAATTCAAGCTCTAAAGAACGCCTGAGTAAAAAATGGCAGTCGTTCAAAGATTCAAAATGGCAGATTCAAGAAATCATTGAACGGCTGCCATTTTTTACTCAATTATCCGTTTGCGTTCAAATTTGCGGCATTATATTCTGCTAGTAAAGGTCTTTGATTTGATGTACATGTCAACCTATGCTTCTATTTAAGATTTCCTTCTGACTCCTTGCGGAACGTCCCCATGATATGACTAATGTCATGACAATATGAGAAAATTGATAGTTCCTTAAAAAGGTAGATTTTTAGGTGTGGTGTTGATGTGCAAAATCTTATTGATTTATCTGTTGTCGTTTAGAAAATATTAAACCGGTCCGGGACTTTTGGGACAGTCTGTATATGTTTTAACATGACTGCAAGTATAAACAAAACAGATAACACAAAAAATTCAACTTTTAATTTGCAAGAAAAATACATAATAATTTTATTGTAAAATGATTATGTATGCACTTCTGTAACTTGACACGATGCTTTGGTTTTACATTTATCATCGGACAAAAGACTTTTCAGATTTGGTTCTTTTACACATTTGATAGTCGAGTGTTCAGTCAGTTCCTCATCGGGGTAGATAAAACTTCTGAGAATTTGCTCATCTTGTGTTTGTTTAGGTGTTTTAACATGGGCTCCAAAGATCTCCCTTGTTGCATCATCGTCCTCTGAACTTGTCTCTCCTAAAAATTATATTTCGACAATGATGCTTAGTTTTGATGATTTTATTTACTAAATCTGTATTATTGAGAAGGATGACTGTAGAGACAAATACTGTATTTTAAACTACAATCACTTAATTTGTTGTTTTAAATTTTTTTACTCCATTGTCATTAACTAAGAAAAATATATTCAATAGCAATAACTACATCGTATGCCCCAATATAAATTTTTATTGGCTAGGTATTAAAAGCATATCTATGGAATTTACAAATTTAATTCAGTTTCTTATAGGAAAATGTCTTTGTGTCAGTTAAATGTATTGAACTAATCCCTAAACTGAACTATAAATAAAATAACACCTGATATAGTTCGGCCGCTTAGAAAGCGACCTCCTCTAGCATTGGTTTAGCATTAGCACGCAGGTTGTTTTCTATGCGGCCGAACTACAGTCTGACACACTGAGTGGTGCAACTCTGCAATGAATACATCAAAAACTATGTATGTAAAACTATACTGGTTTTGTGTGCCAGGAGTCATGCACTTGTGAAATAAATATAAACTAACTAACATAGCTTTATGGTAAAAAAAAAACAGAAAAACTCTTAAACTGATTACTTTGAAATTATGACTGTCAAAAAAGTACACAACAAAATTGTATATTAGCTTAAGGATTAAATTTTTTTTTTTTATTTTCAGTAATCCAACTCACTCCTGGATTTTGGATTTTGAATAACTGAGAGGCAAACTTAACGTTTTCTTTTACTTATAACTGATATTCTGAAGCTTAACTAACTAAAACTTGTCTCTTACCTTTCTATGGTTAACTAACGCTTACCTGTCGCCCACTCAACCTCTCCTCCCACTCTTTGGCCTGGTGTCTCATTGTTAATTGCGATCAACGCTGCACAATGTTGAAACTCCAGATCTATCTTGTCCACAAGAGACTTAGAAGTGTCCAGTAAAACCTCCTTGGTTTCCTCATCGTTTAAAATTTGCGTCTCGACATATTCCACCAGTTTGGAGACTTCGGTGTCAGTTTTGCCCACCACCTCTTCTGCTGTGATCCACCAAGTGACGAAATACAGGAGAAGAAAACCGAAACAGAACTTGATCATTGTTTCTGGTGAGAACACCACGTAGCCACTACCAACTAGATCTGTCATCTGACAGCACTGCGGCATCATCAACAGAAGGTCTGTGAGTTTCAGTTTCATCTTGGCTGTTGAAATGTAGTAAGCAGAAAACACAGCCCAGGACAAAACAGCTCCCCACGCCAATAACTTGTACCAATTCATAATTGATTTTGTATTTTTATCATAAATGAAATTTTGTTGAAGGAAAAGCTGTAAAGTTACCTGGTAACCAAAAATGAATTTGATTCTTGTTTTGTTCAAGCAGAATTGATTTTTGGTGTTGCTGACCAAAGGAATACAGCATTTATCCGCAAAATAACAGATAGATTATTATTTTATTATCATTAAAATCGAGATGGGGACACCACCTAGGTCAGTGCGTATTTTAGCCCTAATATGAGCGAAGAATGGAGTGAGATGATATGTGTAGCTTTGTGATTATGAACAGCTGTTTCATTAGCCAGAATCATTTATTTAAAGTTTAATGATCAGGGACAGCTGGGTCCAGTCCAAACAAATCAACCACAGCTGTTTTGTGGTATGTGAACTGGAGCACATCTTCTGGTAAGAACTAGTTATCTATATTTAAAGATATCTCATGGTGGAGCTCGTCGGATGTTTTAAATTTAAAAGATAATTTAACAGTGATATCAGTGAAACAGTGAAATAGTGATTTCAGTAACACCTTATTTCGTGTGCAATTAGTGTCTGGTTGACCGAATGTTAAACTTTTTTTGTGTTTGTTGTGCTTAATGCTATAATTACAATACAAAACTTCACCATGAGGAATCTTTAAAAGCTAGACACTTAAACCTGAAGGTTTGCTTTGTTTCCCGAAGCTGAAACCGCTGTAATTAGTCTATACTAAACTAATAGATTCTTCTGACATCAACACAGGTAACATAAACCTTTATTTGTTAATTCTGACAACCCTGAATTAATCATTGTAAGAATTGTGTACACATACTTCTTAAAAATTTGATTTTGATGTTTTAACAGGTTCAGTCCCAGCCGTCACACTCTTCTGTATGTAAGGTCTCACATCACGCGGGATTGAGTGTGCTAATAAAAAAAAAATTAATTAACTTTTATATTTTCAAACTTTACCTCAGTCTGGTTTCCCTAGAGCTGTAAGAATTGAAACTTGGTATAATAAATAGTGATACTAAGATTATACCTACACTAAGATTGTAAGGAAAATTCCCTTCCGTCACTTTAATACCTGAAACTAAAACTTATTTTACCTCGAACTTGAATCTGTTACCTTGAACTTGGACTTATGTACTGCATCAATAACTATCGTATGTACTTTAACCTTGACAAAAAAAATATACTTGGGCCAATTGGAAAAGAGATAACACAGTAAAATGTACAAACATTTTATTTACAATGTATAAAACAATTAATTCTGGTAAGAGTAACTTGATGCATATACCTGAAGAAGACGGGAAACTTTACCATATTTTGCTTACATTATTTGTCTAATTAGATATGTTTATTAAAAAAATCACATTAGGTTTGTGCACCTGTTTAAATTTGAGGTCTTAAATTTTCTTAGTATTTTCATTGAACTGAAAAAATTAAAAAATAACAGCTTTTACGATTAACAGTTTTTAACATTAAGGTTTTGTCACACAACCTGATTGAGTTATTGGATGGTTGTTATTTCGGTCTAAATTTATTTATAAAATTAATACTTATATCATACCATAACACCTAAATCTTATTTCAATACAGTTACCATATTGAAATTGTTGTTTCTAATGTCATAAATAAATATCAAAATAAATTCTGTTTATCCTCTTTAGTTTTAGCTATTTACAAAATTGATATATGCATTACGGCTTCAATTATTGCTTTCAGAAATGTTCTAGAAAAACTTTAGAAATCTTTTACATTAACTTATTGTTAAATCAGCAATTATTTATTCATTTATATATTTTAATTATTCACAATATCAGGTTAAAATTTGAACTCGTAAACATTTTAACACTTGATATGTATAACAAGCAAAATTAAGCTCTCTAGTTTCTTTATAAAAAAAATTATTAGGCCTTAGGATGTTTAAGTAGTTTGGAATGTTCAAATATGATAAATTACTCCTAGTGTTAACAATTACTTTACATTTTGTAATTAAGTGACTAGAATAAAATACACCTGAGCTATCCGAATGACATTTACATCTCATAAGTCCTCTTTCTGTTGTGAAGGTGTGTCGCTCTTTTCTGCTGGCAAGGAGTGATGAGTTTTCTGAAATAAAAAATAAATATGGATTAGGAAAAATTAAATTTCAATAATTATATTGAATCAGCAATTTTATTGAGTGATTGCTGTTTAGAGTTTCCAAACAGTAATCCAAACAAACAAATAAATTAACTATTGGTTGGTATCTTTTTATTTTAATATTTTGTATAGATGTCCTGGTCGGCTGTTGTAGTAAACTAGATACTAAAAGTTTCCAGTACCAACATAGTGTGAGAATCACTGTGAATTATTGTGAGAAGAAGATAAAAAATATGCTTATATTTGTACACAATCTCGTGTTTTTGTGGTGGTTTATAGGACTTCAACCCTATTTATACACAGGGAACCGAGGAGTAGGTATGATAGTACCCTTAAAGAAGAGCCTATTTCCGTAGACTTTTGGAGGAGTGACGAAAAAACTAGCTAAAAACTAGAATTTTCTGGTTGAATAAATAACCACTGAATTAATGGAAAAAATAAAAATAAAATTATTGTTCATTATGTTCATATTATGGAGAGGTTGAAAACAGTGCAACCCAATGAAAGCCTTACCTTCAACTCAGTATCCATAATGCTGTCGATTTTCTGGTATTCTTTCCCTGATCGAGGCCTCATGGTACAAACTGCCTGATGGCCGAAACTGTTAACAGGTTCACTCTTATTAGAAACAGTAATGGAAATACAGGGCCGGTTTAACCCATACGCGAACTACGCGGCCGCATATGGCGCCACGAAGAAGTGGCAGAGAAGTGGAGAGTTCAAGTATTCAAAGCACCACAATAAAGGCATTTATTCTGTTTGTACCGACAGCACTTGAAAATTGTGTATATTTGTACAGCACTACAACTCAAGGACTCAATGCCATTTGCAGGTTCGATTTGAACTGAGCTGACGCTCGGCAGTCGGCAGCGTCAGCGCCAGCGCGGCACTTAAGGGTTTCATTTCACGAATCACTCATGCTCGAGATAAGCAAGCGCGCAGCGCCACTTGTCACAAAAAGAAACTTCCCCTTTCTTTCACTCCTTTCTGCCTCTGATCCTAGAGCAGAGCATTACGTTGTATTGCACTCTTTTAGTTGTATACGTAGGCCAACGATTACTAGAAAAATACCAGTATGGATCATAAACATAAACAAATTACGCTATTGACCCGAATCCTATACTAATAGCATTGAACATATGTTTTGGCAGTTCCATTTAAGCAATGTTTAAATAATGTTTATTTTCGGTCCAAAAACGTCATTTGTTTATGTTTATGATCCATACCGGTATTTTTCTAGTAATCGTGCGTAGGCCTATACCGTGTCGGTATCGTATTGGCATTGTTTTGATGATTCATGATTGTTGATAAGCGAATTATTACGAGTGCATTAAGTTTAATTTATAATTAGCGCATTAAATAAAAAGAAAGTATAAACTGAATTAATGAGTAAAACATATTCGAGTCGAAACTATGAAAACAATGGCAGAAAAAAAGAAACCGTCTGGCACTTATCATAGAAAGCGTAAGGCGAATTTGGAAGAGGAAGAAAAAAAAGCCAAATCAATGAGTAGACTTTTGTAGAAATCATCTGGTGGCGAGTCCAGTCAGCCCAAAGAAGTCACGATAGAAGACGGCAATGACGTAGGTATTTATTTATTTATTTTCGAAGGAAAGATTAAAACAAGCAGCTGATCACTAACGGCAAACATTACGTCATTGCCGTCTTCTATCGTGACGTCATGCTTGACGAGCATTACATTACAGCCTGTTTTTTTTTAGTGTGTCCTTGGTTTTGCTATAGTTTATATGATGAGTAAAAGTGTATAAATGTCACATTTCTGCGAATAATAAACAGCCTTTTATTGCAAGTTAGTATTCTTCTACCTAAACTAAAAAAAAAATTCTTCCCAAAATTATTGGGAAAAAATTTACAAATACGGTTAAGTTATGTTCATGGGTTTGGGGGGGGGGGGGGGGAATTCTAAGTGGTGCTGATTTGGGTGTTCGCTTAACTCTGAAAAATTCCTAGAACCGGCCCTGTGGAAATAAGTTATAATTAATGAGCTATATATATACAAAAACAAATCCAGGTATTGAAACCTTTTTTTATTGACGTAAAATTTCATAGTACTATTAGCGTACCTGTTGCTCTTAAACAAGCAATTGTAAAGTGCTGGTATTAGTGGAGTTATTTTAAAACTAACAACTAACAGTCATACCTTTGGCATTGAACTAAAAGCTTATGTAACTAATGGAAATACTCACACTGATCCTGATCAAATTGCCCAGGCTTTCTCAACTTTTTCCAATATAATATTTACAAAAACCCAGATTAAATTTATAAATATTTAAGGGGACTTTTTCAACATGTAAGACCTTATGACATCTACTCAATGAGATCTTTCCAATGAGCCATAAACAAACAAAATCGGTTGCAAAATCATGGAGAAGTTCTGCCAAAAAAAATCGTGCTTCCTTTATATTTTTGTATTCACGCTCAAAGTCTGTAGATTATTATTGATATTATTAGAAAATTATATGAATAATGCTTAATCAGATGTTTCTGGTTTAAAAATTATAAAATTATACTCAATAACCTAATCTTGTTCCATATTGATGCAATTTTAGTTTTTGAGTTCAAGTATTATTCCTGAAACGCCTTTTTACCATTAAAGAATGCTGAGAGTATTTCATTTGAACTATCGAATTGTCAACTCACTGAAGACTGTCTGGGGTATCAGATGAACTGAAGGAGGAGAGAGAGAGAGTTTCAAAGTAGTCGGACATGTCGGACGTGCCACTGCTGGTGCTGCGAGAGTCCATGTAGGGAACTGCGGCTCCTGGACTGAGACATCCTGGAAACAGAGGATAATCAGCTGTTTTATGAACTGAAGGAGGAGAGAGAGAGAGTTTCAAAGTAGTCGGACATGTCGGACGTGCCACTGCTGGTGCTGCGAGAGTCCATGTAGGGAACTGCGGCTCCTGGACTGAGACATCCTGGAAACAGAGGATAATCAGCTGTTTTATGAACTGAAGGAGAAGAGAGAGAGAGTTTCAAAGTAGTCAGACATGTTAGGCGTACCACTGCTGGTGCTGCGAGAGTCCATGTAGGGACAATTTTATTTATTCAGTGGCAGTGATAAAGACAGTGCTGGCCAGCCTGTACAGTTTTAACCAGTTTTTCTTTTTTATTCCATTTTAATTATTTTTTTCAACATGAAAAGTTTTAATTATTGTGACTGTGACTGTCTTTTAAAGGATCTATTGAAATACAACAATGTATTAATCATTGATGATGTGGTTGCATTCTAAATGATCTGACGAGGTTCTAAGGAACGAAACTAGTTGTCATACCAACAACTGTGGTTGGATAAGGTAATTATTTTATTTTATCAATAATATATTCCAACCAAAGGTCACAATGAATAAAATGTCTGATTGCGTTCACTAAAAATACAAACAAAAGTTATGAATTGACACCATACATTTTATACATACCTCTAGAATCTCGTTTGGCATGAAACAACGGCACTTCAGCTTCAGCTGATGAGGACTTCATTGGTACATCAACTTTTTGGAATTGGAACGCTAAGTCTCGCAGTGGATCAACTGATTTTGACCTTCGTGGTAGTGAAGAATGAAAACATTCACAAAGCAAGTCTTTATCAGTCGTTGTATAGGTGTACCTCCTGCCCGTCGATGAACTGCCGGGCTTAACATCAGTGGCAAAATTACTTAGTTTCTTCAAGGAACAACTAGAAACCCCCGAGTCGTTGGAACTTGAAGAGTCTCTATTATGATTCGATTTACTAGGAGCACTTGAAGATCTTCTCACATGAACTAATGGCTCGTTTGACTTGATTGTTTGAACATTTTCATACTCCACTTCTTTGCTTACTGAAGGTTCTTGACTCAGACTTGATATATTCCGACTTGAGTTCCTTTCACTTTCATTCAACATGATAGTTTCCATGTTGAAATCAACTGTCTTCTTAGGATGTTTGACATTCTCTTCATACTGACGCTCTTCTCTGGAATCGGAAGATGACCCAGACTGATGTGAAAGTCGTGATTCATGCAAGATGTTCGCAGAATCTGCTGAACAAGCTCGTTTCCTCGTTTCACTTTCTGCAGACTCGTGTAAACAACCAAGAACTCTTCTTCTCAAGTACGGACTATTGGCTGCAGAGATGGACTGGTTGAAGCCAAACATTGATGTTCCAGCTCTTTGTACTTCTACATCAAATCTTTTTCTGCATTTGTCAGAATTGTCTATCAGACTTGGTGAACTAGACGCTCTCTCATGTCCACTTACTTGTTGCTGGTACAGTTTCAGCCGGAGAAGATCTTGGTTGCTCATAGTCGAAGATCCAATCGGATGCATTGGAAGATATCCTGGGATGTGTCTACATGAGCTGACTTGCTGGTCACTTGTACGAATGCTGTTTTCTGATCCTGATGGCTCCATCATCAGATAATCATCTTGCTTGGTTCCAGAGTTTGGAGGAGGCCATTTGCACTCGTGTCTACACTTGGTACAAATCTTAACTCCCAAATCTGGGGTTTGTGGTGTTGTATTTGTGCCGACGGATTTAGATTCATCTGTTTTATTTCCTCTTTTAACTTGACATGACTTTTGCATGAGGTCCTTGGAGTTTTCGTAAAATTCCAGTGACTTTACAAAATCAAAGTTCATGTAGTTTGGATCTGTTTGACCAGTGTTTATGTTAACCTCAGATGAATCTTGGTTTGGCTTTTCATTTGATATTTTCTCATCATAGGGAGATCTGTGTGGCTGTTCTGAATTTGATGACTGGGACATTTCAAATGCACTTTGTTCGTCCAAGGGTTGTCGATTTTTTATCTTCTTTGATTTATCCACTGTTGCATAAACTGTACTAAGATTGTTCAGCAGTACTTGCGCTCCACATTGTGTTGCCTTCTGAAAAAAAGAAAATAGTTATCAATCTACCATTTTTGCTGCCATACATTTGTTATCCTACCTTTGTTTAATTTTGATTTGTTTGATCATGAAACTAATCACTGTTTTATCAAATCCACCTACCATTGTGGTGGTTGTGTTTTTAGCATGTGTTAGGTATGGTTTTAAAAAAATAGAGGAAGTACCCCTTATTTCTTTGACACAATAAGTTTGTAGCTGGTAAAGTTCCTAAGATTTATAATTTAAAAAAATATGGATCAAAGTGAACGTTTATCAATCTCACCATCATTAATTTAATTATGTAATTATGACAAAGTTTCTAACATTTTAAATTAAAAAAAAAGAACTAAGCAGTATTCTACTAATTTTACTATTTAAGACAAGATTAATTCTATGAAAACTACTTAGTGCACCACAGCATACTCAAAGTACTTTGTGCAAAGGTGGAGGGGCTGTACTCTCTCTGCCGTTGCCTCTGCGACAGTAGGGGAAGAACATCCAGTTCTCGGCCCAGCAAAACATTCTTTGACAGGGACAAGCCACCATGTGCATGTCTTCATTGTCAATGACCACTCTGGAACAGTGGAACAGTGCCATAATATATGCTTATAGAGGAAAATATAGCCTTAAATTGCAATAGGGTGGATTTCAGTCTCAGCCTAGGATCGTGTTATGTTATTTGATTTCTATTGAACTGGCAAATATTTCATCAGCTGTTTTATTAAGATGGTTTTTGTTTATTTATGTAATGTTTACAGTTTTGTTTTAGTTCTCTCATCTAAAATGTAGCAGATTTTTCAGTTGAATAAATTGTTATGAAAATAAATGTTTAAAAAACCATATAAATTTGGTTTTTAAACATATCTTATCATAACAGATCACTAATGATTATACCGCAATCAAGAAAAATCTAAAACCACTCTTGCGTAATTCTTTTTTTTATTTTTCAGATTTAAAACTGAGTTTTTTTTATATACATTATATTACTAGGAGTACACTCCGATGTCGCGTATGAGAATGAACGAAGACAATTCCATGCATGCGAATAATCCTTTTTTTAAATGGTAATTCTATTCTTCCTACAGAATCAGTTGCCCAAACAGATTTCATTTTGCTTAAACCCTAAGTTAGATAAAATTAATAGTTGTCATACTTATGAATGAGCTAAGACAATTTCATGTTACTACTACCAGGCCCGTTTTTGACCATGTCAGCGCCCTAGGCACAACTAATAGTAGCGCCCCTTTGCAATATATAACAGGGTGACCACCAACCGGGAAATCCGGAAACTAAGCGTGAATTTTTGAACCAGGAATTATGTGTTAATTTTCTACCTGGAATTGTCAATTTACAACAGTGACGTTTCCGTGACCACGGGAGACGGGAGGCAATAATATGTCTCCACAAGGCCTCAAGGATGATCAGAACTTTGCCGCGATCGCATGAGATGATAATAATATCTAAACGACCGCGGGATATGATCATGATTTTACCGCGATCGCGCAATACGATAATGAGATCCACAGAGGATAATCAGAATATTGCCGCGATCGCATGATACGATGATAATGTCTAAACGACCATGGGATATGATCATGATTTTACCGCGATCGTGCGAGACTATGATAATGACTAAATGACCGCGGGATATGATCATGGTCCACACAACCACGGAAAACAGTCAGAAATTTGCCACGATCGCGGAAGACGATAATGCTATCCACATAACTGCGGGATATTATTAACATTTTGCCGTAATCGCGGGAGACAATTACGATGTCTTCACGACAGCGGGAGACGATTACGATGAATCACGACAGCGGGAGACGATTACGATGTCTTCACGACCGCGGGAGACGATTACGATGTCTTCACGATCGCGCGGAGACGATTACGATGTCTTCACGATCGCGCGGAGACGATTACGATTTCTTCACGATTGCGGGAGATGATTACGATGTCTTCACGACCGAGGGAGACGATTATATGATGTCTTCACGACAGCGGGGGACGATTGCGATGTCTACAGGATCGCGGGAGTTATAATAATGATGTCTACTCTACACGGCTGCAAGGGATGAACAGAATTTTACTGCAATCGCGTAAGACGATGATAATGTCCACTCAACCACAGGAAAAATCAGAAATTTGCCTCATTCGTGAAAGACGATGATGATCTCCAAACAACCGCGGGAGATGATTACCATTTGCCGCAATGACGGGAGAGGATGACAATGCCTCACGACCATGGGAGGCGATGATGTCTTCACGGCTGTGAGGGATTATAAGAATTTTATCGTGATCACGCAAGAAGATGATAATGTCCACACGACCCCGGGAAAAGATTACAATTTTGCCTCATTCGCGGTAGACGGTGATAATCTCATCACGACCGCGGGATGTGTTCATATATTGCCGCGATCAAGGAAGACGATAATTATGTCCACACATCCGCTGGAAATAGTCAGAACTTTGACGCGATCGTGGGAGACGGACGATGACGACGTATATACAACCGCGGTAAATAATTAACATCTTGCCGCAATTGTGGGAGACTGTTAAGGTGTCTTCACGGCCGCAAGGGATTATCAGTTTACCGCGATCGCATGCAAAAACGGCCACAATTTTTTTTCTTTTTTCTAATTTTTTGGCGCCCCCAAAAAAAGCCAATTGCCTCGCGCCCTAGGCACGTGCCTACCTTGCCTATTCGGTAAATCGGCCCTGACTACTACTACTGTTACTACTATTTACGACTACTGCTCTGTTTATTGAAGAGTCTCAATTTTGAACTCTGTTTAAGAACATTATGTTCTTAAAATAAAATCTTTGAAAGGATGTGTTTGTGGCAGCAGTGTTTTAGTTTACCTTGTCAAGAATTGGTTCTTCTGTATACTCGTGCACATTTGTTTCCTCTCCAAGAGTATTGGAGGAGGTGTGTCATAGTTGCCAAGTTCTGATGCAATGTTTTCTTTCAGAGTCTTAGGAGTGTCATAGAACTCGGGATCTTGAGCGAGAGGGTTTTGAAACCAGTGGCAGTTTTGGTCCTGCAATACAGTTAGAAACATACAGTTACAGTACACGTACTAACCAAATATCTTCTTCGGTAAAAATGACCACTGTAAGAATAAGTAAGAAAAAATCTATACGAATAAATAACTCATCATTGAGTATGACCATTTCATATTACTCAGTTTGATAAATTTTGTTTACCTTTGCACATGGATAACCCTGTGGAGCTTTTGGAACGTCATAGTTGTCGTATGGGTTGACCGTTACATTACAAGTACAGCTCGATGAGTTGGTTGCAGCATTTTGTTTCTTCTTTGGAGAGCTGTTGGCAGACGTGGTAGGTTGGCAGCTGAGATGTCCTGGTTTTGGAGGCCGAGCAGGAGGACAACATGCACATCTATCCATACCAGAGGGTTGGTTTTGTTTTGAGTTCCTGTAACATTGTTTTACAATTGATGGTAGCCAAAAGCATAATCAAATTAAAGTCAAGCTATTCCATTATAACATCTTACAAAAATACTAAATTCCTAGGTTTAAATATAAACCGGTTGAGAATATATAGAATGCTCTGATTATAAAACTCAAATAAGCCTGTAGACAATATTTATTTTATCATTAAACATAAAACATCCTATAGATTCTTTGTTTGTTCATTGCTGGTGGTGGTGAGTTAATGTTGTTTAAAGGTTTACAGATATTGTAAGACATTTTATTTTAGGTTTATTGTGACTCGTATGAATTTTGAAGAGGCAAAAATTGTTCATAAGGAACCTTATTTTTTCAAACGTAAACTCATTGAGGCCTCTTACATAAGTTAAGTTTTTTCACCTGAGTACGGGATCGGATTTCAAATCCCAAAATGTGTATTGTATTTTACCATTATGATGGAAAATGTCCGTAATAAACCTTTAAACACAGTCCCCAAGTAGAGGAGGGTCAGAAGACAGGTCATCATCTTAAGGTTAAGGTTTCATCTTAACTATAAGTCTCAAGAAAATGGCTCCTGCCCAACTGGATCAAACAAGTTTTGTTTCGTGTGAAAATGTTCTTACCAGCATGCTGCTCTAGATTTATTTCCAGAAGAAGACTCTTCATTTGCATGAGCTTGGCTGTTTGGACATGCACTGTTCGTTCTATCAGTTGTCCGGTTTTGTTCAATCTTGGAACCTGAAAAACTCAATATATATAGGGTTTGATTGATTAGATATTTTGTGATCCCACCAAATTGTCTGTATATAAACTAACTATTTTTTTTTTAATGCTACCGATACAGTGATTTTTAGGTTGTGAACAACTATTTTTTTAAATAATTTATTCTTTGACCCCTTTTAATATGTCTTCTGGGGATAGTTCAGGTGCTATAGTTCGGCCGCTTAGAAAACGACCTGCGCGCTAATGCTAAACCAATGCTGTAGGAGGTCTTTTTATACGCGGCCGAACTATAACAACTTTTTTCTACACTCTTTTAAATGGCCTGTTTTTGCTACATATATATCACCTGCAAATATTCATCATTTCATTTTTTACTAGGTACAGAAAAAGAATGTTTACTATGCAAAAGTAACGTTTACTATCTTTTTTTTATTTTGCCGACGTAAACAAACATGGATTTGTTATTGAGTTGTCAACTGTTTCAATTTTTAACAACAAAAACTCTACAATCCAGTTCAGGTACTTTAATTATTTTGATATAAGCACGTTAACTAGGGATATAAAATTCCCAGTTAATATGTATGTTACTTGTAGTAAACGGAATTAGTTACTGTTTGATAGTGCATCAATAGTCCAACTTGAACAAAATTTTTAGTTTGTAATTTAGGTAAACGTTTTCAAAGTAGCTTAAATTAACACCAACAGATTAACTATAAGGAAAAGTTTTCGTCTGAATCCATTCCCTTTTTTTTATTGCTTGTATAATTGTAAATCTTTCTCAAGTCTTTCAGTGATCTGCATTCCTGTACTGAAAACTAAAGTTTTGACAAATAATCCAAACAAATCAATTTTCAATCTACAAAGGTGACAGTGTACCAGCAGGGTTTGCCTCCATGGTCCAGGCAGGAGTGAAGGAAGTGTTGGGGGTAATGGCTGCTGTGGAGGAGCGAGACAGAGCTCCCAGTTTGCTGATACAACTGGCACAACGCTCCAAACCCATCTCATCAGGCCACAGCCCCTCCTGCAAGACAAGAACCAACATATCACTACATCATACAGGGGAAAATACCCTACTTCGGTGAATGGTGATACTTAAGATTCCCCATTGGAAGCCTCACTGCTCTGCAGTAGTCAAAATAATGTCCTATTTTCACTTGCTCAAACTGCTATGCTAGTGAGTAGCATGACCTCTAATTTGTTATTTCTTAACTTACACAGGTTTCTTTTTTTTTATAGCGTTGTCTTTGATATTCTTAATTGCTTATAGAACCTTGGTTAATATCTTCCTACACACATTAGGTTCAATTAATGGGGAAAATTTAACTTGAGTCAAAATTCAAAATGAATGCATTTTTTTAGTGTAGTTGTGTGTGTTTTGATTCAACTATAAAATGTTCTGTCCCCTGAGATCTTAGGACTTCCCCAATGAATGGTTTGCAATCTGCAAGAAATTATTGTGAAATTGTTATTACATCCTTTAACTATCGAATATATGGTTGGTAAAAACACTGCACATTCACCCTGTTGTGAGGATCCATAAAATCAGCCATGGAGCTAGCGTCAGCAAAGTCCGCAGCAAGGTCGGCTACAGGCCAGCTGATCTCGTCATGGCCGCAGGTACATCCACAACAACCGTCGTCTGCTGTTAGCTCGGCAGTCAGCTGTGGTCCACCACTGGAGACCTCCACACCACTCATGTCTGACAACCGGGTGTCTGGTCTGTTGTGACTGCTCTTCTTAGGACTGTCTGTTGAAATATTTGGAACTTTTATTTCTAAACATGTATTATATTATATATTAGCACATTCTCCCATTCTTATTGACACTTCACAACGATTGCCTCCTACACTTTTAGCCCATGTGCATAACCTATGTAGTCAAGGGGCCACTAGTAACAAGTAGTAAAACCCACCATCATTGTAAGTATTCTAACCTCACCCTGTGAAGAAGAGAGTGAGGTCGTAGTACGTACAAATTTTAAAATGTGCTATGTTTAAAAAACTGATGTGCCAGTAATATGTGTACTTAATGTTTTACGACAAAAACTTTACGTTCTAGCATGCCGGTGTAGTATCTTGGGACTGTACTTGCTGATAATGCCCCTGGTACATAGTGGTGAAACAAGACAAAAAAAAACAGTAGGTTTCGAAATGCAGAAAACACTTACTACCCAGATTATGATACAAATTTAGGTAAATTACTTGTGACAACTGAGAACAATCACTAACCTGAGGTGTTTCTTGATGCTGGTCTCTTTTTGGACGCCAACTTTCCCTCTGCGGCCAGTCTGAATGTCCTGGTGATCTGGTCTCCCTGGTCTGTCACCAGCACATACAATCCTTCTCCCTTCCCACAGCGAGAACCTCCCTCGAAGCAGAACCTCGACTCTACGACTCCATACCTCCTGAGTAAGTCGATAGCGTGAAAATTTGTTTTATGGTGACACAAAATAAGCAAAGAGATGTTCCATTGCAAAAACTTAGTACGTTGTCATTTTGGTTTGTATACAGTATATAGTAAGGACTGAATGAATTCAAATAAACAATAAAAATACTGTGCAGTCGTTGGTCTATGAAATCTTAATACAATATTAAATAGCCTTTGTTAGAAAATCATAATTTAAATTGATCAATCCCTTGTAAAGGGTGGTTTGTAAATAACTGACCATTTTTAAACTAATGTTTTAAACAGCTGTTGTTATGGGTAGAATTTTCATTGTTGTATTAAACAACAACAAATGTCATGCCCGCCATTCGAGTAATCATGGATCGTTGGACAGTACAACGATAGATAAAACCACTATGTTTTATGTATGGTTGTACAACATTGTGTCTTTGGCATTTTAAATGTGAACTGCTCATCTGGTTTTTGAAATGATTAAAATTGTCACCCGATGTAAATGAAAAAAACCAATTTCAAAAAGCATATCAATTCGTGCTAAAACACTCTGCAGTGAAAAATCTGATTTTTGAAAAATGTATCAATAAATTGAATTTTGCTTTCATTGAAAGAGGCTATCCTCAAAAACTAATATCTAATCAGATCATAAAACAAAAAAAGTCAACCAAGATAGTACTTTTTCAAGTGATTCTAAATTTATTACTTAATATTATCCAAGGCTGAAAAAATTAACAGTGTAATATAAGTAGCATTCAATATTGTCAAAATGTTCCCTCAGTACTGATAATTTATTTTCCAGACCACCACCTGTTATTTTTAAGGCCAAAGAATAAAAAAAAAAAAAATATGTTGGTGAGACCCAAAATTCAAAATTCCCGGCCTTCAAACAATTCTAAACACGACTGTGAACTATGTCACAAGCCCTGATGTGCTTTTTGCAAGATTATGAGTAGTACAATGACAGCTGAATTTGATAGCAAAGTTACAAACAAGGTTCATCTGATTGTTGGTAGATCAACTTGTGAAACTCGTGTGAACATCTTCCAAAAGAATACATTAGCCAGACTTTGAAATTGTTACGTGTTCAAATAATCAAATGATAGGCCATCGTTTTGATGTGGTACATGAAGACAAGAGAAAACCAATCTATAATCATGCCACTCACCACAACCAAAATTTTGATGGCTGCTATACCCTTAAAGCTCTTCAAAAAGTAAACACACATCAAAACCCTAAATGCAACTAACTGGTCTTAAGAAATTCTTAATTGGCTCACCAGTTGGTACTAAAACAAAGTTCCCCTCTGGTTTGAATTTAAGATAGTAAAAAAGTGATTCAAGCAGAATTTTAATTTTCTTTTAGGCTGATTATATTTTTCATTGATCTGTACCAAGGCCGCACTAGATATACCTCAATTATATGTTCTCAAAACTCAACTATTTGTGAACTGTTCATATTTATTTGTTTTGTTGATTTTTTTACATTTCATTGATTACAATTCATAAGGTCGCTCTGCTTGAAAACGTTTGGATTACACATAAATTCACACTGTTTCATGTTTCATTTTTCATAATTCACTCAAGAAATTCTCAAGAACAATATAGGCCCTATATACATACAACAATGAACTGACTGATAATGACAATGACCATTTGATACAACAATGAAAATTATACGTGTTACAACAGCTGATGAACATTTGATCCGTTAATAATACAATAATGATCTGTTATTTATGGAACACGTAATTTATAAGCTGGTAATTCATAGTTTACTTAAATAATGTTAAAGCAAGCCAATTAAAGTGAAAGAATGTTCATTTTATATACATAATGATGGGAGGAAGATTTACTGTAAGAAGAATTCACCTGCTAGGGGAAATCTTCTGCCGACAGAAAAAAGAACTGCTGGAGGGAGAAATGTCCAAGAGGAAAAATATTCAAAATAGATGGAATAGTCGCAAGAGTGTGAAATATCTGTCGAAATGAGAATTACTTAATTCAGGGAGGGGGTATGTGCGAGAAGTGGAAAAATCTGCAAGGAAAAAATATCTGCAAAAGGGGAAAATATCTGCTGAAGGGAGATTTTTTCTGCAAAATGGAGAAATAATGCTGAAGGGATAATTATTTGGAGAATTTTCATCTTGGCTGCAAAAAATCTACTAAAAGGATGGTCATAAAAATATGCTGAAGAGGGATATATACAGGGGGGAGATGTATTGGCTTACCTGAGCTGGTTGATCTGCCAACAGCCTACCAGCCGCGGAGGGACTCCGACAGTCAGACAGAACTGTCTCTCCAGGACATGTAGTAGCGCAGGGCCCGGGGACAGCTTGGCTCTTTGAGGACCTGACGATACCTGTACCAGGAACTGCTCATCTGGAGACAGGGTTGAAAATGATGAGTCTATAATTGCAATCATTTAAGTGCTATGGGGTTAGAAAGTATATCAGCAGGTAATGGAATCTATGCATACTGAATATTTCACTGTCTCTTTTAAATTCACTGCTGAAACTGAAAAAAATACTTTATAATTTCATATCTTTAAGACTTTCTTCCCCAGTTCAACTAAAAATATCAGGTGGTTGTATACAAGTTTCAATATTAGACTGTGGGACACTTGAAGAGGGTCAGACTTTTAAGCACTTGACTGACTACTATTCTAATTGAATTGGCCAATCCACACAATACCAGCAAACAGACCACTATGGGTTGGGGAATCAGATCTAGGTCATCAAGGAAAATCTTTTTGATTGGTTATCAACCAATATGTAATATGTAAAGCAGTTTTTTTATGTCAGAGACCCACCAAGTCTTTTTATTCTTCCTTATATGCTTCTGTAGGCTAGAACTAAGAATTACCTGTACTAATCACGAAAAGATAATTACCTTCTCCCAGATTGTTGGCTATCTTGACTTGCCACTGTATCAGTCTCTCCCTGGTGTCAAAGGCCAGAACTACAGTCACATCCTGACAGATTATAGCTATCGTGTTGGACTCCTTGTCAAGTGTGAATCCTGTAAGATTATGACAGAAAGTATAACAGAAACGCCTACAGTTTTCAGCTCTACACAATGTGAAGGTGACTTTATCATTGTTTGTTTTAGATATCTGAAAATAATTAATGCTATACTGTGCATAAATACACATACATACAGATATACAGGGTGTCTCACTTAAGGTGTCTGAAATTGATTACTAAAAACGGCTTAATGTACAAGGATGAAAAGAAAGTATTTCTCACTAAATCAACCCAAGGAATAAGGTGAAAATATTTTTTTAAATGTTCAAACAGCAATATATGTCAAGTAGCACATCATTTTATAGCTTTTTAATCCTAACAACTTTGTATACACTAACTTCTTATCTCATTTACTTTTTGTGTAAATAAAAAAAAACCTAATTTTCCTATATCAAATGTTTGTTATTTGGGTTGAACACTAATGGAATTTCATTTAGTGTTAAACCCAAAGCGGGATAAATTTTTTTTCATCCTTGTACGTTAAGCCTTTTTTTCCGCAATCAATTTGAAACAACTGATGTTTGACACCCTGTATATTCTAACATACAGTCTTAAAACTAAACCAAGAATTTATTTATACAGTAAACAGTAGTTTAGAAAGTTTAGAATTTGTTTACATATTTTCAATTTAGTGCGATCAGTGAGCCAGTGGCTCCAGTAGGCTACTTTAAGTATGGAAATGGTGTCACACTTTTAGTCCTTGGCTCCTACCATAACAATGTTTAAAATAGAGTAAAATGGAGACGTCCAGTTCCCAGAAATAAGGGAAAACTTGTAAAGTTTCTTGTATGTATCTAGTTTCTCTAAGATTATATACATTTCACGAAATATCTTTATTAGAGAGTTTTCGATTTATTTAATGCATACCTCAAATTGTTTCGGTATACGTACACTACTAAACTAGCTTAAAACTAAATAACTGTCGATGTGATACGACTGTACTTGGTGTGTTCAGTAATTGCACATCTCTAATTAGAAATGTTCTGCTGCCAGTAACATTTGCAGAGAGTTGGCCAGAAGTTCAATCAGATATTGGCTACAACCGGGGAAATTAGGTCTAATTAATATATTTTGTTGTGAAGATTAATTGCAAGGGAAACATTTTGTTGTATGGTTTTACCAATGCAATGTATTTTAGAATAAAAAATATTATCATAGGGTGTATGTGAATTAGTTTTGGCTGTTCTGTCCTATATTTTACTGAAGTTTTGGAATAAAATATGGCAAATAAACACTATTTAAGCAAACTAAAAAACATATATGATAAACGAAAGGTACGATAAAATCACCCTATTTCTCCAAATACAGTACAAATTCATTTTCCATTTGCAGTTTGTAGTAAAAGATTTGAAATCAAGCTAAACAGCATTTAGTCAGGTCTGAAAAAAAACTAGAGATAAAGGGATTAAAATATACTTGAATCATTTTTATGATAGCGAGGCATAACCATTTCTGAATGCTCTAATAAAACTTATTCAAGTATTTATTTGGTAGCACATAAGGAGTGTCCAGGCCAATAACGTATTGAGTAACGAGTGTGTCGTTTTATAACTTGTGTTGTTTAAACACTTACCTGACTGTACCCCCAGAAAGTGCTGTAGAGAGAGGGATGCCTTGGTTTGCCCTTGTTTGTATCTGTCCTTGCTGTCCCTGTACAACTGTAGATGCAGGCAATCTGGAACGGATAAGAATTGTGTGACTTTAGTTTTATAAATTTACAAAATGAGTTCACTTGCAAATTTTCACGTTTTATGGGTAAAATTTTAAAAACCACCATAAAAAAAATTAAACTTCATAACATTCCTTTTACCCGATCTTGCTGGTTCACAAACACGAAAAATATATAAACATTTGGACGAATAGTGTTTTTGAGTTTGTAAGCTGGAGACATTAAAATGAGGCAACCGCTTCTGGGAAATTTGTTAAAATGGGAATGGAAGGCGTATTTCAGGATAGCAGCATATAAATCTTTAGTTCCCATAGTATCCTTTTAGATACATATTATTTCTCATTTCTCTCTCTCTCTCTCTCTCTCTCTCTCTCTCTCTCTCTCTCTCTCTCTCTCTCTCTCTCTCTCTCTCGCTCTCTCTCTCTCTCTCTCTCTCTCTCTCTCCCCCTCTCTCTCTCTCTCCTTCTCTCCCCCCTCTCTCTCTCTCTCTCTCTGCAAGTAGAGATTTGAGTATATACCTCTATGCATTTTTTCTAGGCTTATTAAGAAGGGTTTTAATTTTCCTAGGGTTGGCAAGCCTGTATAAAGAAGAAAAAAACATTTCAAAGTGATGTAGACCAGGTTGATCACACAACACGAAATTGAAGATTTCCAAGATAAGATTTGTTATGTTTATAGTTACGAAGCGGTGAAAATTTTTATTTCTCTTCCTTACATCTTCATCTACTGAAATAACCAAATAACTAAATCCAAATGGATACCATGGGAATACAGAGTATGCTGACAATATTGAAAGAGTCATTTGTGTTCCCTATGGGGACTAATTTTTTGTTTGTGCTACTAACAAACACGAAAATACTAAATAGTACGAAATAGGTACTACAAATTAGATATTGATATTGATTTGTATTAAAAGAAAACGTGTTCATGTTTTTTCTTGCATTTTTGGTTCAACTAGTGTTGTAAAAATAATTAAGTTGTTTACATAATATGTCTATTTGTACTCATTCTAAATCAATTTGTTTTTATTAATCAACAAGTGACTTATTTTTCAATTTGATACAACTTTTAAGAAACCTGTATCCATATGGAGGCTATGTGAGTGTAAAGGTAAAAGTAAAAGTAATTTTGTATGAAAATTAGCGAACAATAGTACCATAGTATCCATATGGATACATGATTCCAATTTTTAATCTAATGAGGGAAATTTTGTAAAAACACATTTTTGCCTAAAAATACAAACAATAAAAAGAAAATTCCCAAGAACAATTTCTCGGGAAGTAAAGGGATATTTGTAGTCACACTTGGGTTATGAAAAGAATTCACTCTGTGTGAAGTGATTAAAACATAAGAATCATGTCTATTACATTCAATGATCAGCATTTACGTCTAGTTTATGCAAGAAATAGGTCTTGGCTATTGGAAAATCTACAGATAAGATTAAGTTCATTTGTGAACTTTTTCAATAAGCCACAGAAACCCCTTAATCTCAAGCATACGACTTTACATAACATATTGTGAAATTCTCCATTCCATAGCACATGTGCATGTGAACACCTCGGTTCACCTATAGAAGCTGATCTGTATCAAGCAAAGTCACATTTGTCATTAGACAAGCATCCTAACGAGACAAACTTTGGAACTTTGCCTGAGTTGCGGCAACTCTATAACTCTACCGCAACTCCAGCTCATTTCGCGGAGGTGATTGTGAGTAGATACAAAGTTATGACAGCTCGGGCTGAGAATTCTCAATTGGCATTGTTAATGTGTATTGGGGATTGATCTTTGCTGAGGGAAAAGTATAATTTAACCCCTAACTTTTTAGCTATGGTGTGGTATATTTAAAACAACTTATTGGGGACTAAGCTATGCTCAGGGTGAAATATAATTCATTTTATTATTACACATCTTTACAACACCGATTTTTTGACACTATAGCTAAGCTGCAGGATAAGTGAATTTTAATTCGTTTCTTTGATTTTTAACTGAAATATCTCTTAAAACAATTAGTCTAATATTTATTGTCCATAAAAAAACAAAAAAAAAAACATTTAGGCCTAACGAGTACTAAAGTTGCTTCGGGGAAGTGAAAAAGTGTTTTGTAAACTTTTAACCTTATAGGGTTAAATAAATACTGTTGTGAAAACACAAAAAATACGTCAAATAGCACTTGCAATAATATATTTACACTTATACTTTTTACTCACAAGACCGTAAATACAAATTAAAGATGGTCACCACTTACCATCTTTTATATGCATTAACCGTCTTGTGAGTGTAAATATATTATTACAATTGTTATTTTGTAAAAAAAAAAAAATGTAAGTAAATTTTGTTTGTTAATTTTTTGTGAATCAATTGGACCTTGCCGACAAGTTTTGCAAACTTGGCGAGGCCAGATTTTGTATTATCACAAATAAATATATTTGAATTTGAATTTTACGTATTTATGTACTTTCATGTAATTTAATAACACGTACGACGCTGATCAAGCTTTTTAAAATATTTTGATCAAAATATATGCATAACATTGAAACATTCCCATTTTACGCTGTCTCAATAATATTCTAAAGTTACCTAACAATCAGTTACATGTTCAATAAGCTCAAGCCTATATTCTCAACAATATTTACCAAGTAGGCCTACTGGTATTTTTGAACATGAACGACATACAAAACAAATAATAAAGAGGGGAAACAGGGAAACCATTCAAAAATCTATTACAACCCCTAATCGTTTCGACAACAATAAAACACAACAGCAAGAATAATTTAAAAAGCGCCCTCAGGCATTGGGGATGAAGCTATTTAGTGAGAAAATTGCAAAAGAGGTACAAGCCCGCCATCTGTTCTACAAACAGGAGGGGGGGGGGGTGGGGGGAGGGTCCATTGTGATTAGCTGTTTGTTATTAATAGCAAAGCCGTGATTTACTTGTGGGGTGGCAGGACAATTCAAAACGTTTGTTCATTTCTGAAATGTAAAGCATACCCATGCTTGCTCTCTCCAATTTGTTCGATTGCGCTTCAAGGGCCCAGGTCTTACAGAGCAATTGAAACATAATGGTTAAACAAATAGATTTTGGATAGTGGTTTATTTGGACAGTTGGTTTGTCTAGGACAGATTTGTATTTGCATTGTTATTTTAATGATACGATTATCTAAAATTTGGCAAAGTATTATTTTAATTATTTATATTTACATGTTCAACAAGTCAAATACAAATTTGGTTTAAGTTCACAAACTAGGAACGTTTTAATTTTAATGTGGATGTTTGTTATTATTTAGGATATTATACGGATCAATTGTTAAATTTGTAAACATCTTTATTTAATTTATTTATTCTTATTATTTATTTCGGTTTAAGTTCACAAACTAGGAACGTTTTAATTTTAATGTGGATGTTTGTTATTATTTAGGATATTATACGGATCAATTGTTAAATTTGTAAACATCTTTATTTAATTTATTTATTCTTTACCCTCCATTAGTGTCATTTTGCGATACATTTTTACAGTTGGATAGTAAGCTATGCGCACACGTACACACATTTATTTATACACATACATATATTTATTTATACATTTGTACATTTATTTATTTATTTGTTAGAAAATTAATCAGGAAAAAGGATTTTGTCTGAATAAATTATTTTACAAACTAAAATAAACAGTTTGCAATTTTTACGCTATTTACATACTCTATGTAAAATCGTTTTAGCAAATGAAAGCAGTATAATACAAAATAAATATACCGGTAAGTTTAATTTATTGCTTAATTACAGAACATATAGTAACAGTAAAGAATCTTAGACATCTTCTTTATTGACTAATGGACAGAAAAATATTTTGAAAAAAATAAAGTAAATTAAGAATAAAAATAAAGATTTGTTTGTAAAGATCTCAAAACAAAACTGTGTTTGTTGCTTGCAAAGTTTATATCCACATTTGATACTTAATAGTTTGTGATACATTGCTTTAGATTAAAACAGTTTAATGTCTAGGGAATGTCATTCATACATAAAACAATGAAATTAAAATACCAATTGAGTCGAGGAAGAATAAAAGCTAAACAAGATGTCATGGGAGTTGGTAGAAGGGCAAGGGGCTATGGGGAGGGTGTAAAAATCCCTTTTGGGATCTTGCGAGAAGGAAAAATGATAAACGTTTATTCCTATGTTTTGAGTAAACATACTCACAGCAAATACAAACATTAACTATCTAAATAATACAGGGTGATTGATATAAGTGTTCCAGCCGTTTTATTCGAAAACTATAAGAGATATCAAGAAAAGTTAAATAGTAAGTGCCTTGGATTAAAATTACTTTTTCTACCAGAATACATCATAAAATACAGGGTGTCCCATAAGAAAAATCAAAGTTGGCGGCCATATTTGGAAAAATGGCGGCTAAAATAATTTTTTTGACTTGACTATAATTTTTTTAATAAAAAATCCAAGGCACTTACCGTTTAACTTTTTTTGGTATCTCTTATAGTTTTCGAATAAAACGGCTGGCACACTTATGTCAATCACCCTGTATACTGCAATCACTTTCAGAGCAGTGAAAACCAGAAACCAGTTAGACGGAGCGACCACATTAGGAAAATAAAATTGAGGCGATAAAATTAGGATGGAACATTTAGTGGGCATCAGCAAACTTGGAAAGCGAACAAAGTACTTTAGAAATTGTAATATTTACAGAGTTTTCTACAAACGGAGGTTTTTGCTTCAAAGGGCACTAAACAAACCGTTTAGCTTATGTTTCTAGAAACTAAGTACGACTATGGTGATTGCTTAGATTGTTACAATACAATAAAAATCCAACAGTTTCTTTATATTTTCAGTTCCTACAACTACTCACAGGTACCTTAGTATTACCATAAAGACTTCGGTAACAGCTCCTAAAAACGGATTAGTCTCGTAAAAAAGTATAATTTCAATGAAATTGAAATTAAAATTAAATCATAATCTTATCGTAATCCCCAACCAGCCCGAGTCCAATAATATAA